GAGAGAGAGAGAGAGAGAGAGAGAGAGAGAGAGAGAGAGAGAGAAAGATAGAGTATCTTTGAGTCGTCGGCGACACAGTCAGCAGACATTTCGATATATCGCGCTCGCGCGTGTCTGCCATGTCGATTCCTTGCTCATACGCCTCTCGATCCTGGACGCGTTGCATGAAGGCGCGTCGTTTGTCAAATCCTGTTTCGAAACAGGCGGTGCGGCACTCTAGGTCTTCTATGCGCTTGACTGCTGGAGTGCCCTGTAGCTTTTCGGAACCCAGTTCTGGAAGTATTGAATTACTCAAAGGGCACTGGTTGTCGCGGTAGGGTCTGTCTGTGATGTTGCTGTCCAGGAGTGCTCACTGGAACAGAGACCGAGAGACCAGTGGGTATATCCTGGAGGTCGTCTGAACTTATGGAGTTTCTCATTATGTGCTCACAGCTTGTTATCCTGTGCTCTTCGCCGTCTCGAGCAGACGGCGCTCTGTTAGCGTGAAGTCATTGGCCATCTTGGTGTGTCTGATGTTTTCGATGTTAATGTTATCGCAACGATGTGCGAAATTTGCGTCTTTTATGTAGGTCTGAGGCGGGGAGCGATCTTCGAAATCGAACCGTTCTCTTACCTCCTATATTGCTTATGGATTTGGGGCTTCTTTCAAATGAGGGCTAGTAGGGCGACAAGCTCTCTGAGTCTCTGAACAAGAGTTGCTAGCCCTTGGCTTAGCGGGGCCTCCAGGGACAAGGGCATTTTGGCGGAAACCTGATCTTGTGCCAACCGTTGGATGAACACCACCATCTGGAGAACTGCTTCGTAGATGAAAGAGTCATTGATCATGCTACATTAGCACGCACGGTATCAGCTCTACAATCACACGGCTGTATCCTGTTTCTGCCCGGCTTCGGAGTCAAGGGCTCCAATATGGCTTGCTCTTCGATGGCCGCCATCTCACTCATATCCCACTGCCCTATGCCCACTGCCCTCTGCTACGAAGATCCTCAGCACAAGCTCTTCCGTTGCCATGTCTCCTCCGTCTTGTCGATTGGCCTCGCTCGCCAAGGTGTCCTGTAAGGTAGTCTGCTTTGCCAGCAACCAACGAGCTCGTCGTGGTGAGTGCCATCACCTGGTCACCCTAGGGTACATTTTCCGTTACGCGCGCAAGGCCTGGTAGTCCTGTGATGGTAAGGACGTGAGTGTTCAGGGTATTCGTTGCCACACTCTGCACTAGGAGGTAGTAGACTGCGCTACTGCGGCGCGATAGAACTGACTGTCGGCGCGTCCACCAAGTCGCAGCAGCAGCTCAACCTCCCGTCGTAGTGTTCTGTATACAGTAAATAGTAAGCCGATGGACGCAGTGCACTGGGTCTGAGTGAATGAGTGCAGTCGGGGCCCCCCTGCGGTGTCAGCAGCGTACAGGGATGCAAAATCTGGGCATGCTCATCTTGCAGCAATGTTAAAGGAGAAGCGGAGCGCGTTTGACACCATCTCCACCTGAACCAGACCACTCTCTCTCTCGACAACATTCCTTTACCTACATCCCTTATAGCATAGCACTTGCTGTGCATCCACTCCTTCACACACTACAGCAGCACACAGTCCACTACACCGGACGAACACTCGGCGATACAGTGCCAGAAGCGTAACATTCACGCCAAAACACCTTCCAACACATACTCTGTACATCAACAAACACCATGAGGACCTCGCTCGCCGCACTCGCGCTGGCCGCCGTGCCCTCGGTCTTCGCCGTCGAGAAGGGTCTGCACGGTTTCGCTCTCGGAACCAAAAAGTCGGACGGAACGTGCAAGTACACTGCAGACTACGAGGCGGACTTCGACGCGATCAAGGATGCCTCAGGGTCGAGCATTGTCCGTGGCTACTCTGCCTCCGACTGCAACTGCGCTCAACAAATCCTGCCAGCAGCCAAGAACAAGGGCTTCAAGGTCGTTCTGGGCGTGTGGCCCGATGTTGAAGAGAGCTTCAATGCCGATAAGGAGGCCTTGACCACCTATGCCACGCAGTACAAGGAGCAGGTGTATGCTATTACTGTTGGCTCCGAGACACTCTACCGCGGGAACTTCACTGGAGAGCAGCTTTTGGAAAAGATTATGGACGTCAAGACTGCTCTCGGCGGAGATGTCAAAGTCGGCACTGCAGATTCGTGGAACAAGTGGGCAGATGGAACCGGCGATGCCGTGATCAAGGGCGGCGTCGACATCATCATGGCCAACGGCTTCTCCTACTGGCAAGGCGCTTCAGCCGGCGACAAGGCAAAAGAGACCTACCTTGATGATCTTCAGCAAGCACTCGGTCACATTCAACAGGTGTCGGGTTCACTCAACAAGGTTGAGTTCTGGAATGGTGAGACCGGCTGGCCTACGGATGGAGGTTCGGATTACGCTGCGGCCAAAGCCGGCACCTCGAACGCCGACTCCTTCTACCACCAGGGCTTCTGCGCGGCGCTTGATTGGGGTATCAACGCCTTCTTCTTCGAGGCGTTCGATGAGTAAGTACCATATGCGGTCATCCTAGGCACAACAACTGACGTGTTCACAGGCCATGGAAGCCAGAGTCTGTCGGCGACAACGGACAGGCCAAGGACGAGACTCGCTGGGGTGCAATGACCGCTGATCGCACAGCCAAGTTCAACCTCCATTGTGATTAAAAAGGAACCACGTGGACTCCTCGAGTCACATCTGATCATTTCACTTCTCTGCATTTGGGCGCCACTGACTGGAGGGGTATTGGGGTTCTAAAATATGGTGTTTCTGAGGTGATTTTATTGTATCAGCTCTGCGCTATTTTCACAGGCATATATGAGGATAATAGCATATGGCTAATTGTTGACTTTCCAAAATGATACTAATGTCCCCTCGACACCGACCTCAAGCTAATGTCCCAACTATACTGTGTTTGCCTTGATGATACATACTCGAAATCATCTACTATCGTCGTGTTATAGCATGCACGCCTCCCCTCTTACTTCGCTCATTGCACCTAACTCAATTCCCAATTTGGCTGAAAAGCATACTACCTTCCTGAATTCTCCAATCTCCTATATCCGAACCGCCCTGCTCGATCAAAGATACCTGTATCTCCATCCCTCTCATCTGACCACCGTCATGTCTGTATGCTAGACGCCCCTCTCGATACAGCCGAATTTATAATTCTCGTCAAGAGCATGCAGGACTTGCTGGTTCATGAGACTACCAAAGAGAAGAAGAAAAAACATTAGAAGACTTAATGTTAGTGCAATTACATGTAATATGTATGTTCCGGCGCAAGCTGGATGAAGCCAATGCCCTTAGGAGGTAATGTACCCAGTACCGTGACGGCCAACGAAGTGATGGAGTTCGTACCTGACCCGTGGATTAGGTAATGTGGAGAGGTGCAGCGGCTAGTGCCCGCTGGCTCTAGCGGCGCCAAGTCCCACGGACTGCACGAATTCCTTTCACACGCCAAGTGCAATAACTTTTGGACCTCCAGACGCAACAGCACCGTCCATCACCACCACCACCACCCAGCGACCTTCCACGGACCTTCAGTCACCATGCGTTACATCTACTCCCAGGAGACTCTGGACATTCCAGAGGGTGGTATGTGGAAATCGGCGTTGGCATGGGCATTGGCATTGGCAGATGCACACGCAGAGGCCATTCAAACGCAGAAATTGTAGATACTAACTCTTCTTCCTGCTCAACAGTCAAGGTCAACATCAAGACCCGCCAGGTCACCGTCGAGGGTCCCCGTGGCAAGCTCGTCAAGGACCTCGGTCACTTGGCTGTCGCTTTCTCGCACCCGGAGCCTCAGCGCATCAACATCGAGCTGCACCACGGCTCCCGCAAGAATGTGGCCACTCTCCGCACCGTTCGCACCCTGATCAACAACATGATCATCGGTGTTACCAAGGGCTACAAGTACAAGCTGCGATACGTCTACGCCCATTTTCCTATCAACGTCAACTTGGACAAGCAAAAGGAGACTGGTCTGTGGGAGGTTGAGATCCGGTATGTTCTGTGTTTTGTGCACTCAACACATAGGGACGTGGCACTAATATACATTTTCAGCAACTTCTTGGGCGAGAAGCTCGTGCGCAAGGTCATGATGCAGCCTGGCGTCGATGTCGAGGCTTCCAAGAACGTCAAGGATGAGCTCCAGCTGACGGGCAACTCCCTCGAAGCCGTCTCCCAGTCCGCCGCCGACATCCAGCAGATCTGCCGTGTACGAAACAAGGATATCCGAAAGTTCTTGGACGGTATCTACGTGTCTGAGCGCACCAACATTGTCGAGGAATAGATGCATCTTCTACGACGAGGACGAGGAAGAAAAAGTCTTTTGCATACCATACCAGATGATACCAGGCAAGGCGTCAAGGCGCAAAAGAGGTGGCGATGTCTACTGCCGGTTCGTCTTTAGGAGCGAGGGAAGAGCATGAGATAGCCACAGCTCAATACACTTCCGTGCCCGACACTACCAACCTCTCCTATGTTCACCATACGTGACATCGGACGGGAGCCTGCTCCTTGTTCGTTAGAGAGGGTTGGAACACGACTGCAACGCTTCATGTCTGCACATGTAGTCTTGCGACATGGCGTTCGTGCAGCTCTATTGATGATTTTTGCAGGATCCTCGTCTTCTTCAACACGTCTGCACTATTCACTTGTCAGACTGATTTTGGGCCGGTAGGCAACTCGTTGAACTATTCATGCCTTCGACATACGTAAGTGAGCCCAAATGGAGGGCGCAGCACACCTCTGCTACCACTTATGACCGACAAAACCAAGCAAGGTCAGTTCCCTCCTATATCAGTATCTACGCCTCCCCAAATCATCAGCTGGATGATGAAACACATACCACATTCGCAGTTTTCACTCTATCCCCCACCAAGAACCTAATTTCGGGGGTAAATGAGGGCGCAATCTTCCTTGGATGTCTGACACAGCCCAATATACACTTCCCACTGTCCTCTCGCACACTAAAGTCTCAACAGAAGCTGATTGTGACGATAGCAGGTGTGTTTTTTGTTTGGCAGGTCCTAGGTCCTAGCGCAATTGCATCGCACGGGATCGCCATCAATACGTTCGTTTTTCTCGATCGTTCTTCGCCATATTGTCAGAAGGCTCTATGGAATCGCCCAAGATGGGCGTATAAGCACGCCATCGTCTATTCTCTTCTAAGTCTTGCCAAGATGCTTGAGCAAAATCACGATCATGAATCGTTACATTGAAACCATCTGCGGTAAATTGCGCAAAAGCGGCTCAAAGCGGCCAATAGAAACCCGAAGTGGCCTCGAGAATTCCCAAAATTCTCGGGATGTGGCCGAAGAACAAGGTAGGTCAAATAGTATCTGATGGTTTGAGATGCATCTTCAAGTTAGGTATCGTAGTAGTAAAATTCCGAATGAAATTATGCCTACCTACCTACTAGCATTCATCGTCTTGTCACCTAAGATCCACATATGTACCTGTAAATGTAGTCACTCAAAGCATTTCTTTGGCAGCACAATTAGTACATTCTATGCATAGAATGAAGACATTCTGTTTCGAAAACAAAAACATTGATCCATACCGAGGCACCCAGCAGAAAGATACCTTAGACAGACAGACAGACAGGACGTCACACCCCAAGCATGAAATCAATCAAGCAAATTTTTGAAAATTTCCTATACAGCCAAGATATCTCCCTAGATACAGACAGGGTCCTTGCAAAACATGGCCCGATACCTACCTAGGTGCCTATGCTATGTAGGTAGACAAGAAATCCTTCTTCTCACCCCCTTTGAGATCCCTTTGAAAGTCATTCTAGCCTGGTAGGTACCTTACCTAGCTTCTCAGCTTCGGTCGGGGACCTTGTGGCTTGGGTCTGCTGGGAGGAGCAGGTGGTGCTGAAAAGTAGCTATGTTAGCGAGTCGGACTGAGAAATGATCACCATTGTAGAGCAGCTTACTGGACATCCTTGCTTTGAAGTGGTGCTTGTGCGGCTTTGTGTGTGTGTTGTGTGTTGTGTGGTGTTGGCTTGGCTTGGCTTGGATTTAATTGTGGTGAGGAGATAGATTGGCTTCTTGATAATCAGGATGTCTGAAAAGTTCCACGATACCTGGTACTCATATACCGCTACGGCGCAACCTGAAATGCCTTCACGATGTACCGAGACAGACGAGCTTACTGCGGCAGGCCATGCTTATCTACATCCTATGTGACATACGGCGTTCGTTCTGCTCCTAGTCCCTGAATGGCATTGCCCACCACTCATTCGCCACCACCTCATGAACATCATGTGGCCACAGCGCGCTGTGCACACTGTACAGGCTGGGCCATGGATCGGTGCTCTTGTTCGCCACATGTGGCATACCTTCTTTATCGTTCGTTAGTCAATATGCTTGCATCGTTTGCCTCGATTCATAATGGTATGCGGTGCATGTCATGCCGGAAAAAGCAGCCTGCTGCAGTGCGGTATATGTGTGCATTAGGCCACGGTCTGTAGTGATCCATCGGCACCTCTGCAAGCTTGTGTCAGGCCATTCATGCTCACGGTTGGTAGAACGGTGAAGTCATTAGGAACTCTGAGTCTGTTGCCATTGAGTTAGAACGGCGTCCAATGCGGAGAGGCGCTCGCGTATGACTCGGAGAAGGAGGGATCGTAGGCCACTGAGATATGCTCAGCGCGCACTCTCAGGGGGCAAAGGAACTCAGTAGTGTCCCATTTGGACCATACAGCATATCGGACAGGGAAGTGTGGCCAGTGGAAGCTTGCCGACGATCAGACGGGCGTGAAATGCTAAGAATGAAGCGACTTACCCATATCATCAATCATCGGCTCGGGCTCTGCGTCCTCGATTGGGCTTTCGTCCGTCAGAGGACCAGGCCGATTAAGCAGGTCGACCACATCTTGCCCGTCGGGGCGCGAAGCGACTCTGCCATGATCGTGGTCTTGTTCGAATGAAGGAATGCCGTAATCAGGCGGTCGTGTATCAATCGGCGACTGGTCATGTTTTCCAAGCTCAGTTCTGAAGCTAGAGGCGTTTAGTGTCGTGTCTGTCGTTTGAGCAGAGGAGGCGTTCGCCTACTCACAAGGTTAGCGCTATCAATACGGACTTTCCCAATGATCCCACTCGTGACCAGTGTCATACGCAAGGGAGTAGTGCGCATGGTAGTCTTGAGGAGTTATTGGTGTGGGTGGGCTCATGCTGGTAGCATCAGGGCTGTGGGTGGGACTGACAGTCTCGACCATCTTGTCACCTTCGACTCTCACTTCCCGGTCTTTCAACCTCCGCATGAGGGCCAGAAACTGGCTGTTTCTGAACTTATCCGATTGGTTGTGTTTGACCTTTTCCAACAGCTCCTCTGCTGTTGCCGCCAGTGCATCATCGTCATGATGCGGCTTGATCTGGTCTTGCTGATCTTCTCGTAAGGCATTCGTTGTCTCATGCTCGATATCGGGACCATGTGCCCTGGCCATGGGATGTAGTTCTGCCATGTCTAAGTCGTGGCCATCTTCCTTCAATATATGCGTCGCAGCTTCCTCGACTGCGGCTTCAAACTTGTCCGCTTCTAGCTGATCGAGCAGCTCCTGCGCAGTTGGAACTTCTTCTTCTTGCACATCGTCTGTCACGTCCGCCATCAAGTCATTATGTGCCTGGTCAAAAGCTGCAGCAAATGCGGCCTCATCGAAGCGCTCGGCCTGCACTGGCGCCTTGCCCTTGTTCTGCATTGAGGACACCGCATAATTTGGCTGAGCGAAATGGGTCTGGTGACCAGTGAGACCGTAGCGTGCGCGCTGCTGGAAGGCGTGTGGCGACGGAGACGGGTTTTGCTGTCGAGGCGCTGTCTGGGCGATGTGCTGTTGTTGAAAGGCCTGTGCCCAACCCGACGTGCTCGCTTGTGGCTGAAAATGCTGCTGGTGCTGCATTGATGCAGCGGGAGGCTGCGATATGGCCATGCGCTGAAAGTCGGTGGCCCATGACGGGGCATGTGAGGGGCTCCCAAAGGCGCCCGGCTGCTGGAAGAGACCTTGGTGGTCACGGTCATGTAGCGACAAGTCGACGCCGGCCTGGAAAGCCTCGAATTCGGGGTCCAGCACGCCAGCGGCATTGGGAGTCGTGGAGCGGAAGCCCTGGGCAGGGTGGAGGCGGCGTGACGAGAGGTGGTCTTGCTGGAGCGTGCGGTCGACCGAGTCGGCTGTGTGCTGCTTGAAGCGCTGAAGGCCGTTGGAGGGGCCACATTCTGCCGCCGCCGCCGCCATCGCCTGATCGAGTGCGACGGGAGTGCGCGAGAGCGAGAGGGAGAGGGAGGTGGGGCGAAGGGCGGAGGGAGGAGAAGAGGAGAGGATGGGAGAGGAAAAGAACAGTTAGGTAGGTCAGGTAGGTAAGGACAGTCGTGTGGTCGGTAAGGTATACCTAAGATGCTACCTTATTCAACACCTCGGCCATGTGAAAGACGTCCGGGATGGTCGTCGGGCGTACCTTATGTAAGCAACCACACGCCCCACCGCTGCTGGCTGCTTAGTCAGTAGGATAGTCCCAGTGGTTGCTTAAGCGACCTTTCCACCTGACACTCCACTGTAAGCTGGAGGGTGTAGTCGTATCACACTGTGTAGAAGAAACATCGCCAGAACAAACCACCGCCAACATGGTATGCGGAGACTCCCTTCCTATTCGGAGCCAAGCGCACTATTCTTGCATCTCTCTATCCAGCTAACATGACCCCCAGACCCAAGTCATCTCCAACTCGGGCCACGATGATATGATTGTACGTGGCAGCTGCAACAACGCGTGATGCAGTGATGCCCCCTCCCCGAGCCCCTACCGGAGACCCAGTACTAACGAGTGCACGCCTCACCAGCACGATGCCGTGCTCGACTACTACGGCAGACGTCTTGCGACATGTTCGTCCGACAAGACGATCAAGATCTTCGAGATTGACGGCGACCAGCACCGCCTGACCGAGACCCTCAAGGGCCACGAGGGCGCGGTATGGGCAGTGGCCTGGGCACATCCCAAGTTCGGCACCATCCTCGCGTCCTGCTCATACGATGGTCGCATCTTGATCTGGCGCGAGCAAAATAGCCAGTGGCAGCGTATCTACGACTTCACGCACCACACCGCGTCCGTAAACCTCGTCGCCTGGTCACCGCCAGAGACGGGATGCCACCTGGCCGCAGCCAGCAGCGACGGCCATGTCTCCGTCCTGACCTTCGAGAACAACGCATTCACCCACGCCATGTTCGAAGCTCATGGCCTCGGCGTCAATTCCATCTCCTGGAGCCCCGCAATCCTCCCCGCCCAGCTCACCAGCGCGCAGCCCCCTGGGCAGAACCCAGCTCCTGTGAAGAGATTCGTATCGGGAGGCTCAGATAATCTGGTCAAGATCTGGTCATTTAATACCAATAGCCAAGCCTATGAGAACATTGCGGAGCTGCAAGGACACCAAGATTGGGTTAGGGATGTTGCGTGGTCGCCCACACCACTATCAAAATCCTACATTGCAAGTGCATCGCAAGATCACACTGTACGAATATGGACCCTGCCAGCGGGTGCTGACATTGGAGATGCCAATGCATGGAAGAGCGAGGTGCTGAATCTGGATGTGGTCGTCTGGCGGGTGAGCTGGAGTATGGCTGGCAATGTTCTTGCCGTCTCATGTGGCAATAACCAGGTCAGCCTGTGGAAGGAAAAGCTCAAGGGCGGCTGGGAAGTCGTCAAAACAATTGAAGATTAGGGCAAATTCTTTTGCATGTGGGCTGCAAAGAAATGAAGCGTATACGTATGGTGATGGCGAGGGGTCACAAGCGTCGGAAAATCGCGGCAATGTCAGGAATTGGCAGCGCATCCGCTCAGCGAGCACCTGATCAAACTCACGGAGGTCCAGGCTCAGCGATCAGGCGTTGCTGATGCTGACCAGATACCCAGAGACGTGCATTGACCTGATGCGAACGCCGTTCAAGCTCTGCGATCGAGCCTGCTATTCGTCTGATGAGCTCAATCAGGGACGAACACTCGGCGATGACGAAAGCCAGGGTGTCTTGCACGCGATGGAGGGTCTTAGCAGAGTAGAGACCCCTTGTGGCGGCAGCAACACTTGTGTCTAGGTCGGAAAGACAGGACTCTGTAACACGTTGATGACAGCTACACCATGTTTCCAATTCCCCGTGTGTCAGGTCGTGCCTGCGACCACGACCAACTTCCGGCGCACAAGCTTTCCTAACGTGTTACAGTCATCCCAAACAACCTTGCATCTCCCCAAACAGTACCACTACAAGCAGGATTGACCTGGAAGCTTTTTTTTCACCTAGACTGATCAGGCTCTAAATCGCGATATCATCGAACACAACCATTATTACTGCCTGACATCTGGTCAGTGGCGACGCGGGAAATCAGCCCAACAGAACTCGCAGACCTAGGATTGGCTGTCCTTGCGACTATATGCCTAAAGTCTACCGCCGGACCCTGCAAACGTATATAGACAGGTGCGCCGCTGATGGTGCGTTCGAGCAGCGCACTTATTGCCCGTCATCGTCGCAAAATTCTGCACAAGCCTCGCTGTTGCGAGACGATAACGCCAACATGAGGAATGCTATGTTGGAAGTCATCACGACCCTGCCAGCTGAGCCTCCAGCACGAGATCTCCCAGATATGAGCCGACTCAAGATCCGCAGCCATGACGACGACAGGCGGCCCCGAATGCGATCACGGTCGCGCCGGCGGTCTCGCTCAAGGTCCCGCAGGAGGCACCGGGACGATGATTCCTACCATCGATCTGCCCGGTCAACACCAATGCATACGCCACGCAAAGACGTTCGCTTTTTCGATGAGAGCCCACCGCCTAGAAGCCGAAAAGCTGTCGTACCTGATCGACCCAAGTCCTACGCGAGGGATGCGCCACCTATTGCACTGGGAGAAAGCGCCAAGGACACCGCGCGACGGCTCTACACTGATCATCGACGCCACTATCGCGAGGACTCTGCATCTTCCGCAAGCCTTGCGGGCAGCCGTGGAGGTAGTCGAGTCACAAGCGGCGCCAACAGTCCTGTCAGTGCGAGAAGGCCGGATCCTGTGGAGAGGCTGAAGACCAGGAGACCCGGAGTCGACAGAGTGTACAGTGCGGATACGGTGCGGCGAGGTGACCTTGCAGCGACGAGCAACGTTGCCGACGCAGGATCCGCAATGTTATTGCCAATGGACCTGCGGCCATCGATGGGACATAGGAGGTGGCATTCTAGGAGCTGAACACCGTCCTGCAGCACTCATCTGGCGCATCTGGAATATGGGAGACTGACCAACTCGGTTTGCCTGGCCAGCATCATCATCATTATCATCACCACAATGACTACGATCGCGTGTGTTGGAGACCCGTCTAGGATCCAACGACACGAGTGACAACCATTCCGGCACGCCATCTCATCATCAGGCAGCCCGCACAATGGAAACCGGTTCGACACGTCTGCTACGAATAGTCACGAGTTATTGTTATCACTATTATCATTATTACTATTGTTGTTGTTGGAGCGAACCAAAAAAACCAAAAGTTTGATACCTAATATGTATGTCTATGTGGTGACGGCTTTTTTTTTCCTTTGTTTGCGAAGCGAAGATGGGAGGCACTAGTATTCTTATTGAACTGGGATGGAATCATGGGATAGGATGGGTGTAATGGGTAATGGAATACGGGAAAAGGGGGAAAAAATAATCAATAATTGTATTGTCTATCTGCTTTTTGGTTCTCTTTGGTCACTCATTCGTCGGAGGGAACATTTTCCTGTTTTGGTTGTTGTTGCGAACATTTGTAATGTACTGAGGTACTCTCCTTGTCAGAAGCAGAAAGAATTTTCTTTCCTTGATCCCTGGGGAGAACCAGTGAGACGTCGGTCCCATGTAAAGAAAAAGGCACGCGTGCATTCACACTTGTTCATGGTAGTTGACTGGCATGTGCATGTGCACAATTGCCCAGTTATGTTGGAAGTACTGAATGTCTACCTGATGGATAAACTCCTCCTTGACAAGTTCCAACATGATTTGGAATTTTTTTTCTCGGATTGCCACGAGCCATAAGAGCCAGAGCTACCCACGACGCTGATGACTTCACCCTGGGATGCGTGGCATCCTAAAGACTTGTATGATGTACAAGTCACGTTCGCGGCGGTTCCTTGAAGCCTTGAAAATACTATGTAGGCAAATGAGTTAATGATCGCTCCCTCGCGAGCGGAGAAACCGCCAAAAATTGAACTTACCTGTCTCCGGAAAGCATTCAGATCATCAGCGGTGCCTGTGCTACTTTCCTCGTGAATTTGTAATCTTCGCATCTGGTATGTAGCCAAGGCGTGAGCGTCGACTTGGTTGTCGTGAAGTCTTCGATATGTGAGTAGACGTCGTGACCCTTGTGGGGGGGAAAAAGAACTCGTCAGCTTTCATCATGTTCCCTCAAAAACATATCGATCGCATGATGCGACAGGCGGGAATAATGGAAAGTTTTTGTACGTACATTTGTTGAAATCTTGTCGACATTGGCTCACCAGGACTAATGCTGGATGCTGTGGTATCACGTATTCTTGCACGTTTTCTTCATCCTTGACCTCGCCCTCGCCCTCGTTCTCGTGGTCCAGATCTCCTTCTACGGCGCCAGCGACGGGAATCCACATACTGAGTCTCCCGTCATTGACGAGCATGTTGGCACTGAAGTCGAGGATATCGTCTAGCATCCTCACGAAGCTATACGCTTTTCTGGGAGGAATATAGTCTTCCTTCAAATGAGCCAGCATTCCATTCTTTAGTACCACCTCGCGCTGCAGATAGTCCTTGGTGCTCCCTAGCACTTTCAAGCCTTCTCTCACACCATACGGTGGATCGCACAAGATGGCGTCCAAGAATCTCCCCTGCTTCAAAGGCGTGTTTGTGAGGTCGGCGGCAAATCCTCCCAAGTATTGAGCAGAAGTCCCATACTGGATGAAATTGGCCGCAACATTCCGACCTTTTTTCCCTCGAATGCTTCTCCCATCTAGGTCGGATCCGAAGACGGTAGATCCAAAATGTGCTGCTGCGAGCGGGAATGAGCCGGTGCCCATGAATGGATCATAGGCGAGACTTCCCGGGCGACAGAGTGCAATATTGGCAGTGATGAGGGACAATTCCGCATCCATCGACGTCGTGGCAATGTACGTGCGTTTCTTCAGATTGTATTTCACCACTGCTTTGCCTTTACTTTCGGAAAGACATCGGCCAAAGAAGAGACGTTTCGGCACGGTGGTGTGCAAAGGGTATTCCTCGAAGACGGTGAAGAGATGTTCGGGGTTCTTCATGACAATGGGTCCTTGAAAGTCTAGGTAGCCCAGCTCTTCGAAGATGGCGCGTTGTTCTGCTGTGGGACGGCTATGCTGGTGGCTGTCGACGACGAAACGAAAAGACGGCTCTCGGTATGCCGACCATAGATGAGAAGTTCGCGACTGAATGTCCGTATGGAGGAGGGGATAGCTGGTTCCCTCGCCCCAGAGCTCGTGAACACTCCATAGTAGTATCGAACGTGTAGTTAGTGCTTGAGCTGCAGAGTCGGGGCTGATGTTATCAGAAAAGCGAACGATGGCGAAGGGCGACTGGGACAACAGTCAGCACAGGGCTGGAGGAGGAGGAGGAGGAGGAGGAGGAGGAGGCGAAGGGCAATGGAAGAAAGGATACCCACCCACATGGTGACATTTCATCAGGGGCTACGTATATCGGGGATATTGTATAGTGTGCTTCGGTATTGCCCTTCGCCTTCAATACCTGACAGGACTTGCAACCTACATGATCGGAGTACGAAAGCCATTCTACCGTGAACTTGTTCAACTCTGCCAGTGCTTCTATCTCGGGTTGTCGAAATGTCTCGTGCATCTGCCTGAAGCGGATGAGATACTCCATGGCGGCAGTGTGTGAACAGTGCGCGGATACAGATATGTTTTAGCAGCAAAGAAATCAGTCAGTCATGGTTTTGGAGAGGAGACCAGGGATTCGACAGCCTCAGGCAGGAATCAGGCGGGATTGCTTCGGATGATGGTAGGTACTAGCTAGCGAAAGGAGTAATTAATTGACATGACTATTGGCTCGCTTGACGACGATGATGATGATGTTGTTATTCTGTTGTACGCGACGGGCGAGCTATGTACAAATTGGATGGGTATCTGCTGCCTTGACCAAACGCCGGACTCCTCGCTGAAACTCTCCCTAAACAAAAAGTGCGCTGTTCACTTCACCTTACTCATGACTGTTTCGCCTCCCCTCTCCCCATTCCATTCGGCAGCAGCACTCTTGACACCACTCAGCATGTCTCTTCCATAATCATCCCGACTCCTCAAGACAGCTTCCACCCACCCAATCTGCACATCCCAGTAAGCACTCTTCATATTTTCGAACGCACGTGTCACCTCTGGCCCCTTGTCCGCGCTCAAGAGATCCCCGAATGCAGATATGACTCTCCACTTATCCTTGATCATGTCAAACGTTTCGGGATGCTGGCTGAAGAATGCGAACACTGTGACGACGTCCTCTTTGATCTTGTCCGTGAAGGGATCCGAGCGGCGAAACTTAACTCCCTTGTTGCGCACGCAGCTGAGATAACGCACAAGCAAGGCATCAGAAAGCTCTTCGATAAATATGTCTTGGAGAGAGGGGTGTAGGATTCCAGTAAAGTCTTTCAGATAATCTTCGAAAGTGGTAGTAATTGAAGCCATGGTCTTCTTCTGATACCAGACCGGTGTGAAGAATTCTGCGAGGACGGGCTTGATATCTGTCGCGAAGATGACGGCAGCAAAAATGGACATGCAGTGCGTCGCAAGATCGACGTAGCCATTGGTGAGACTCTCATGGTCAGCCGTACTCGTGACAGCATACGCAGGACTGACGAGTGGCTCGTAGTCCTGTTTGAATCGTGTGAGGAAAGACATAGAGCCAGAGTCTTCGTCAATGTTCGCAATCTGGTCATTGGCTATCGCAACAAGCCACTCTTGGAATGTGCCTACCCCTTCCAGAGTCGAAGGGTCGATTGCACTCTCGATTTTGCGGTATTCTTCATCAATCAGGCGTTGCCACATTTGTTGTCTCTCCCGCAGGGCGTGCATCATCGCATCGACGACGCCTTCGACTACATCTGGACGACCAGAGGATTCTGCGACTGAAAGTTGCTCGCGAAGCATCGTCCACATGTCAGCTAATGTCTTGGTATGAAGATGATCGTTTGCGTCCTGATCCAAACTTCCTTCTTCCCTAGAGATGAATGTGCGTCGATCCGAAGTTCCCATACGGTCCATCCATTGTTCTACAGCTTTGGTGATGAGGTTGCGATAATCGCGAACCAATTCAGTCTCCCGATCGTCGATCACATGTGGCGCAAGATCTTCTTGTTGAATGCCTAGGCGTGTCATCTTGCTGTAGTATTTCTCTACCCAATTGAGAATCGCGAGCATGTGTACAGGTGTGATATTGTTGTCGTCCAGTCGTCCCACGAGGAAGTCGTGCATGAGTTTATGATAGATGTTGGAAAAGGTCCTGAAGATTTTCCACTTCTTCGGCATGAGATCTTGCATTCCCAGCTTCACCGTGTTCAGATCATTGAAGAACCACCTGCAGGCCTTCTCAAGTTTTCCCGGGTCTTCGTCGAAAGCCTGTCTGACTTGGTCGAATTTTGCGGCAGCACTGTATTCGATAGCCTGCAAGAACTTCTTCTTATAGCCTCGTAGTTCTCTCTGTCCCACATTGATGCTCTTGAACCTCTGTGCCACATCCTGGAATTCTCGCTGCGCATCCTGCAATGCCTTGGTCTGTCGATCCTTTTTCTCCTCCTCCTCGATAACCAAGCCCAGCCGAACCACCAGACCCTGGTTCCCCGCCTGGATGAGACCGATCAAGTTGATACAAGCCTGTCCAACATGCTCGTCAAACCACTCGACGACGTCGTCCAACTTGGTAAAATGGTCTCTCAAGGTGACTCCGCTCTCTAGCGGTAAGTTCTCAATCAATTCCAGGCCTAACTCTCCTTCTGCACTGCCTTTTACCTGGTCCATTGCTCGATCCCTCATATCTCGTAGCTCGGATAGACCCGCATGAATGGCCAACAGATTGGGCTGAGTCTCCAGGTCTTCGTCGTCCTCCCTTAGCAGTTGCTCCAGCTCTTGCAGTTCCTGGCCAAAAGAGCGGATCTTCTCGCTCATCGTCTCCACGGCAGCAAAGTTGCGCTGCATGACACTCATCTTGTTGATCTCGGGAAAGTCCTCGATCATTCCCTGGGCTTCAGCGCAGAGCTTGTCGATCTTCATCATCTCCTCCTTGATGAGCTGCACCGTCAGCTGGCCATTCTGGATCGACGACATACCCTGCTGGGTGATTTGCAGCTGTTCGGAGAGACCATGCTTGAGCTGCGCGTCAATGGTCGACTTCTTGCGCGTGAATTCTTGTCGTAGGGAGGGAAGCTTGTCGAGGTCGTCGGGATTGCGCAGCAGCTCAGCCAGGCGCAATGTTGGCTTATCCACAGGCGGCGGTGGTTCGTTCATGATGCCGCCGTCTTTTCGTCGAGGCTGATATGCCCCCTGATATGCCAGTCGTGATGGTGGTGGTGGGGGTAGTAGTGGTGGTGGTGGTGGGACGACAATACCTTGGTCTCCCGATCGAGTCCAGAGCGTGTGCTTATCTCAGGTACCTTAGTCGCCCATATTCGTATGATGCATAAGGTACCTATGAGCAGCTATTCTGACTACCTGGTAAGTATCAAAACCTAGACACTGTAACAGCGTTACAGCGATCCAGTTGTCAGAAGCGCACACGGAGGCTCTAATACTTCTAGAAGCTCACGTAGAGTGTAGGAGCAGGCTAACAGCATCCATCGGAGGACTCGGCTTAGGGCTAGCCGCTACGTCAATATAAGGGGTAAAGCTGAGTTAAGGTGCGTACAAACTAGCTAATACCCTGTGCAATACACCTGAGGTTGTTCAAGGGCACGACGTTCAAAATACCATCAACACGACCAACAAACACCACCTTGCTATGGCCTACTTCCGCATTACACTCCTCCGCTCGGCCATCGGTCTGCCCAAAAAGACCTCGGGCGTGCTGCACGCGCTCGGCCTCAAAAAGCGCCTGACGACCGTCTACCAACCCGTTTCGCAATCAGTCGCAGGCCAAATTTTCGCCATCAAAGAATTGGTCGATGTCACAGAAGTGGACAGGCCGCTGACACATGTGGAGATGAAGGAGCTGAGAAGACCCGATCCTGGATTCTGGGTCGAGAGCAGGGCGCGAGATGTCAGGAAGGAGCTCTGAAGGGAGAGTCAAAAGCTAGGGATCAAGGACGGATGACCTTGCCGTTACCCCCAGGCGATGTCCTAGATATGGCGGGTCTCGAAGAGATGGGGGGCGTGCCAGCACCACTTTTTGAACACGCCGTAACATCTTCTGGCAGCATCAATGATGTGACGTCCGCGAAGGAGACACTGGGCTATTGACGTTGGAGAGGCTGCCTGCCGTCAAATACATCGGTATAGCTTGGCTGTTGATGCTCAGGCTGCTGGAAGGAGAATCTGGATGTCCAACGGCGACATGGCCCGTCCATGGATGAAGAAACACGGTCATGACATTGACAAGACGATATTGACCTTTTATGACTGCACGAGCAACCGAGCCAGCTCTAGCGAAGTACACACCGCAGCGGGAGCAGAAGGAGGTCTTTGACAGAGAAGGAATCTTGACAGGCGATAATATCATGCGGCGGCGCTGACCATTTCTGTCTCGTTGAGCCAAGTTGAGCCAAGGCAAATTTTTTCACCTGTCCAACGGTACCAGTATTGTATTTACAAGAACAAAAATGATACAAATGCTGCGCGACAAAATCTCTTGATTCCAATAGGTCTGCTGCACTGGAGTCGCACATGTATGTACCTACTATAGGAAGTCACCTCAAGCATCATCAGTCCATGGTTCACGAGCATGGCCACCTGTGAGATATAGGTCTCGAGCTTCATACTGGTGGCGTCTTTTGAGCAAGAATGGATACAGCATCTACATAGTGGAATATACAACAGTGCTCCATCAGCTCCATTTCATTGTCGCAGACCCCTGCCATGTTTAAGGTTGGAGGTCGGCCGCCGGCGACTCGGGAGAAGCGCCAAGGCGGTGGAGAGAGAGCTTCTTCGGAAAGCCATGAGAAAAATCGAACAATTCGCATTAGAGCTACCATAAGACACGACCACCACGACTTCACCACCCACACCACATTTCCCCACATCAACACCGACCGCGTCGTTTCTCATCATGGGTAAGGACAAGTCTGCAGCCGAGATTGCGGCCAAGAAGGAGAAGAAGGAGAAGAAGCGCAAGCACGACGAGGTTGAAGAAGATGTCGTAGCAACACCAAAGAAGGAAAAGAAGTCGAAGAAGTCTCGCAAAAGCGACGTCGCGGATTCCTCAGCGATGGACATTGATAATACTGAAGTGTCCGTTGCTGCACCGGCCGAGGAAGAGTCGGGCGAGAAGAAGGGCGTGACGACTGCAAGTGAAGTTGGAATCGCAGCTCTTGTGCCCTTTGCGAACCCTCTCGCGAGCGAGAAGGACCAGAAAAAAGTGCTCAAATCCGTCAAGAAGGGTGAGTCCCAGTCTCCTAGTTCCCCCAGTGTTCTCCAATCCCCCATTTCCACAAACCAAAACACCCCAATGCCCGCGCCGCAGCAGCAAGAAGCGTCGGGGCCGACCACGCTTCGTCAAGACCTTCTGATCGAGGAGCCGAAACTTACGACATGGACCGAATTCCTAACATATCTCCAGCCGCCAAATCCAAAGCGATAAAACGTGGTGTCAAGGAATGCGTCAAATCCATTCGCAAATCGCCCGCCGCGACCCCATCGTCTCTCAACCCTGCCACTCTCCCCCCCGGAATCGTGATTCTCGCCGCGGACATCAGCCCCATGGACGTGATCTCACACATCCCGGTGCTCTGCGAAGATCACGGAATTCCTTACATCTACGTACCATCGAGAGCAGAACTCGGATCAGCAGGGAGCACGAAGCGACCAACGAGTGTGGTGATGATTACGCCCACGCCAGGAAAAGGAGCTGCAGACAGCGCGCAAGAGTGGAAGGAGTCCTTTGCAGAGTTGAACACACTGGCCAGGAAGCTGGGTAGCGAGGTCACAGTCTGAGGATGCTGGCCCATGGGCTGAATATGCCCGTGGGGGGCGAGCCTTGACCCTTCAGTTTGATGAGGTTGTCAAATGAGGGAGCCCAGGTTGAGGAGGAGAGAGCTCTAGGATGATCATCGAGGGCCGCTTCTGCGTCAACTGCGAGAGTGACAAGGCATGAGACAGCAGTCTCTCGATCAAGTGTGCCAGCTATTGCAACCATTGTGAAGTGTACAGAGCCTTCCTCGGAAAGTGTCTCGCGGGGAGTGAATGCGAGAGCAAAAGGCAACCGGGCCAATGTGTCCACGGCGCATGGGATTAGTTAGGTGTCAGGCGTTGCTGGGACCATGTACGACTGACTGTGCGTGGGCGTTGTGGAAATGTACTCCTTTTTTCGAAAACGAGCCTCGATGATGAAAGTCGCCAGTAAAAGAAAGTTGACCATGGTAGGCCCATTTTCTTCATGACTACCAAGTAATACACTATGTCGATCCAATTGTGTTTTGTTTTCCAAGTCCCCCGCAAGCTTTGTCAAAATGGTATCACAAAATCCATGCACCCCGATGCTGGCTGGCTAAGGTACGCGACAGGAAGAAAAAAAAAGAGAGAAAAAAAAACAAGCGACGTTGAGAACCTAAGTCGAGAAACAGTCGTCGCAGCAGACGTGACCTGTACAATTGCCAGCTAGGCACTAGCGCTCGCCCTCGAGTGCTTTGCGCTATCCACCCTCAGCTTCTCGAGTATCTGCTTGACCGACTCTCCCTTGCCCTGTTGCGCGCCCGCCCTCTGGTCAATCTCATCCGCCAGACTGATGGCTTTTTTCGTCAACCCTCGCAACACTCGTCGTGAGTACGAGAAACTTCCGCAGCTCTCCATGTACTGCACGGCATATCGTTTGACCTCATCATCGGTCGTTTTCTGCTTCAGGATATTGATGAGAACGAGATTGTTCGGGTCTGAGCGAATCGCGTGGATGATAGGAAAGGAGAATTTGCCCTCGGTGAGATCCTCACAAAGTCCCTTGTTTTGGGTATAACTCGTATCGGAGAGATTGCGGTAATCGTCCAGAATTTGGAAGAGCAAGCCAATGGTGTTGACCAAGGGAATATAATCCGCTGGTAGGTGAGGCAGATCCGGATTGGGATTGAAATTATGCGACGGACTTTCCGCGCACATCAATTTAATCGCGAATCGGAACAGCCCGCCCGTCTTGTTGCCTACCATTTCGAGGTAGTCGTCTTCCGTGGGACAGGTCAAGGTATCTCGCCAGAAGAGATCCATGCCTTGCCCGCGATGCAGATTGAGGAGTTCTTCGGTATAGATTTGAATGACCACGGGATTGTTGAGAGTCAGAAGCTCTTGGAGTGCGCAGAAGTAGACGTAATTGGCACTGTTGATCGTCTGCGCAGTGCCAAAGATGGAGTGGGCCACAGGAATACCGCGGCGCAGTTGGGAGTTGTCCTCGACATCATCAATCAGAAGGGAGGCGGTATGGAGCAGCGCAACGACCCGCGTGATGACGGCCAATGAAGAAGCGGGCACCAAGAGCCATTCGTTGAAGGCATTGATGAGCTGTGCTCGGATGTCCTTGCCAGGATGCGACTCGAGGTAGGTGTAGGGCCCTTTCAGGATATTCTCCTTCTCTTGACTCCAGCTGCTGCCGCTGCCATCGATCAGGTCGGCTCCAATGTCGGTGGGTGGTGACTGGGTGTCGCGTGGAGCCGGACTGGCGGCAGCCTTCTGCGTGTGATTGCGTCCCTGGGACATCCACACGCGCTCGTCCACTTGCGGCAAGCGCTTGTTCTCGCGCGCGGCGCCCAAGCTGTGCTGGCTACGGTGTTTCTTCGAGAGTCGATGCAGCAGCAGAGTATTGCCGTCGCCACCGCCGTAGCTGTTCCTGCTGTGGTGGGAGATGGCGCGGTTTGAGCTGGTCCGAGTCGGGATGGTGGCGGGGTTGATGACGTGCGGAGACGAGGGCGAAGAAGGCGAGGTGTCGACGGGAGCTGAGACGTGCGCTGAGGAAGTGGTAGTGGGGGGAGTGGTATCGGTGGTGACGGCGCGGTGGGAAGAGCTCATCTGTTCCACCAGGCGAGGACGAGCACGCGCGAGTGTGTCAGAGGCGTGTGCTTGTGGGTAAGAAACGGGAGTGGGGAACAGAGCGTACGTGGCTCGGGTCCTGGATTTGTTGGTCGTGGCCGTGGGAGGAGTCGTGGGTGTTGTTGGACATGTATCGCGGCCATGGAGATATGTCTGCAGACGGCGATGGATGTGCTCGCCGTCGTCGACGGTGTTGGTGCTCTGCGGGCTCTCCATCAGCAGCAGCTCAGCAGCAGATGCTGCCATCGTTGGTCGCTCGGTTGCTCGGTAGACCCCCAAAGTATGTATGCATATACCTTAGCCCTGTATTGAGACAGGTACTAGGTTCAACTGTGCACGCTCCGCAGACACGACCCTGCTTCCCACTCAGCTCTCCATGTACATGTGTGATGATGGTATAGGCAATATCGTTCACGGTCGCAGCGTGCGGTACAAGTGCATATAGGTAGTCAGTATTCAGTGAGGTGGATAAGGCACGCAATGGCTCGCCCAGGCACATGTCATGTCCCATGCAGAACTGGAATTTGGGAGCCGCCAACCGCCAACCGCCACGACGATCTCCCTGCCGCCGCCGCTACCGCCGTCGCCGTCGCCGCCGTCTGTGGTCGCGGTGAGGGCAGGCGGTTGTCAGTGTGTTAGTAGTGGTGACAGCGGGACAGCGGGACAGCGGCGGGCCAGCCATGCGAGCTAGCACAGACCGGGCAGGGTAGTGCGTGCAGGCAGGTCTGCGTTGGAGCCTGTGAAGTGAAGTGAAAGTGCAGCATGGGTACCTCCTAATAAGATGGGGGATGGGTTTCAGAAAATGTGATGTGTCGTTCGCTTTCTGGCTGGCGACAAGCATGGACTACTGGTCGTATCGGCGCATATTTTAGGTTCGACGATATATCAAGACTAATGTCACTAAATCAAGTGTTGGTCGTGCCCGTCGGGAGAAGCCGAGATGCCTTGCCCTATGTCTATACCTACCAGAGAAGACAAGGGGGAAGGTAAGGGGGAAAGCAAGTCGTAGTAGGGATGTCTAATAATCTGAAAGCTATATACCTGTCCGGTAGAATATATATTAGTATAGTAGGTCCCTACCCTAGTAGAACCTTCCCTTAGTACTACCGTATAAGGGAGGCACCGAGTACGGTTCTACTGTATCTAGGTATTACTACGTTTACTCCTTCCTCCGCTCTCTACTAGGAGGGCCGGAAGTCGGTCGCCTATAACCGAAATCCTCCCTTTATACCTACGTTTGCAATCTATTATATATAGCGAAAGGTATATATTAACGAGTATACGCGGTAGGTAGTCTATTTAGTAGTTCGCTTCCCCGGTACAATCGGAATTCTATTATACTATACATTGTTGTACGTTATCGCTAAGTTACCCTTATTATTAGATCTCCTATCCTTCCGTCTGCTTAGGCATCCCTATAGCTAACTAGTACGGTCCTAACTACGAACTTAGTATAATCGGTACTAACTTATACAACGGTTCTTTATAAGCCTTTTTTTAGTAAATTCCGAGTACATTTTGTCGCGTTTCTATAGTAGGGTTTCTAGTATACTCGTAGAATCCGTATATAATAAGGGGAAAAGGTATATACGTACGATAAAGGAAAAGGTAGTATAGGTCCTATAGTTATATATATTTTAGTAAGACTATTAGGTATAATTATCTCGGTCGCGGCTTGTATCGGTCGTACTATACCTCGGTTGTACTATATATTAGTCGCTCGGTTAGTCGATCGGTCGTACTATACGACAGTCGCGTCGCGCCCCCTTCTAGCTAGCAGTTTTTAAAGATCTAGTACTCGGTACCCTAGATTCTCTATAAGGCGGGCCTCTAGCTCTATCTATATAGTCTCGAATCGGGCTATATCGGCGAAGGTCGTATAAGTCTGAAGTTAGGCTAGCTATACTTAGACGTATCCGTCCGCGTTTGCTACTTATCGTATATCTAGCGTAGTATTCAATATTTCCCTAATAGTATTTAGGCGTTCTAGTAGCTTCGTCTACGTAGCGGCTATCGGCGTATCCGGAGGCATCGTCCTATTTACGCGGACCGTCTAGCTAGGTCCTTATAGACCGCGTCCTTCTGCCGACTTATATCTCGGAGACCTAGATCTGTCTCTCTTATTCTCCCGGAGGCTATCGTCGTAGGTTCTACGCGTAGAGGGTATCGTACGGACTCTGCGCTAGGTAGTAGGAGTACTTGTTACCGACCTTAGTTGTCGGTATATAGTAGGCGTCTATAGCTTCGTAGGTATTGTCGTCCTAGTTAGTCTCGTCTTTGCTATCGTTAGGTTAACTAGGGCCGGCTGTTCCTTCCTATAGTACTAGGCTAGTAGCGTTTGTCCTACCTAATCTACCTAGTCTATTAGACTCTATAGTTATATAGGGTTATTTTCGGACTATAGCCCTACGCGGACTCCCGTACTGTATATCAATCTATCGCCCGCTTCGTTAGCTACCTTATAGAGGTATTCTGCCTCTTAGAGTATTATCTTACAGAGCTCTATAAATACTCTAGTACGGTAAACTATTATAGGCATCGGAGATCTCGGGGACTAGTTTCTAATCTATTAGTATAGGTTAGCCTCTACCTTAATCGCCGGCGTCCGGGGTATAAAGCGTTACGGCGCTTATTGCTTCGTCCGAATAGGTATTTAGGGTTCTAGGCGGGCGGGTTCTAGGTAGGCGGGTTCTAGGTTTGTATAGCCTCGCGCTACAATCTATAGTAGCGATACTACGGTCTAGTCTCCTAAGAACACTATCTAGGTTCTGTCCCCTTTAACCTTATAGTACGCGTCTACTATCTTTACGGCCTATTACGTCGCAAGGTCTAGGTTACGTATTAGCTAATCCGTATTAGACATCGTTCCGTCCGTTAGTACTATATAGCGGACGTCTATCTCCTTATAATACTATCTATCGAATATAGTATAGTCTACCGGTCCGAGGTTCTCGAGGATAGTAGTCGCTTGCTCTGCCGTCGGTAGTATATTTATAGTAAATAATTAAATAGGGCTAAAAATTTCCTATATAGGTCTCGGTATATAGGTCGGGATTTCTAGTATAAGGTCTACTATTGTATTTACTATCTCTATCCCGTATTAGAGGGCTTCGCTAATAAACTCGGGTATACTCTAGTATCCTAGCTATACAAATCCTTGTCCTAGAACCTTTATTACTCTAGGACCCGACTTCTCTACTAGTTAGGTTACTAACGTAGCTTCTACTCGCCCGGTCGCTCGGTCGAATATCGTTAGACAGTAGATATAAGGCAGGCCTAGTCTAAATACTAGTAGATAGAGGAACGGCGATACGGCCTTTATAGTATCGGCGACCTTCTCTACGTTAATCTCTATCTATACTCGCTATCGGGCTAGTACCTCTAGTAAGGTCGTATCTAGCTATACTTTCTAAAATAAACTACCGATATATACTATAGTACGTACCGGGTTTAGGCTTTAGAGAAAAAGATCCCTAATTACCGGGGTTAGTACTATCGGAGGAGGGGTATCGTCTATACGATAGTTATCGTCGTCGTCGTATATACTAGTAAGGTCGTCGTTAGTTCCGGATCTTATACCCGTTATCGACTTCGGAAGCCGGTTGTCCCTCTACGCCTTAATCGTTTCTTTAGCGTACCGAGGAATTTCGGATACTATACGGTATCTATCCTAGTATACTAAGTACTATTATTAGTCGGTAAGCGTAGTGACCTTGTCTATACGGACGATTCTTAGGATAAACGGGTCTTCCTACGAGCGGTTCCTAGCTATATACCAATTTGCGAAGGTATTAATTAAGCTATCGTTAAGCTACGCCTCGATATCGAAGATAAGTATATCTAACCCCGTCTCCGGGAATTAGGAATCGAGTTACCTGCCTTTTAGCTTCTATCTATCTAAAAAATTATACCTAGTAATACCGGCCTTCGGATAGGCGATAAGCAGTTATAGTAGATACTAGATAGAACTCTACTAGGTAACCTCGGTGCTTCGGTACTAGAGGTAGCAATCTCTCTAGATATACTAGAGGCTATAGACAAACGGTATAATAGCTCCTAGTAGCGGCTTCTCGTCGTATACTAGTTCGGTATACTAAACAAAGTGCTTTGCTCGGTCCTACCGGCTTATTTAACCGCTATCAAAACGGTAGGCTAGTATCTTAGATCCGACGATAAGCTCTGTATTATATAGGTAAAGATATACTTCCTCGTAGAATACCTGAAATTCGCTATAAGCTCGTATATATACGGTCGCTTATATAGCCCCGTTTGCTCGGGAGTTTCGAGCTTTAAATTCTCGAACGCGTTTAATTACCTACCTTACGAGCTCTGCTTTAGCCTACGCCGAGATTTCTATAGTATAGCCTATAGTATACTAGCCCTAGCTATCTTTGATTACCGACTTACTAACTCCTTTAGTCTAGTAGAAAGCCGGAAACCTAGTCCTTAGCTTCCCTTCGAGATTCGTATTCTTCTTACCGAAGAAAGGTACTAGTATCTTTTTGTCTCGTAGCGCTTCGTATAGGCCGAGGTACTCTCTACGGAGGATCTGCGGCTTAGTAGGATCATAGAAGGGGCCCGTAGTCTTAGGTACTTATAGGTACGAGATATTGTTTTGCTCGGGCGTCTAGCGGAGGATAGTAACGTCGTTCTATAGCTTCGATCGTAGATATTCGTCGAATTTCCTATCTACTAGTTCGCTCGGTACGTTCCTCGTCCGCTCCCTACCCTTAAAGGGATCGAATACTACCGGGTCTACCTCCTAGCTATTCTTAATTCCTATATAATAGTGTATTACTCCCTTAGTCTAGAGAACTCCGGGTCGTAGTAGTATTACCCCTTCCTATATACTGTAGTACTAAACTAGTCCCGGAAGTCTAGCCGGTAGCTCGATATTCTAGGTTCCCGGGTACTCTAGTCTAGGGATTACCGCGCCGTCGATCGTCGTCCTTATAAGCGTTCCGTAGTCTATATAGTCCTACTAGGTAACCTAGTTATAGGTTTCTAGGTTAAATCCTAGCTATAGATGTCGTTTGCCGTTAATAGTTACTTAGAGTTAAAGCAAATCGGCTCGTATTAAAGTGTCCTCTACTAGAATAGCCTTACCGGCGACTATATTAATAAGGACGCTAGTATTAGAGTTCCGGCCGTATTTGCCCTCTAGCTATATAGGTCTAATTAGTAACGACTTCTAGACGGTAAAGTCGTATACTGTATTAAGCTCGGTAACTCCTATTAAAATTGGATCTACTATAGGTAAGCAGTTATACTTTGTTAATATATAGATTTTTAAGAAAACCTTAAACTCGTACTAGGATTCGTCGGTAGGAGGGATACGAGTAAGGTACTTATAGTAACCCTTATGGTATACGACTATAGCCTCCTAAACTTAGAGGGTATATACCCGGAGGTAACCTACGACGACGCCCTTAGTATTAGTACTATCCTTAGTTACTCTCCGAAACCACTTAGGCATTTCGGGTATTAGGTCTTAGTCTGCCTATCCTACGTTATCGAGTCGGTCCGTTATCTTAGTATAGTACTACGAATGCTCGTCTAGGAGGGCCTTATAGGTAGTAGGACCGTAGTCCTATCGACCGTATAGTAGTATTGTACGGCCTCCTCCGTCCTTACGTTTAGCAACGAGCGTAACCCTTATATCTACGACTAGGGGTACGTCTATATAGTGCGGTATTAAGCGTATATATAGTAGATACGGGTATCAAACGCGTAAATGTATATATAACGGTAGATCTAATGTTAGCGTAACGGTGTCTACTAATATAATAGTAGACGTATATCTGCTAGTGTAATAATAGACGTATGTCGCGGTAAGCAATGTTTTTGTAGGTTGTTACTATGTTTATATACGACGCGCTTTTGTAGAATGTTTGTACTCGCTCTGTTATAGTCGCCTAGCAACGTTGCGTTCTATTATATTCTACTACGTTCGCTTATATCGAAAGAAATACTAAATTCCTATAAGGTAGGATATCTATACGGTCGCACTATACGTTGAATTATATGTCTTCGGAATAATACTACATTACCGCTCTAGCCCGGCTAGGCTATTGCGTCCTTTCTAGCGCCCGGCTTTCGTTTGCGTCGGAGTAGCTAGTATTTAGGTACGGTAGCCTCGATTAGTAGTATAAGGTAGGAGTGCCTTAGTTAGAAGAGGTAAAGATAATTACTATAGAAATGCCCTCGGATCTTCTTGCTATTAATCTGTCTTAATATATACGATCTTTAATAGTTACCCCTATAGCTAGTAATAACAAACGGCCCTCGGAAGGTAGGTATAAGCTTCTCTCTCTTCCCTTTATTAGAGGTATCTTCTAATATTACGGCTTGCCCTAGGTAGAATGTCTACCTACTTATACCGGCGTCGTACCGGGTCTTCTGCCGGTCGCGCCGAGTATTATCTCGCTCTTAGACGTCCTCTAGGACTCCTTGCCTCCTAGCTATAAACGTATATACTAGTAGTACTATTTCGGAATCGCGCGGAATATTAAAGTCTAGTACGGTAAACTAATCGAGGAGGTCTTGTTTAGAAGGTATTAGCAACGCCTACTCTATCGGTTGTATATCCGACGGCTTATACCCGAAGGCAATCTCTACTAGTAAGTAGCCTAGGTGCTAGATGTACCTAGAGTTAACATCCTTTATACGCTTGTCTAGATCGAGGTCCTAATTTAAATAGGACTTAACGAATCCTCTTAAGTCGGCTTCTATTAATATAGCTACCGACTTTATTATAGTCTTCTAAAGGATGTTATTAGCCTTCTCGACTATCCCTACTAGCCTCGACGCTCCCGATAGTACGTACGCGAGGTAGATACTATTTAGCTTATAGAACTATCTAGTTTCCTTCGCGACGTAGTACTTGCCCGGATCGTAGAAGATCGCCGCTAGGGTCGGGTAGTAGGTAATATATACCGCTAGTCTATCTACGGTATCCCTCGCGGAGCAACCTAGTACTATAGAGGTAAAGGACATACGGTCGAAATAATCGATAAGGTATAGTACGTACCTGTTTCTCCGGGCAGTCTCCGGGAATAGACTAATCTAGTCTATCCTAAACAACTACTATAGTCCTATTACCTCGATCGGTTACTACGGTTGTAACCTAGTACGGTTAGTATACCTCGCGTACTAGATATACCTAAGGATATACTCTCGGACGTTACTAGCGATATTTAGCTAGTAGACTCCTAACAATTTCTTAATAGTAATATCGGTATAAAAGTAGCCCTTATCGTCGTAGACCTACTGTAGTAGCGGACCTACCTCCCTTAGAAGGAGGTATACTACCTACTTAGAGGTTTTGGTCCTCTAGTACAATAGTCGACCGTTCCTTTCGTTATAGCGGTAATATATTGATTGCCTCTTAAATACCGCTCGTTTGGCTACGTCTACTAGTAGGAGCTCTCCTATAGTACAATATCGGTATATATTACCGTACTATAAGGATCTCTTAAGTTCGGTATTCTTTATCGGCTAGCTTGTCGTCGTAACGGAGAAGCTAGTCTATCCTAATAGGTATAGACCCTCGTTAGTAAAGCTAATAGAGAGTACGGTATTAATACTATATACTTAGTAAGTTCTTACTATCTTCGCTGTAAGTTGTTTTAGCTTATCTTAGTAGCTACCCTTACTAGTCTTCTAATACTACTTATCGCCTAGTAGATATACGGTAACCTTATTAGCGAGATCTCTAATTATTAGCGTCTCTTTTATCGACTTATCCTCGTCGAACTCGAAAATCGTTCGGCTAAGGCCGTCGGCTACTACGTTCTTCTTTCTAGTAATCTATTCGAAATAGATATTAAGTATCCGAAGCTTCTATACCTATTAGAAGTAGATGTCTTCGTAGGTATAAGAGTTTAGGAATCCCTCTAGAGGTTTCTAGTTATAAAACATAGTAGAGACTTGCTCTACCTATAGCTAATGTTTGAACTTTATAGCTCTACGAAAAATTACTAACAGTTCCCTCTTATAGGTATCGTAATTTCGCTCGGTCTTTGTAAACCTAAACGAATTATACTAGAGCGGCCTCTCTTCCCTATTCTAGATTTAGGTAATAACTATTCCGGTACCCCCTCCGGACGCGTCTATATATATCCGGTATAGTAGTTTCGGATTATATCCGAATATTGCTACTACCGTATAATATAGTCGCTTTAGGAGGTTAAAGGACAGGTCTTATACCGAAGTCTAGACAAACTCCTTCTTTCTAGTAAGTATAGTAAGGGAGAGCGCTACCTAGGAGAAATTTTTAACCTAGCGTTTCGTAGTCTAGACGGTACTAAGGAACTCGCGAATATTTTCTTGCGACTAGGGTATCGGCTACTCCTTAATCCTTCTTAGGGCGTCTTCTTTAATTATTATTCTGCCTCCTAGATAGTACTATCTACCGAGTACGAAGATTTTTGTTATAAATAGCCGGATCTTTTTAGGAGAGAGCTTTATCTATACCTATAGTAGTCGTAGCAGGACGTATACCTTAAGGTAGTCGTATCCTTTAATAAAGACGCGGTCGTCGGGAATGCTATCTCCTATTACGCCGAAGCTATTATCTATAAATACGGAACAATGCTATACGTCTAGTCGTTCGCCGCCGTATATTAGTAAGGGTTCTAGGTCTAGCGGTAGTATTGCTCCTAATACGATATATATTAGCTCGGTTATAGTAAACGACGCCGACCGTTCGCCCTATAGTATTCTCGTTAGTTAATATTAACCTATTCCTAGTACCGAGAACGCTAGTAGGTACCGATCGTCCGGGTATATAGGAACCGACTAATAGGTATACTTAATATCGAATTGAAAGTACAACTTATAAGAGGGATTTAACAAGAAGTTATATACTGCTTCCTAATTATATATCTAGTTACCTAGTTAGTCTTCGTATACCTAATAGTAGTTAAAGACTAACCGAGGCTACTCCTATCCCTCTCGCGGTACGATTATTAGTACTATATTCTATTCGGATAGCTTACCGTTCGTATAGAACGTTTTCTCGTATATACTAGTATCAATCCCGTCCTAGATAATACGGCGAAGCTAGTACTCCTTCTAGCCGGCGTATCTGCGCTGCTTTGTACTATATACCGGAGTTCCCTCTTTAAGTCGTACCTAGTAATATATAAGGTCGATCGGTAGGATGTCCTTAAGATCGTCTACAAAGATGTCCCGGTATACCTATAGTAGGGCTTTTACCTTGTCCCTCTACTCCTCGGTCGTCGCTAGTAGTCTAACTGCTAGGAACCCTCTATACCTAAACTAGTCGTCTACTTCCTTAGGCCCTAGGACGTCTATAGTATTTAGGCGGACTACTTGTCGCTCTATAGGAAATAGTTGTTTTAGTAGCTCGGTAGTCTTTGTCTCGAATACAGTAGCTAGTCGGACCGTATTAACCAAACGGTAGTCTAGGTCTAGGTACTTAAGGTAGTAGAACCTTAAGCCGTACCTATAAGGTATTAGCAGGTCCGACGGGTCTGCCGTCTCCTAGATCTTCTATTTAAAATATAGCTAGTTATACTTTACTATAGCTAGTAGGACTGCTATATCTTCTTAAATCTTCTCGGTTATTATCGGCGCTACCGGACGAGGTACTAGTACCCGTAGTCTTAATTTGGGCTCTAGTAAGAGTTCTTCGAATATAGGGCTCGGTAGCTCGTACTCGTCGCTATTGTTAAAGTTCGGTAATACTTATATAAAGTTCGGTAATACTTATATAAATATAGGATCGGGTTATACTTATATAAATAATAGTTCTTGTATCGTATTAGCAATGTTTAATATAGTCTTAATACTCTCTAATTGTAGGTTCGTATTAAGCCTTTTTGCGTCCTACTAAGGACTCCTTAGTTTTCCTCCTCGGAGGTATTATCCTCTAAGGTCGTAGACTCTAAGTCCGAGCCGGAGCTATCGCTATCTAATTCCGTCTCGTACTATAGTACCGGTAGAACCTTAGTTACCTTCGCTATAGTAGGTACCGTAAGTTCGGTCCTTATCTCTCTACGGCTCGGGTTACTAATATATAGGCTCTCTTCCTAGATATTAATTATTGTATATACGCTATAGAGCTACGGAATACTAAGTAGGAGTAGCAATTAGTAATATTAGTATCTCTTCTCGGTGCCTGTAGTAGACGGTACGACTACTGCCTAAGTACGACGATAAATCCTATACGTAGATATATTGATATATACCTAGTAGCGGAGCGGTATAGTGTCCCTACTAGCTACCCCTATAAACAACTGCCGCGAGTTGATCTCGCCGAGACTCCTTAATTAGAGCTCTAGCTTCTCGACGAGCGGTATATAGATTATATTTAGATCCGAGCCCTAGTCGGCGTAGGATAGGTAATAGGGTATAGATACCCTTCGAGACGATTTGTCCTTCTATACTTCGACCGCGACCGAGAATAACTTGCCTTCCTTATCTAAGTAGGCTCGGAAGTCCGTAGTAACCTTAGTGTCTAAAGGTATACGGTTTACTATACTTATATTCGAAATCTTGTATATCTCGCGGTTTATAGTCGGTTTAGTCTCTTTGTTATCGGCGCCGACTCCGAGGTATACTTTAGTAACGTACTTTTTCTTGTTCTTGCCTCGCGGCTCTCGTAGGGCTTTGCTTAGAGTAATCGTATTATCGCGGAACTTCGGTAAGAGTTAGAATATCTCCTATAGGTCGATACTTAGCTTTTAGCGCTACTAGATACGTTTAGTTAGGCTCTTGCTCGTAATTAGGCCTTGCTCTATATAATATTAAATAGGTTATAGCTCCTTCCGAGACTTCTTCTTTTTCTTAGGAGCTGCCGGTAGTATTAGGATAAATCCCGGTAGCGGCGGTAGGCCTTCTACTATAGGGTTGTCGATATCGTAGTCGATTAGGTTATATATACCTAGTAGGCGGTAGACTCGGTTAGGTTACTCTAGAGCTTCTAGTACTCCGCCTAGTACCTCTAGTACTTTGTCCGGTCGTCCGGCTATCGGGTCGAAACGCTAAATATACTTTCCCGGCTCGGTACGAACGGCCGGCATCGAGAGCTTAGTAAGTTCTTCGCCTAATACCTTGTCGCCTAGGTTAGCGTAGAAGTCTACTCGTTCCTAGTTACTATCCTCGTCGACAAAGAAGAATCTGTTAGCGTTAGCAAACGCTACCTTACGCTTAGGGGCTTTGTCTTCGGTATCTTCTAGCGTAAATATTCTATACGAATTATATACGCTTTCGACGTCCGATTCCCCGTCGTTAGTAACGTACCCGACTATACGCCGTACCGGTAGGGTAATCGCGTTCGGCCCTAACGCCTAAGACCCCGCTAATACTCCCGACTACTATATATTGTCTCTAAATACTATGTTCTTAAGTATATTCTGTTCGTCTCGTAATAGTAGTAGAGGGTTGCCTAGGCATTCGGTACCCTTAACTGCCTTATAGCCTAAGACGCCGTCTTTAATACAAAGGAATCCTATTAAGCGGTTATACTTACGAGAACTATTAACGAACTCGTTTCGCGATGTCTTTAGGTCAAACCTACGATCGAACGTACGGCTAGTTATTAGGTTACTCGGTATCGGGTTACTCGGTAGTACCGAGGCTAGCGGCGGCGGTAGTATAGCTATAACTAGGGTCGGTACAACTTACCGCGTTACCGGCGCTATACTAGGCTAATAACTAGGGCTAGTACCTTAAGAGGCCGTATTTAGGTTCGCGCCCGGTACGGCGCGCTTACCTTTTCCCTACTAATTGCGTTTCGGGAGGAGCGTATAGCTATACTTGTTATATAGGGCTAATATCTCCTCGAACGAACTTAGTCTACTATATACGGTAAGTAGCTTCTAGTTCGGGATAGGAACTGCTAGTACTTCTATAGTTAGCGTACGGAGCTTATAACGGTCAAACAGGTAAGGGTCTCGCTTAGATAGGTCTTTTAGCTAGTTAAGGGCGTCTATCTTATCTACCGGGATTCGGAACGTATCTAATCGGCTATCTTTAACGGTTAGTACTAATATAAGCTTGTCTATAAGTTCTAGTCTCTTGTTCTTAATTATTACGTCTACAAGTTTGCGCTCTGTCTCTAGGCGCTTCTATTGTAGGACGGAGTGCTTATATGCTCCGTACAACGATCTAGTAGTCGTAACTATATAGTACTCTAGCGATTTTATTATTAGGGCTAGGTTATAGATTCTATAGAGGTAGGCCTTAATAGCTATAGAGAGAAAGGTAATATAGAGTAGGCTTAGATCTTGCCCGTTCTCGTAGTCTTGCCCGCTATAATTAAGAAGAAGATCTATCGCTCGGTAGTAGTACTCGAGCAACGTTTCGTCCGGCGATTAGCGTAGCTTCTAGAGCTTTAGCAGCGAGGACTTATCTACTATATCGCGTCTTCTATACTAGCCGAGGAAGAGGTTCTTAAATGTTTAAAGGTCTTTCTCGGTAGCTTAGGATACGCTCTCGTTAGAGAGAATCTTTCGTACTATCTAGTTACGGTCGGCCTAGTCTTCGGCATCGCTACCGAATTGTAGATAGGAATCTATAGTAGATAGTATCTCTATAGGAGGTACTCTATAGTTAGCGTACTACTTAGCGAGCTCGAACTCTATCTTACGAAGCTAATAGGTACTATTCTATATCGTCCTATCCTTCTTCTTCCTAAAGAAGTACGGGATTTATAGTCCGGTAGAATTTATAGTAGTATACTTAGCGTCGGTACCGTTTATTATAGCTAGAGCGGTCTCTTAAAGGTAGTACGTCTTAATTAAATCGAATATCTAGGGTCCGAGCAGTTCTCTTAAGTATTCTTCTTTAGTAGGAACGTACGGATACGGTAATCGTTAAGGGGTATAAAAATCCTCGGAGCTATATCCTACCTAGTACAACTCCTCGGCTAGCGTACTTGCTTACTAGGTAACTTCTAGTAACGGTGTACGTAATGTTATACACTAGTGTTACCGTATCTTAGTATTACTATATCTTAGTATTACCGCGTCTCGGATACACTATATAAATAAGGTAAGGAAACGTCGGATATAAGAGGATTAGAGGGATTAAGAATTCTAGTCTTAGGGCAGGAGACTCTAGGTATATATATCGACGAACTTGCCTCGATTGTTCGATAGTTTTCTAGAAGGTATAAACTCTTATAGAAGGTATCGTAAAGCTTTGTAGGTAAGTACGGTCCGACTAATAGAAGTCTCGATTTATAACTAGAAAGGTACAGTTCGGCTAATAGAAGTCGTCGCTTAGTTTTAATAGCTTATAAACTCTAATCTCTTATAGGCCTTAAGTACTAGGGGAGGTAAACTTATATAAATATAGATATACCGTAGATTTAGGTAATCCGCGTATAGGGGAAGTCGTAGATACGGTATGTTTCTCGCTTCTATAGAGCTATCGCCCTATAGTACTATATAAATCTATACCCGGTAGACCCGTTCCCTAGCTATACTATACAAATCCGATTAAATTTAACCTCTTTTATATATAATATATAGTCTAATTTGTCGAGCACTTTAGGGGGAATTAGCGGTAGGTAACGTAGGGTATCCCTAGCAGTTCTCGGTAGCTTTCCGAAGCGCTAATTAAGCTCCTAGAACCTTAGTATACCGTATTGCGTAGCGGTAAGCTACTCGTCCGTCTAGAGCTCCTCTAAGGAAGGCCGGGCTAGTAAAGACCAGTCCCTAAGGTAGTTCTAGAATAGGACTCCTTATAACAGCGACTTCGCGTACTTAAGTACCTTATAAGGGGATACTCTTTTAGCGGTCCGGGAACTAGGAACGCTTCCTATAGCGTCTACTAGAGAAGACAAGAGGGAAGGTAAGAGGGAAAGTAAGTCGTAGTAGGGATATCTAATAATCTGAAAGCTATATACCTATCCGGTAGAATATATATTAGTATAGTAGGTCCCTACTCTAGTAGAACCTTCCCTCGGTGCTACTGTACAAGGGAGGTACCGAGCACGGTTCTACCGTGCCTAGGTATCACTACGTTTACTCCTTCCTCCGCTCTCTCTACCGGTACCTCCTAGGTACATACAGGTAGTTTACTAACTTCACTGCACTCGGCTTTGTCAGTGCTAGGCCGGCAGATGTGCTGACCATGTACGTCGCAAACTTTAACAGTACATTAAGTTCATTTCAAAAGAAGATAGGTTGCAGGCGCAATAAATTATCTTACCGATCTAGCAGCTCAACCCGACGTGTACTACCTTACCTCCTGTGTACTAGGGAGTTCTTAGCAACTCAGAGCTTGGCGTGGCGAAGCTTGCGAGCCTCAGGCAATAAAATGATTAGGTAAGGGAGGCACTCAGGTACACGCACCTTATGTCCACCTCAAACAACGAAGAATACCTCCGAGAGTTTTCCGCCAGGACACCACGCTTGTTAACGCATATATATATATATTCCCTCCAGCAACCTCACTGAAAGGCCGACTATTGAGCACCCATGGTATGGTTCTCCTCGTCACCAGCGTATGCGAATCGGGAGCGTGCCCTGATTTGCGCGCCAAAGAAATAAAACAAATCTAGCTGTGTGTGTTAGTGACAGATTCGACACGGGGCTCATGAGGCTGCTGATGTGGTTACTAACATGGAATCGCGCAGCAAGCCAATCCGATAAAGGCAAGAAGAGAGCTTGCCCATTGATCGCCGAGTCGATGGTACATTTGGATCGTGAAGAGGACAGTTGCGGCGCCCCAGATGCTGCGAAGAAACGTCTTGGCTGCCAACGCCGAAGCTGCTTGATGCTGATAGGTGTCGACCTGTCACAGCCAGTTAGCATTCGATTTTGGTTTTGGAACTGCCCACTGACATGGATGTGCTCACCAAGTAGTTGTTTGCAGAGTTGTACAGGAAGATGAAGCCAAATCCCACGAACCAGCCGCCAAATGCTGGTCCAAACCAGGTCAGTCGCGGGTAGCTTGTCCACCTACAATGTGCAAACATCAGAGGTCAGTCACGATCCAACATGTTTGATTTCGTCACGAGACAAGATCTTACGCAAAGATGAAGAGCCCCACTGGTATGCACCAGCAGCTCCACATCATGGGGATCAGTCGAACTTCAGCTGGCGGCCGGCCATTGTACCGCTCGACTTGTTTCAGGTAGTGTTTGTTCACCCACGGCGAGCAGATGGCACTCATGATGACTCCCAGTGCAAGGGGAATGAACATGAGGCCTGTGATGGACGCTGAATAGCCTTTGCCTTCCTGAAAGACAATGGGGTATGCCTGTGTACCATATCAGCATGCCTGCCGCTTCGTATTGCGGATCGCCGACCTACAATGAAGAACATGTAGAGCAGTCCATACAGGACGGACATGTACAACGAGATGAAGAAGACGATCAGTTCTTGGAACAGAAGCTGAAAAGGCCTCAACAAGAACACGCGCAACCGCTCGCTCACGGGTCGCAAGTCCAGGTCCATCTCGGTCACGTATTTCTCATCGCCCGTCTCCTTTCTCATCTTCTTCGCTCTTCTCTTGAGAATCGTGGGGGCATAGGTCTCGGGAAGGGTAAAGGTGATGAAGATGTAGCAGAAGCCAGAAAGGATCAGCTGTAGCCAGTACAGCCATCTCCACCCCAAGTGGTCAGCTGTAAAGCCTCCTACTAATGGTCCGACCTAGAGCCCCAGAACGGTCAGCATTGCTTTCGACCTGTGGAACAGGTCGCTCGGGGTATGAACTTACTGCAGGGCCAATGAAAGGCGCTGCACTGAATACAGCCATTGGCACGCCTCGCTCCTCTGATTTCCAACAGTCTGCCAGCGTTCCCCCCACGAGAGTCATCGCTGAAGGCTTCACAGTCAGCAAGAGTCTCACTGACGTCTGCCGTTGCATCATTTCCGCCCAGCAGGCAGGGGAATCGAAGACGGAATGCGCCGTTCAGCGGATGCCATTACTTACGGGCAGAGAAAGCGATACCGTCAATCAATCGACAGACCAGTAACGTGGCGATATTGTCCGCCACCGCGCAGGGAATAATGAAGACCACAGCGACAAGCAATGTGCTGGCATACATGATTCTCCTCCCCAAGATTTCCGACAGTGGCGCGAAGACCATGGGTCCCAACCCAAATCCCAAGACAAACAGCGTCGTCGCCAACAGCGAGACCTCTTCACTGACACCAAACGTCTCAGCGGGACCAGCAGGATCTGCGGTGATGACGGCAGAATTGAAGGCCACAGCGAAGCAGGTAATGGCCACGACCATGGTACACCACCATTTGTACGCCTTGGACCAATTCTTGGGGTTCTCGGCATCATTCTCGACAAACGTGACGAGCTCATACTTTTCCGACTGCAGCTCTCCTGTCCTCGTGCGCTTCATCGAGACCACCGGCTGCAGACCCGTCGCCGTCTCTTCGGTGTATTCTCGCAAGCGATCCTGCGCTTCGACGGTGACGGTTCGATAGGGCAAATTGACCGCATCCACGGGATCGAGCTCGAGCGTGTGGGGCTTCGCGAGAGGTGGAAGTGATGTCGAGGAAGGAGGAGGAGGAGGAGGAGGAGGATGAGAGTTCGTAGTATCCGCCTGGCCGTCATGTTTCTTTTCGTAGTCTTTCATACTGAACGAAGAAGACAAGCTCGACGAGCTTCGCGTTTCTGCAAGTTGCGAAGAAGGTCTTCGGCTCTCGTCTTCCTTTGATGTCATGCTCGCGAACGTGTTGGGTGCGTAGCAGCAGCAGCAGCAAAATGTTGGCAATCGATCACAGTACTCGGGGTATATAGACAAGCATAAAGAATCGAAACCAAAAAGCAGAACGAAAAAAAATGTCAAAAGCACTTGACCGACGAGAGCATATATACCTACTTACTCAACAACATCAATATACCTTATATCTATATCCCATATCTATCCCATATATTCCGCACTGCAGTAAAACACGAGGTAAGTTAGGTACCTAAACAAGGGTAACAGTAGTATTTCATTCCGTTCCATCTCTCCGGCAAAAAAAAGTGTATCTATGTAGCCGCTCCTCCGCATTAGATCCGCGTGCGTCGAAACAGGAACGTACAGGTAAGTGTCTTTCCATCCCATGTTTTTTTGGTGGCAGAAAGAAAATGCAGGTGGTAAGGTACCTATTTATCTATCCCCGAGATATCTCCCACGCCCTCGCGGCGACAAAATATGTCGGGACGGTGCGGACCGTATAAATATCCGTTCGGGCCGGGCAGTCTGAGACCTCAAACCCTAGTTCAGCCAGGCTTAGGCTTGGGGGGCTTGCTTGACGTGACGTGAAGTGAAGGATCGCGGGCGAGCGATGTCGGAGGCCGAAGGAAATACAAATGGCCCGAAACGAGCGAGCACGCGAGCAGAATTTCATTCATCATTTCATAGTGGGATTTGTGCACGTCTGTTGTTGTAATTATTACAAGGTGAGTTGTTGTCCAATCCTAGAGTAGAAAGCGTCAAGCCTTTGTTACCCTTTCACTTTCAGAATAAGGTTGCCGCACTTATTACTAGCGCACTTGGACAACTGACCTCAGGCATATATATCAGATATACTAACTAGCAGGATGAACACACTTACTTTCAAATCAAGAGCCCCCACACTCGTACAAGTCTACACTTTCAGACCCAACTCAGGTGATATGACCTTGAGTAGCCTCTGGTGCACATGTCGTGCAGATTGCGCCCGAAGAAGCCAACAGTCCCGTATAATGTCGCTAAAGTCAAGCCCTGCAAGATCAGGAAACTGATCAAGGCGGTACAGACATTGAATCTGTTCAGTTTCCAAGTCGACGTACGGCGGCTTGCCAGTCACCACCTCGTAGATGCTGGAGCCCAAGGCAAAAAGGTCATCCTCGGGTTCGATCAATTCGCGGGTCTGCAATCGGGGTGGATAGAATCTCACGCTGCCGCCTGCGGATGACTTGGAGCCATTGATCGAGACACAGCCAAAATCGGCAACTTTCACGCCCAGTGTCTCGTCAAGCAGCATGTTGCGAGGGCTGAAATCACAGTGCACAATGTTTGCAGAGTGAAGCAATTCCATGCCTTCGGCCAATTCGCAGATCCACTGGTGGCGCTGGGTGGTCGATATGCGATCATGGTGGGCTTCCAGGTATGATCGAAGGGTGCCGTTAGCCATGTATTCCATGGTGATGGAATAATCCGTTTCGTCGTACGAGAGGAATTTGACGAAACGTTTGTGGGCCCCGAAGGTCTTGAAGAGTAGATGGTAGACATGAGCTTCTCGAGCCATATCTTCTTCGGAATCCTTGTCTTCCCCGGGCCACGCCGACTTGACGACGTCTCCGTTTGCTAGTAGCTCGACGATCCCGGAGACGCCTGCATCAATGAGCTTCCCTTTTGCACGGCGACATGTACGGCGTATGACGCCGTCAGTAGTCGTAAGGGAAGGTTGCGAGTCCTCCGACAGTGGACCAGTGTTCTCGGCTGGTGGCTCAGACATTGTCCCTGTGAAGACGCGAAATGGAATTTCTTGGAGGAGGTGACTGAATGTATGTAGGTGGACGTGGACGAATAGAAAAAGATAGGTAGGGACGGTGGGGGGAAGAGTACCTCCCTACGGCGTTTGCGCCAAGGTCGCACTAGCGTGTGTACGTTCCTGGCAACTGGGCGGTCCCTTACAGGCATCAGTTTCTGTACTTGAACCAGAAAGAACCTGGAAGTACCTATTCTCCGTAGCGCGAGAATCTAGTCGCCTGTGAAATGTGAGCCTAAGGTTACCCAAGGTTCCTACTCTTCGAAAAGTGCACTTCTACTATATGCCTACTAGGTAGTGCCTAAGGTAGGTACTGGTAGGTATAGCTAGTTTGTAGGAATACCCGAATAAGTTAATACGGGTTTTGTATCTCTTACCTTGGTCCTTACCTATCGAACAGCGGCACGACAGAGAATATACTATAGGACGGCGAGACGCGCATTACACTATATGCTGTAAGAAATGTTATATTACGGAGTCCCGAAGCATCGGCGTGTGTAGCCAACAAAGCGACCGATATCTACTTACTCGGCCTCGCGAGTACTTTATTCACGTATTAGGAGGCAGGGAAAGATTCATTGCAGCAGGAATTTCACCCGAGCAGGACATGGTTATAAAGCACTTCTATTACTTTGGACCCGTCTCGTCGAATTTGTGTAAGCGAATTCGAGATGAAGATTGGAGAGCAGCGTTGCGAGGGGCGGCGGCGCAGGCGGCCCGATGTAGAGGTTGCGGAGCGGCCGGAGGCAAGAATGAGATGTTGGATAGAGGAGAGGGATTGGGCGAGCATACGGTGGATTTTGTTGGGAAGAAGGAGCAACTTGGATCCCCAATGCCGTCCCAAGATAGGTGGAGTAGGTTGTTGTTCACCCGTTTTGGCAATAGAGTCTGAAGGGTGGAGGTAGTGCGGCAGAGATGAAGGAGGTAATCATGGAGGTTTACGGCACAACCCGACTCCGAGCTCGCCGTCCACATGTCCCGAGGCCGAGGGAGAAAAGTTCCTTTGGTGCGGCATACAGAGCTCTCAGCCCTCAGCTCTCACAGCGTCTCATCAGGCTGAAGAAAGGAGGTGGTGAAAAAGAAAGAGAGCTCTGTTGAGGTTACATTGTACACGACCCGTGAGTCATCCAGCACACGCATGAGAAGGATCGAGGGCACATTCACATCCATGTCAATACATGTCTACAATGGTGATAGCTGTGCAATCCCTGTCCATGCCCATGTTCATGTCATGTTGCTGCGACGCGGTGAGGAGAGGTAGGCTCAATGATGTCACCAATGTCAGCCGGCACAGTACGGTCATTGGACGAGAGAGACAGAGAGAGAGAGTGTGTGAGTGTGTGTGAGAGAAAGCCAAGAGATGGAGGTTGAGTCGTGCTGTTGGCGCTAGTAGGTTAGCGAGACGAGTCGGCATGAGATGAGACGCCGGCTTGCCTGCCACGTAGGTAGACAGTTAATAATGCAGTGCAGTGTGCAGTGTGTGCCGAGTGTGCAGTGCGTCGTTCGCACCGTGCAGAGTGTGCAAGGCAATTTCGCCAAGCCAAGGCCACACAGAGTCTGATTCGCTCGTTTGGAGTTCGCGTGTCGCTGAGAAGAGCAGGTGGCAGGTGCGATGCTGGAATCCCCGTCGACCATCTGCAGACTAGGGTACGACCATCACCTTCCGGCAGCCCCGTCACCCCCGTCACGCCAGCCATCTTTCTCCCCCCCCCTTCCCTTTTTCTGAGTCGCCCGTCCGCGCTTGCCTGCTGGGAAAACTACTTTACTCCCTCCTGCCGCCCTCCTTCCTGCTCTTCTGCTGTGTTCCTGCCCAACGCTGCTGCTGCTACTACTGCTGCTGCCCGACCATCATCCACCTCCATCCACCACCTTCTACACTACTTTCTCCTCACAACCTCACTCACTCTCTCCTCCCTCTCTCTCTCTCTCTCTCTCTCTCTCTCTCTCTCTCTCTCTCTCCCCCTCTCACTACCTGCTGGCGTGTTGATCCTGGGTCGTGTTTCCACAACACCTCCACTACAACAACCCAGAAGCACATCCCGTTGCCCGCTTGGCTCTTCCTGTAGCCTCAGCTGTCGTGCTGTATACACTTCTCGGACTTCTTCCAGGATGCCCTTTCGCACCCGCGACGAGCAATTGGCCGCCAGGTACTTTCTTTTCCCTCCTCCACCTTGCTCCTGTTGCGCGTTGCTTCTTTCTTTCCTTGCACATATCACATGTACTCGACCTGCCTTCGAGATGATCTGATGTATTTTCCTTTTCTGTTTTTCTTTTTTGCTTTCCCTCTTGGACCACCACATACTTGGTAGCCAGCCGGCTTTGGACTTCCCTCGGACTCTCCTGCTGCTGCTGCTGCTCCCTTTCTACCCATCCGGGTCATGCTATCCTGCATTTGGAACACGCCTGTCCACCCGCTGGGCAGTGGGCATCTCACGTGTAGCGTGAATGGGCTGACTTGAAGCCTCCAACTTATATATACAGTGGAGTTGCTCGTCGCCTTGCTACCCTGAGTAATGGCTTCTGTGAACACCGTTCATGGAAGCTGCGCCCGGATCATCTTTTCCCACAAGGATTGCTTTGCGCAGCCGCGCCTGGTGTGATCATGACCTATGAACGTTCCACAAGGAAGGAATTTGGACACTACCTCTCAACGGCCAGCTACCTTGGCTGTACTGCACCTCCCAGGCTCTCGTACTGTTGGCTTCGAAAATCACCTGATTCTAGCCCGCATCGATCTGCCTGCCTACATGCTTGCACATTGTTGTTCAGCACTCTCCCCTACGACTGTTGCTGTGTACTATGCGCGGCAGGGAGACACATTCCGGAGAACGGGTCTTGGTTTTTTTTTATGTTATTGTACTTTCTTATTGTTGCGCAATGTTGCTCAATGTCGAGGGGGAAGCACTAACACATGTGTCGAGTAGTGAGGAGTGCCACTCCCTTCACCAGCCCGGATCAGTTCTCTTTGCCCAACCCGCCGAGGTGGACAACTGGTGCCACTCTATCTACCCGGACTCTGCATACCCTTTGACTCCACCGGACACTGCCTCGGATTGTGCCCCTTCGGACTGCCCGGACATGTACGACCCATCATGGACCCAGGCCTCGCTGCCCGAGGACTCCTGGACAATGCCATCCGCATCGGACTACAGCGCGCTCCTCGCGTCGAACCGACAATGGACCACCGGAAGTGTTGTGTCCAGCAGTCGCCAGGACGTCCATGACCTGTCCACTTTGGATGATTCCTGGGTGCACGCTTCCCAAGGATCTGTAGACACAGGTTTGTCGCCTGTTCTGAGCCATGAGAGCCAGACGGCGCACAACCTACACCCCATTCCAGGGTCGGATTTTTCCATGTTGCCGCCCGGCTTGGATCTGTCCTTTATCGGTGAACCCACCGCGTGGAATGCAGCGGCGCCGGTGGTCGATGCCACTGTGCCCCAGGAAGTGTCGGCCACTATGCTTTCCTCCCCCATGTCCATGCCGGCCGGTCCCCCATCACAGAGTAGTGTGTGCCACCCTCTGCCCATGTCGGAACCTGTCATGTACGGCCCGCATCAGCCGATGTTTGCTTTCCCGGAGTATCCCATCCAGTACCAACGGCCTGCTTCGGACCTATCTGCTGCCTCTCCCCGGCGTTTACTGCCGCGCATGGATGTTCCCGCCCTGCCGGCTCACTATGCCAGTGGTTACGATTACTCGCTGCAGCCACAATTGCCTGTGTTTGCTGCAGAGGGCGTTGCGAGAGTAAGTAGCCAGAACTTCTCCCAGGATTCCAATGTAGCTGGAACAACCCATGGCCACGGTCTGATGACACCTCCTCCGCGCCCGGAGCAGTCCTCCCCCGGATTGATTCCGGCCCCGTCCTCCACGTCCGACCCCGGATGTGATGAGTTCAGCAGCTTTGTCCGGTACGATCAGGAGGAAAGCGCACCTCCGGTGCAGATGAGGTTCGAAAATGTGACACCTGAAGTCTTGAATCGTGATACTGATCTGCCACGTAGCTCCGCGCCTGATGCTGCATCCGCGCCTGCCCCATCGTCTGGCCATCGCCAGGAGATGACTCCTGCGTTGTCGAGATCTGACTCGGTGGGATCCAAAGCCACCTCTACTGCGAGCGTGAGCGGAGAGACCGATGAAGGTCGTCACCGGAACCACCCATTGTATTCGAAAGGGCCCGAGGCCGATGGATTGTACCACTGCCCATTCACCAGCGATCCCAGCTGCCAGCACAAGCCCACGAAGCTCAAGTGCAACTACGAGTACGTCCTGCTCTAGATCTTCTTACGCACGCGTGCTACTACGCAAACGATCTGTGCTAACCATGTGCGCAACAGCAAATTCATCGACTCCCATCTGAAGCCCTTCCGTTGCAAGGTAGAGTCCTGCTCCAAGCAAGAGTTCTCGTCTACGGCATGCCTGTTGAGGCACGAAAGAGAGGCTCATGGCATGCACGGCCACGGCGAGCGCCCACACCTGTGCTTCTACCCGGGCTGTGAACGCGGCATCCCTGGCCATGGCTTTCCGAGGAGGTATAATCTCTTCGATCACATGAAGCGAGTCCATGACCACAAGGAAGAACCACAGCATGACCGTGCTGCCGCGGACAATGGTGCCCGTAAGCCAGCCAGCCGCAAGAGAAAGGCCGTTGCCACCAGTGATGAGCCCGCCGCTCGACGACTGAAGACTCAGCCCGTGCCCTCCCAGGCCCTTGCTGTCCCACAAGAGTACTCCGTCCCGGTTGCTCTCTATCCCGAGCAGGCATACCGTCCAGTTCCAGGAGCCCAGCGCAACGTGTACAGCCAGTGGGACCACCCCAACAAACTCGTTGCCTTCCAGATGGACTCGATGTCTACTCTGGGAGCGAATGTGACATCGCAACAGGCCAGGCACGGCTGAACATTTACAACGTGCTGCTTACGAGGTAAATAACTCATGCCCTTGACTCGCACGCGCATTTGCTGATTAGTACCAAAGCAGCTTTACTTTTTTTTATTGAAAATATCCCGAGTTGGATACTGATATTCCTACTGCCGCTCCATGAGATGCACATGTTGGACACTGCATAAGTCAGGATGCGTAGTCATCACCGCTGCTGGCTTCCACCGTACAGCGGACCAGCAGAGCACTTTTCTCCCGAAGAATGCTGCGACGCGACTGTAGATACGGTCCCGTGGCCTGGTCCAGACGGGTGTGACAGTCTTGCCACTGTCACATGTGTAAAGTGGGAGAGTCTCTACAGTATAGAGGGGAATGGGGGAAAGAGGCATATGCAGAGCATGGCCCTGGTGAGGTGGTATTAGAAGCTAGAATGGCACAATAGACGTCCTGTCTCCCGTGTGGAGAGGAAGAGAAAATACAAAGAAAGTGAAACCCAAGTACATTTCATCAAAACAAGCATTTTGCCATTACAGTAGTGCCAGGTACCAATTGGTGGTTTGATCTCTTCTTTCCTTTGCGCACACACAGACACACAGACACACAATGCAAAATGCAAAATGCCAAATTGCAAAATGAGAAAAAGAAGAGGCAATTTCGGTCGCCGGGGTTCGAACCCGGGCATTCACGGCACTCGAGTATATGTCAATATTGTGTTCTCTGGACTCTGGACTCTGGACTCTGGTAATGACAATGATAACATGGTATAGTAACTTGAAAGCGAGAAATCCTAACCACTGGACCACGACCGATGTATTTGTACATGATACATGTATCCCGAAATCTGAATTCGATTTTTGATGGAATGATAGGATGATGATGACTAAGCCATTTGATATTTGGTATATAACTAGGTAGAATCTGGTAGATATCGCTTGTGTCAAGAGATGCACATGCGTCTTTCTGTGGTATAGGATTTTCACGTTCAAATTTTGTAAATCGGAGCGTCCCGAACTGTGCGACCTGACCTTACCCGCTACAAGTAGGTGCCTTTGCTTCAAGAATAGGACTCCTCGGCTTGTTGCTGACCCAAAATTCTAGTAAATCACTCCGAGTAGCATTGTCCTTTAATCACAGCCTTTCAAGTCCTATCCTAGCATTGATCTCTCACTGAACTCAAGAATCAGAGATTCTTCGAACAATATAACTCAGGTCCCAATGGAGACATCAACCGCCATCGACGACCCCGACATGCAGCGTTTACTGTTCTCGGACAACCCTCCCCTACTGGGAGAGATGCCAGTGTTCGGCCCCCCCGTAGATTTACCGCCCTTCTACAGCGAGCCCACGCAGGAGCTCATTTCCTCCGACCCTCGTATGAGGGTTACAGAGGCTGCATGCATAGCAGACGATGCCGATTGTGCGTCTGCAAGCGTTCAAGACTTGCTAGACACGGGCACCGACCCCCGGGATCTGCAAATCTGTTTAAGCAGAGCTACTCAGTCTGGTCACGAGGAGGTGGTGCAGATGCTTCTATCGATCGGCGTGCCTGTGTCTCTGGAGGCTGTCAAGGTCGCTATTACGAAGGAGTCGACTCGGCTGCTTTCAATGTTTTTGGAGTATGGGTGGGACATTAATGAGGAAGAGGCGTGGTGCGTTCCTCCCATTTTATCGTACGTACGTCTTTCTTTTGTTGGGGGCTTGATGATGAATAGGTATTGCTTTGGGCTGATGATGCATCAACCGCCAGATTTGCCATTTCTATGAATGTATCCGAGTCTCTCATCGCTTGGTTCCTCAGCAACGGAGCTGATCCAAACGCAACCTGCCAGATGGACATGACGCCCCTATCAGATGCTGTAGCGCTAGCACCATACTCCATCGTAGATCGAATGCTCACACACTGCCCGCCTACTACAGTCCTTCGGGGTCAACTCCTCCATCACGCAGCTGGCCGGTCCACACCAGAAGACTGCGACGCAATTCTCCAGCTGGTCCTTCAAAGATGCCCACCAACCGATATCAATGCTCTGATGTACGAAGACCATGCCTTCTCCTATGAAGTTCGCAAGATTGTAGGCTTGGGCACTCCTCTCCACGGCGCTGCGAGGCTGGGGCGGTTGAGCGCGATTCGAATTTTGATCGCGAATGGCGCTGATTTGGGCTTGCGTGACTCTTGCGGGAACACTGCGTTGGAAGTGGCTGAGCGTCAAGGCCATCTTGCCGTCGTGGACGAACTGAAGTCTTTGATGATAGCGACTGCGAGTTGACTCGCGAAAGATTTTGCAAGGCGAATATGTGGAAGCGATAGGTGATGATGAAGAGAGAGAGAGAGAGAGAGAGAGAAAGAGAGCAGCCCAGCAGTACTATTAACAACGACTAAGTAAGTAAAACAATCGCACTGCGAACCAGTTCATCCACCTCTACTCTCGTAGCAGCTCTCCGATCCCATCTTGCCGTAATCGTCGTCGTCGTCGTCGTCATCGTCGTCGTAGTAGTAATAGATCCCTCTGCATCATCATCATCCCCAAAAGCAACCTCGAGCATAAAAATGCTCCTCCTCACATCTTTCCCACCATCCATGCCCCCAGCAGACATGTTCTCCAAGAGGATATTACCTCCCTCATAGCTCCGAACGGAGGACTGGCGTGGATGAATCACAATTTCCAACGGCATGGACTCTATAATTCCGCGACACGCATCTGTACCACTCGCTTCGTAGGGAGTTACGAGGCTGATGGCATTTTGAATCGTGATGGCATCTTGCTCCAGTAGCGGGGCACAACAGTCATCGTCGTCGTCGTCTCCTTTTTTGTTTTTCTCGGTAGTTTTCGCAGCGGCGGCTTCGATGTAATTTGCTTCTTCCCGCCGCGGATGAAGTTGAATGCGTAGAGGGAGTAAACTCAATGTCGGTCCAACACATGTCTCGATGCCAGGTAATGCGGCAAATCGTCCGGAAGATACGTATGCGAAGAGGAGATCGTGGCATGACAAGTAATCACTGATGGCACGCATGAGAGCTGCCAGGACAGTGATGGCGATTGTGCTGCTGCTTTTCCCGCTTTGGACTGACTGCGGAGGAGAGGGTATGGTGAAGCGGTGGCACGTCTCCATATCTCTTATCGGATTTTCGATTTGATTGTAGCCGAATAACTGTTTTTGCGGACGAGGATGAAGACATTTTTGATCCTGTTGTTGGAGATATGAGGTCCAGAAACTCAAATGTGAGGCATCTCTGCGAGCTCGATTTTCATAATCGACAAAACTTCGAAACGGAAGCGACTGCGTAGCAGATAACAATAGAGGTCCCTTTCGGCACAAACGCAGGCCCTCGCCAATGGCACGGATCATCAGCTGCATGGACCATCCATCGTATAAGGCGTGGCTCAGAGTCCACAAAAGACGACAACACTGTTTTTCGCCATGCTTGGTGAATGTACCCAGACAGGACCAGTGCGGCACGAGAAGACCCAGACGACTCTCGGGTGCTCTCATATCCAGGAAGACCCCGACATGGTCGTGATTGGTAGTTGGAGGTTGTTCGTGGGCATGAGACGTCTTCAGGACGACCTGGAGCAATCGCTCGTGCAGGGTGAAGGGGTCGCGAAGACGTACAAAGTGCGTCCGTAAGATGGGGAATCGAGCCACGCATGCTTGGAATGCGAATCGCAACTTTTCTACGTCTTCTGGTCCATCACTCAGATGCGGAAATTTCAGGGAGAATTGCACCATACGGTCCATCAGCATTTCTTGTGTGGCCGTGAGAGGGTACATGTCTTCTATTTCATCTGCTGCCACTCCACACTGCTCCGCGGCCAATTGTCGACTTTGAAGGTCCATCGCCGTCGTGCTCGAGGGGGCCGATGGACTATCATTCTGTAAGGACACTGGCTTCACCAGTCTTGCTTCTTCAGAACTTTTGTCTTCTTCTTGCCCAGCAACACAGGGCTCGAGCATTGCGGCCAGTTTCTCGACGGTTGCGTTTCGAAAGATGTCAACAACGCTAATGCCTTGCCGACCATGGGCTCGGAGAAGTGCAACAAGTCGGACCGCCATGATAGAATCTCCACCTAGGCGAAAGAAATCAGCATTCCGACCGATACGCTGTCGAGAATCTTCAGAGATGCTCAGGACTGTGCACATCATGTCTCGTACGAGCTCCTCCCGTTGTGTTAGCAGTATATGGTCAGAAGACTGGGCGACAGCACGTTCGGACTGGACAGCGTTTTCCATCATCTCCCGCAGTGCATTGCGATCTCGTTTGCCGACGGTATTCATGGGGAAGAAGGACAACCTGATATAGTAGCTAGGGATCATGAAGCTCGGCAGTGTCTGTGACAAAGTATTCCGCATACCATCCACATCGAACCGCTCTTGAACATTTTTCTTGTTGCTCTGTTCATTGCAGTACGCGGCACAGAGAAAGGGTGGCATGCCAGACGGTGTTACGAGATCCACCGCAACACTGATCGATGATGCTGAGCATGCATTTTCGATGGCGTTCTCAATTTCACCGAGATCGATGCGTAGGCCTCGAAGCTTGACCTGGCGACTGGTATCGCTTCGGCGAACGAACTTCACCGTCCCATCGTCGTGGTTCGCAAATACCAGGTCTCCGGTGCAATACACTCTCCGTTGGTGCGTGCTGCTGCGGTTGCTGGACTCCTGAATCGGATATTCTGGCAGCCATAGGGGCTCGGTCAGAAAAACTTCTGCAGTCTTGATAGGGTCATCCATATAGCCTGCGGCCAGCGCTGGTCCTTCGAGGCATAATTCACCAATGGCGCCAGGAAGCGCAAGCTCCGATGGATTATGCACACTCCGGATCCAAGACTGACAGTTGATCGGCCTGCCAATCAATCTGGGATCTAGTTCATCATCCACATGCACTGGGTGGTGGAAGTTGGCGATGGCAGCCTCAGTCACGCCGTAAATGCAGTGCAGTTCAACGTTCGACTGGAGCCTAGTCCATCGTATGCGATCTTGTAGTCCAACAGATTCACCTCCCAAGCGCAGTCTTCGCAGTACTGTATTTCGAGAGATGGTCTCCGGATCCAGGGCATGAGACACGGAGGGAGTCATGGCAGCATCTGTGACGCCGGCTCTGCCGATGAATCCCTCCAAGTCTTCTAAACGCTCATGCTCGGAGGGAATGCACACGGTTCCGCCATAGAGCAACGTAACAAATATCTCGTAGATACTGACGTCGAAAACGTAGTTTCCAATGTGAAGAAACCGTGAGCCCTCTGGTAATGCTGGGGACCGACCCAGAGCAACAAGTGTTGTGCTCAGCGCTTCGTGCTTCATGACCACTCCCTTGGGCTCTCCCGTGGAGCCCGAGGTGAACAGCACGTAGCTTGTACAAACCGCCGGATCGCGTCCCTTGGTGTGAAGATGCTCGCGATACGGCGTCCGTTGTTGCAGTTTCAACCCCTGGGGCTCGAGTGAATTCTCCAAACACAGCGAGAGTTGTGGAAAGATAAAATCCTCAACCAAGAGATGTTTGCAATGCAACTCTTTCAGGGTGCATGAATACTTCTCCTGCGACACAATCATCCATACACCGGCCTTGCGAGTGATACTCTGGAGTCTGTTGACTGGATACTGAGGATCAAGTGGCACAAAGAAGCACCCTGCCTTGAGTATCGCCAACATCGTGACAAGCACCTGTTTCGATCGGTCTAGCATGAAAGCCACTCCGTACCCGCTTGCTGATGAGTTCTTCTCCGCTGTCAATCTAACCGCCATCGCCAACGACACGCATTCGAGTTCAGAGTAAGTCATAGACCCATCCCAGCTGTGGACGGCTTCGTGTTGTGGTCGCAGCATGGCCGACGAGCTGATCAACTCGTGTACAAAAGCTGATACGGGCTTCGGAGCTGAGCCATGATGAGTGGTACGCTCAGAAATCCAATCTTGAGATTCTTTGGACAACGCTGACAAGCTGCGCAGTGGCGTGTCAAGTGCACATTCGAGCATGTTACGAAGTAAAGTAGAATAGGCGTCGAGCACACGTTCAGCAGTATGCTGGGCGATCAATGTTGCATCGAATAGCACGTGAATCCCTAGATGTTCCTTGTCACCCCGACTGAAAGGATGACAGGATATGATGAGAGTATGGGGTGTGAAGCCTGCTTCACTTTCCAGAACAATTGGCTCATCCCCAAGTCTTTGGCCATTTTGGTAGATGTCAGGGCTGTCAAGATCAATATAACCTGCTTCACTGTCCTCGTCGCCAATGACCCGAGTATGGTGAATCACCAGAATCGTTGTGAACTGGCAAGCTGCCTTACATGCTGCACTGAGCGAAGCAATCTTGGTAAGCCCCAGATGTGCATGGAGACTTTCGTCTACGCTTTGCTTGTGAACTTGTTCCAACAAGATCGACACGTTCATGGTATCAAAGTCCAGGCGTGTACGGGAAGGAATCATGGCATTCGTTGGCCCTGCAACTTTTGCCAGGTCGATCGAGGAGGCTTCACAGCTTGCAGATGCTGCTGCACTGCTTATGACGACGCCGTAGACTGTGTCCTGGCTCGCAAGGAAGTGAGAAAGGACCAAGGACCATGCTGCTCGCGCAAGGATAGCAATTGTCGTATGTTTTTGTCGACGGAGGGACATGTCCACGGTCTTGTAGCAGCTCGAGTTCGCTACGGGGCGATGAAGTGACATATTAGAGCGTATTCCAGGAGGAAAATTGTTCACAGACTCTGCATAGCCGTCCATGTGCTTGGCCCACCATTCTGAGGCAGCGTGCGGGTCAAATGATCTGGCCATATGGTTGATGAATGTTCGGAATGGCAACAATGAGCAGGATGAGGCGGCCGTGCGTGATGGCTCGAGAAGCTCATTGATCCGTTGCCAGAAAGCCCGAATCATGGGTCCATCATAAGCGGCGTGATGTGCCACGAATATAAGTTCTTCCCAGGAGTCTGGAGCAGAAGATGAGGCTGCTGGTGAGAAAGCCAATCGCACCAGTGGCTGCCCGTAGTCATGTTTCCGTCGGGCTGTCTCTAGGAATGTGCCAGCAGAATCTGCTTTGCACCAATTTGGCCCCGTCTTGAAGACAACCACCAGCGGGGAGGCAGAAGACGGGACGTGAACTATCGTCGATCTCAATGTCTCGAAAGTCTCAAAGGCCTCCTGAAAAGCGGCCTTCACTCGGTCTGGAGCATATCCACGAGGAAGCTTCACCCGTTGCGCCATGATGAATGCCCCTGACGTTCTGGCCGTTGCAGCCATTATCGACTCCTGGAGAGGCGTGCAGGGGTATGCATCATCAATCATGTCTTCGTTGATATCGAAACAATTGTGAATCTCAGACAAAATCAAGTGGCGCTTATTAGGGGGAAGAGAATCGAATCGTCCTGGGGAGGTTGAGTTGGCACGACGCGAGTCCATCGGATGCACGTATTCTGCCATGTTGCAGAGTAAAGGATGCATGAATATGTTCTCGTATCGTAATTGGTATCCAGCTGATCGAGCCAGAGATGCCAGTTGAATCGCCGCCACGGAGTGTCCACCCAGATCAAAGAAGTGAGACTCGCGGTGGACGTTCTCCCAGGCTCCGATCCGTGGTAGCACTGTTGCCCACCAGCGCTGGAGCAGCCTTTCCGTGTCGGTCATGGGTTTCTCCACGCTCTCGTGTAGAAGATGAGTGGCAGTGCTCCTGAGCATCTCATCTTGTACTGAGCTCAGGACGGAACGGACCCATCTTCTGTCGCATTTACCAGATGCAGTAAGTCGCAACATATCAACGGCGAAGAATGTACGGGGTATCATGAAGCTGGTAAGACTACGCTCCAGCCAGCGGCATATCTTCGTCACCAATTGCGCTGGCGCACGCCTGCAGGATACCGATTCTCGCTCACTCGACGCACTCCCGTGATCCACCACGGCGATGTGGTTATGGGTGTCGCCGCAACTGTTGGCTGGACAGATATACATAGCGTGGAGGTGCTCATCATCTAGCACTTCCACCACGGCACGCTGATGTCCATCATAATCGAGCCCCTCGGCACAGAGCACTTGATGTATGAGGCTCTCGATGGCTTGTATGTCTATACGTTTGCCGTGGACTTTGATTTGGCTGTCAGCTCTCCCGAGGGACAACAATTTCCCATCGCGATAGTACTGCATAAAGTCACGAGTGCGGAAGGCCATGGTGTTGACTGGTGGCTGTTGCTCTTTTGGCTCCCCAACAACTTTTTGATCAAACGGATCACGGAAGTTGATGAATCTGGATCGGGACAAGTCACCTGAACCAAGGTAGCCTCGAGCCACCGCTAGTCCTCCGACGTAAAGCTCTGCTTGAGCACCAACGGGCGCTAATTGATGAGTGAGTGGACTGACAATCCATGTTCGCCATCTTGCATATGATATCGGAGTACCGATGGAGTTTGTGGGCTCAATAGGGTGAGAGGCGATGATCTGGCGGGCAATGCAATCGATGCATGTCTCGGTCGAGCCGTACGCAACGAAAGCTTGGAGATTTTCGCGCGAAGCAACCCATGCGTGGAGTATATCAAGATCGTAATTCGTCATGGGCTCGCCACCAACGACCAGAGAATCAAGCAAAAGACTTGGTTTGGCAAAATGAAGCCGGAGAACGGTAGGCGTGATGTGGAGTGCATTGACACGGTTCATTTGGCAGAAGCTCAGGAGATCGTTGGCGCGTTCAGACTCGGAGGGCACCACGATACAACCGCCCGCACTGAGAGTACCGAAAACATCTTCAATGCTATTGTCGAAAGCGTAATCGGTATACTGTAGTCGACGAGAACGTGAATTCAGACCCCAATGTGTTGCAAGGCCGACGACAGCTGCTGTAGCCGCTCCGTGCTCTACCATTACCCCTTTCCCCTGTGCTGAAGTCCCGGAGGTGAACAGCACGTAAGCCAGGTCTGACGGGCAGATTGGTCCAGTAGGAAGCATCATTCTCGGTGCAGGCGACGGCATGGCTCTCAGACAATCGGCTATCACATTCGCATCTATCTGCATGATTATGACTTCAACCGATTGCTTTCCCAGGTCTAACTCCTTGATTCGCTGTGTCTGAGCAGGTGAAGTCAGAACCAAAGTGCATTCTGAAAGCTCAATCAATGCTTGAAGGCGACTGTTCGCATCCCTTGGGGCCAGTGGAAGCATCGCACCGCCCGCCTTCACGATTGCCAACATTGCTATAACAGCCAAAGCTGAGTGCTCGAAACAAAAGCCAATGATCTTGTGGCCGGATCGTGCAGGCCCTTGTGAAATCAGATGTTGCCGGATGCAAAGTGCGAGCGCATTGGTGGCCTCTTCAAGCTGATTGTAGGTATATTGAGCGCTAGACGACACGATAGCAGCAGCTTCCGGCTGGATCGCTGCCACACGGTCGAAGGGCTCGTACAAGAAACGAGCCTCTGTCGTCTGCGGAGACTTGCACTGTTCATTGACGGCAGAGGCGGAGGCCCACTGGTATATCTCATCGAGGTGTGAAGGCGCAGGATGCATGAGTTCGATGAGGAGAAGATCAGACTGCCCAATGCATGATCGCCAAAGACCGCCAACAATGTAGTCGAACTGCTGCAGTGCATGTTCAAGTAGCCACGGTGAAATACAAGCTGGGTCGTAGTCTGCTTCGATGGAGTCAGGTGAGGCATCATTCCCCTTGCTGAAGACCTGGAGAGCGAGTGGCAAGGGGTGGAAGCCTGATCTCGTGACCGGCTCCAGGAGTGAAATATTCAGATGTGCACTCGGATGTTGGAGAGAAGTCTCGCTTTCGACAGCCTGCACAGTCAGCACAGAGCTGAATTCGCACGCCAATTTCGCTTGGGGGCTGATGTCTGAAATCTTACGGAGACCAAGATGCTGATGTGGCGCAAGATCCCGAAGCGTATGCTGCACGTCCTTGAGAAAGGCAGCTGCCGTGACAGAATCGATCGAGTCTAGAGCTATACAAAACGGCACTGTTGTTGATGTTGGACCGACCATGTCTTCGATTCCTGCTAGATGGCAATCTCGCCCTAAACGAGTACTTCCAAATGTCACCACAGGAGAGCTAGAGTATAGTGCTACTACGAGCGCCCATCCAGCGTGGCATATCGTATCGATTGTGATGCCGATGTTTCGAGCCGCCGCCCGGGCCTCCGCAGATGGTGATGTGAGTGAGAAGCGGAGGCTTTTCGTCGTTTTCGGCTGATGATGGCTCGGAGTATTAGGAAAAGAGAAATCCGACCTGTTCGCAATGTGGCTGAGCTGATGCTTCCAGAAATCGACAGCGATGTCATCGGGGGTAGCTCGAATATGAGCAACGAAATCAGCAAATTTGGGCGTAAGGGGCACAGGAACTGCAGAGACACAGTGATAGGCATCCATGACAGCATTCCAGACAAGTCCAAGAGACCAACCATCGTATACTGCGTGGTGCGCACTGAGAACAAGTCGATTGTCCTTTTCTGCCTCTTTCATGATCAAAGTCACCCGAAAGAGGGGAGTGCCATAGCCAAATCGAATTTGCTCTAGGCACTGCTTCAGGGCACATGCACCGACGGTGGAAGAACTACTGCCCCAAAGTTCGACATCTTCCGGTTGTCGGCAAACGACCATGAGGGTGCCGTGCACAGGCATGAGAACGATACGACTCCTCAGTATTTCGTACCGGGCAAGCACAGCCTGCCAGGCTGATTGCATTCTAGCACCATTGATGTCGCCGGGTAGCTTGTACCAAGCATGGACGCAATACGGTTGTGCGCCATCAGTGGTCTCCATTTCACGAATGGTCGCCGTCATCAGCGCCTCTTGCATGGGCGTACATGGAAATGCGTCTTCGATATCGTCTGGCTGCAGGGCACATGATTGTGCCAACTCATCCCGGAGGATTTCACTGGGAGTGGCCATGTCTTGGATGGCATTATTTGTTAAAAGGGAGAAGGGCTGCCAGGACTGCTGCATAGGGCCTGGATCAATGCTCTGCAACCGTTCTGCCATGTCTTCGAGCACGGGGTATTGAAATACGATTGACACATTCAGTCGCATACTCATCGTGCATCGCACTTCACGTACTAAAGCAATGGCCGCGAGAGAGTTTCCTCCCAGGTGGAAGAAGTTGTCGCCAGCACTAACAACTTCACTTCCAAGCACTTGGCGCCAAGCTCTAGCTAGCTGACGCGCCACCGGGCTTCTAACTTCTTTCGGCAGGATGGCAGTAATGTCTCTCCTGAACAGCGCCAAAAGCTGATCCTTATCGAACATCGATGCAGCATGCTCGAGAGCTTTGCGATCAGTCTTGCCGGACGTTGTGCGAGGAATCCGAGAAATGGGTATGAAAAGTTGAGGGATCATTCGGTGGGAGCCATGTGTCATGTGAGCTCGAATATGTTCCACGATCTGGTGATGGAAGGACGATGCTTTCGAGATAAGTGTCGAACAAGAAATACCATCGAGGCGTCTTTCGAGCTTGTCGGTCTCTAGTGTCCTCTCATGCTTACTCAAGAACACGAAGGCAGCAAGCAGGTCGAATTTCCTGAGAAGACAAACAGTGACGAGCGAGCGTTGAGCCAGATCGGGTGGGAGAAAACTGCGCAGTGCATTCTCTACTTCGTTTGGTTCAGTTCGGATACCATTGACCTTGATCTGGTCATCTTTCCTCCCGACGGCAAAGAGTTGACCGTCGGAGCCATATCGGACCAGGTCGCCCGTCTTGTAAAATCGTGGAGCTCGGCTGTCAGCTCGACCAGGGAGTCTCCTATACCACAAGGGGCTCTCAATGAAGGACCGAGCAGTCAGCGCCGCCTCGGCGAGATATCCAAGCGCAAGGCATGGACCCTCCAGCAAAAGCTCCCCAGTTGCACCCACGGGTAGAAGTCGGTGATGATCCACCTCGTCCACAACCCAAGTCGTCGCCCGAAAGCCTCGACCGATGCACCGACCACCCACTTGTGGGGACACAGCCTCGTTCAGGATGCAGCAGCCCAGTGCGCACTCGCTGGGACCAAAACCGTTCATGATTGTGGGGATGCGAGTGTCTCCCGTTGAGCGCTTAGTCCAAGACTCGATTATGGATTCTGGTATGGGTTCGCCGCCCAGAAGCACAACGTCCATCATGTGTAGAGCTCCCGGACAAAACAGGGACAGATACGAGGGAGTGCAACTCATCCAATTCGCGCCACTCGCAGTCGCAAATTCCAATAATTCCACGACGTTCTGAATGTGATCGTCCGATGGCACGCAGAGGCATGCCCCCTGGAAAAGAGTAATGAAGATATTTTCGATGGCCATATCGAAAGTTGGTGCAGCGAGGAGTAGTACTCGTGACGAGCTGCTGATCCGCGTTCGGACTGCGTGTTCTTGATGGCCAGTCGTTACCGCTTGGTGGGTAATGATCGCTCCTTTAGGGTGGCCAGTGGAGCCAGATGTGTAAACAACATAAGCTGGGTCATTTGCGGACGGCGCCATGATGAATTCTGCCTCATGATACAGTTTTGTTGTTACGGCACTGGGCTTGCCATTTGGCAAGCCTTTCAAGAAATCCATCGAGATTTCTACTGTGGGAGTCTGGTGTTCTTTGCCGCAGGCCTGTAGCAATGGGAGTTCAGATTGTGCTTGGCTGGCGTATAGCACAGCGCAAGGCTTGTTGTCATCAAAGATACGCCTGATCCGATTCTCTGACCATGAGCTGTCAACCATGACGAAGCAGCCACCCGCTCTACACACTGCGACTTGCGCGATGACCGACAATATTGAAGGCTTGAAGCAAAGCAGTACATTTGAGCGCTGATGGCTGATATGTCGCTTCAAAAGATTACGCATGAGAGCTTGTGATAAGTGGTCCAGACGTCGGTAGGTAACGCAGCCATCCCAAGCAAATACCGCTTCCCTGTTTGCGAAGGCCGACATGGATCGCTCCAGCAACAGCGCAATGCTGATATCTGCTGGCTCGATGACCTTGGAATTCCAATCACAAATTTGCGCTATATCTCTCGGGCTCGGGAGAGCAATATCATATTCTGAGGATTGGCGTAGGAGTCGAATAGCTCGGCTGATGACTTGTGTGACTGAGTCTGCGATGTTCACTGCGTGACCTTTGTCGATATGACAGGCATTATATTCCAACCCTACGGACATGTTCGTACCCGTAGAAACGATCAGAGACAAGTCAAACTAGGATAAATCAGCCGAAAAATCACTCTTGACAGACCACCTTAGCTTACCTCGCTTTTGTTCGAAGTGTGAAGAGTCTCAAAGTGCAAGGTTGACTCGAGGCTCAGAGACGGAGTAACTGATACAAAGGTGTTGAAAATAAGTCCTCCGGCCAGTTGCGGCATTTCTGTCTGGATCTGTGCCAGAGACAAGCCCTGATGGGTAGTGCTCGCGCGGTTTGACCGCTGGATGAGATCTAGGATAGACACGAACCCGGCACTATCGATGCTGTTCAGGTCTTGCAAGTTGATTCGCGCAACAAGGGGCGCTATGAAGCACCCAATATCGTCCATACTCACTGGATGGCTCGGATTATCTCTCCCAGAAGAAACGTAGCCAAAGATCACATCCGAAGTGTTCACATACATCCGCATTACAAGTGACCAGATGGCGATGAAGAAAGTCGCTGGAGTGAGCCCGCGGGCAGCAAGCAATCCGCTCAAGCCATTGATACCAGTGCCTCGAAGGGGTACAAATTGCACGCGATGAGATTTCAGGTTGAATGTCAGGGGCTCACTGTCAACGAGCCTTGGGAAGAGACAAGGTTGAGCGTCTGCGAGATATTGTCTCCAGTACTCAAGTGCATTCTTGCATCTATGCGGATCTCTCACAAGTGCAACATACGATTGCATGGGCTGAGAGGATGTCTGTAATGCCGATCTCGCCGGAGACCCCTTCCGCAAAGCTTGATAAACTGCTGAGAGCTGACGAATTAGGGCCATCACGGACAGCCCATCCAACAGGGCATGGCTCGCATCCAGCCTGACTAGAGCACGATCGGTTGGTCCGTAGCAAAGGGTAAGCTTGAGCGGAGGTCTGCAGTGTTGACCCATCTCATGGTTCATCATGGCTGGGGGCAAATCCTTGACCGGGTTTGTCTCGTTGGCTTCAAACGACTGGATGATGTCCAATGAAGACGAATTGTCTTTGAGCACAGTGTTGGCGAACACGCCTGGCACATCCAAAAGCTCCAGTGGCACAGTACGTAGAGCCTCACTGTTCTGGACAACGTGCTGCCAAGCTTGTGTGAAGATATGAGCGTCCACAGGGGACGCCTTGCCAGGGCCCTGCCGCGTTTCTGTCACAATCCACGTCGCCGAGACAGCGTACATGTTCTGGTATCTTTGGGCTCCATGGAACAAAAGTGACTCCTGCACGGGAGAGCAGGGGAAGACTCTTTCAATTAGCAGATTCAACTCTGGAAAGCTCCTCAGAACCTGTCTTTTCAGTGAGCTCGTTTCAGTACTGTCTACTGGAGTGGGAATGGCGAGGGGCCTGGCTTCCAAAGCAGCTTGGTACAGTGAAGAACATGCCATCAGACGTTCCGTGCTCAGTGTTAGACTGCAATCCTTTCTCATTCGTGTGGAAACCTGTAGAGCAGCAATGGAGTCTCCACCCAGTTCGACAAAGGAGCAATTGCTGAGAAGGCGCTGGATTGGCAACTGCAAGATCTCGCTAGAGATGTGAACCAACTCCTGAAAGTGTGACGGTCCTGTCGCCGCTTGATCTGGCCATGCATGATCATGGCTCGGCGAAGAATCGTGGCGATCCCCGAGATACTGTTCGGGCCGCAGGCGTGTCAATGCTGATAGCAGCTTGGGGTAATCTTTTTTGCCAGACAATGTTGTCGGGAAGTGACTGACTCGCAACCATATCGACGGGACCATCCAGGGAGGGACATGATGGGACAGATAGCCTGCACACGCCGTCTTTGTTGGACCATCGCACGCTGACAAGACAGGATCTTGCGAACCAGTAGTGATGGTTGCGGTCAACACTATCAGTGCCACTAGACGATTGGACACAAGTCCAAATCGCGGCAGACATACCGTAACATCCTGTAGAGGCACTATGGCTGTAGCAGCCGCCTGTATCAGATGATGCTCGATCTCAGCCAGTTCGAGGCGCTGACCCCCGACCTTGACTTGCCTATCGTTTTCAACACGCCCCAGACACTCCAGTGAACCATCTTCATGATAGCGTACGAGATCTCCAGTTCGATAAACACGTCTCTCTTGCGACACTTCTCCATCGATCGCAGGAAGCCAGGCGGGACCAGTGGTGAACCTCGCCTCAGTCAACTCGGCGTCGTTCAGGTAGCCTTGAGCAAGAGCTGGGCCCTCAAGGACAAGTTCGCCAGTGGCACCAATTGGAAGAAGATATCGAGCATTAATGTCATCAGGATCACCATCGTCCTCGTTGCTGCAAGTATTGACTACCCAGAAGCGATAACCAAGGGGGTGGCCAATGTTGGAAGGTGATTTGGACACGACGACTCGTCCTAGGCTCGCACCAAAAGTGGATTCAGTGGGCCCATATCCATTGAAGACGGCGATTCCACTGTGCAGCCACCGGTCCTTATCCAAGGATGTGACAGGCTCTCCAATAAGCACGAGAAGTCTCAGGATTGGGCGTAGGTGAGCGGGAGTCAGCGTTCGAGCTACGGTAGGGGTTAAGAATGCGAGAGAGATTTCCTGGTCCAGAATGAAATTCTGCAAGTCGCCTGTCCGCTCAGCGTCGGAGGGGATGCAGACTGTACCTCCGCTGAGCAGGGCCACCAACATTTCGGAGAGGCTTGCATCGAATGCATACGCTGCAAACTGCAGGACACGCAGTGGTCGATCATGTGTTGCAAGAGGCGCGTTGGCCGCAAGCGCGCGGGTCAAGCCAGTAATGGCAGTACACACATTGGCATGCGTCAGAGCCACGCCTTTGGGAATGCCCGTGCTACCAGAAGTGAAAACGGCGAAAGCGTTGTCACCGGGCTGAGCGCTCGAGTGATGCATTTCTTCGAGTCGCTCTGTGGCGGTGGCTACAGTAGCGATGTCTGCTACATTGAAAGATTGGAACTGAGCCACCAATGACAGTCTATCCAGTCTGTGGGAAAGTTGAGCACCATGCGTCAGAATGTAGCGCGCCTCGATCGCTCGAAGCACTCCGCAGAGGCGTTCGTCCGGCCATGAGGGATCTAAAAAGATACAGCCTCGTCCGGACTTCAAGACAGCGAGCATACCAACAACAGCCCAGTAGGACTTAGTGAAACATAACGCAATCCATCGGTCTTCGGACGTTGCCGATAAGCGCAAATAGCTCGCAACTACGGAAGAGATTTGTTCCAATTCAGCATAGGTCATGCATCCGTCGGGGGCGACTATGGCCTCCGTGTCTGCATGCCTGACTGCAATACTGGAAAACATGTCGTGTACGAGGACATGTTCGCGTTTCAGTGCTTGGTCGGAGTTCCAACGTAGAATGGCGCTTCGATCGCCTACATCAAGGGCCATGCATGCTACTTCTTGTACGGTCAAGTTCCCAGCTCCTCCGTTGGAGATGTGGCAGGCGCAAGTCCGGCTGACAATGGACGCAAGGGTGCGCGCGATTCGCGTCGCTTCACGATGGCTCATGAACGAGCGGCGGTAGACCAGTCTCAATCGCAGCTCGGCTTCCACTCCGGCTGCAGCATGATGATGAAACACTTCCAGGCAGAAGTCGATTTGGTCAGGTAGGGAGGGATGTAAGGGGATCTTGTCGTTGCCATTGCTGTCACTATACTGAATGGCGGCAGCAAGAGCAAGGCCTAAGGCGTCATCGGGCCAAATTTCCTCCTCTCCTCTGTCGTCGTCGTCGTCGTCCTTGTCCTGTGCGATGTACTGGAGCTCCCTGACTATGCGATCGAGGCGATAGCAAGACTTCAATTGGCCACGAACTCGATCCACGATGCGTCCAGGCGATGCTGCACCATTGCGGACAACACGTTTGATTGAGACCACCTCCTCGCTCGAGTAAAGGTGAAGTGTAATCAGAAATGCCAGTTCCAGGCATAAGCATGCAGGTCCAGGTGCAGTTGCAGATGAAGTGGCCTGCTTCCCAGTCTCAACATGCAGAATTTGGCACTTCTTACGTATATCTTCCACTTTGGAGCATTGCAAAGGCTCAACCTGGAGACCATGTCCACCCCAAGCCGCACCAGGAAAGTAGTAACGTCTGGACATTATCGACTTGACGGTCTTTGTCTTAGTGGCTGACGACGTCTATGGGCGGGCTTGATGAAAGGTGATGAGACCTCCCTCTACTATCTACTTCCATCTAGCCCCCTTGGGCCACTCAAGCCGTCGCGTCTAGGCCGGTGCGTCTGGACGGACCACATGATAGCAGTTCTTTTTCCAATGCTTGGATTGCTCCATATATCGTATCTCGTGTGCACGGCAAGGCGCCTCTGTAGAACTTTGCCGCAGACTTCGGCATCCGAAAGCACACAGACACCAGCAAACACACAGACACACACACATACTCTACACCTCCCAGCCCTAACCCGTGGTTGTATAGAGAGTCCCCCGTCCTATCGGCGCACCGAGAAGAACGATCTGCCGTGAACATCTTAGCACAATCTCGATGGAGGACGACCTTGGATAGAGGAAACTTCAGGTCTGACCGCGCGGGATGGCTTTATCGACCGTGTTGGTGGTGTTGGTGGTGTTGGTGGTGTTGGTTGTGTGACGAGGAGGTCCGGTTCATGGTACGATGCGTAAGGTGAGGTCGACTGTACCTCCGAAGTGTTCACCTCGTACGAGCTCGGCTCCTTCGGGCCGACTACGGGAAAGCTTCGTGGTGGTCTGTGCGGGAACGGAGTACTCACCGCGTGGAGAGAAGTGAGAAAACTCTGTTCTCCCACTGCATCAACGACACGGACACTATATGAGTTGTATTTCACTGAAATACACTGCGTAATACAGCGTAGTGGCATGGATATGTACAAGCCTGCGCTGTTAGATACAATGCGCCAGCACAGCTGTCCAGTGGCCTTCACTTACAGAGGCACGTGCTCTACGCTAGCGGGTAACTGTATTGGCAAACATATCATTATTCCTTGTTCTCCTTTATCTCCGAACATACTAACACACTACCCAGCCAGCAATATATCGATCAGCTGGGTTCAAGGTATGCTTCGCTACAACAAGGTCTAGATCCTTGAGAGCTACTCCCAAGCTTGCAGTGTCATGAGATGGTCTCGACGATGCTCGCGGCAGATTGCTGTGCAAATGCCGTGCAAAAGAAACAGCTCGTCAGAACAAGCGCCGCCGCCATGAACTTACTGTCGAAGCAGTTGGATCTCAAAGGGAGAAAAAAGCCCTCTTCCTTGCCATAGGTGTTACGGTCGACTACTACTACTGCCGTCGCGTCGTCTTGGGTGTCAGTATGTCTCGTGAGCTGTTGCTTGGTCCCTGGAGCTATTGGGTCGGTACGATAGCACTCACTCTGTGCTTCCTCGCATATCTTCTCAGACCAACTTTCCTCGGATATGGGCCCAGTTCTGGGATATGGATCAAGTTGCGGTGCAGGCTGAAGCTGTCCAGATATCCGATTGCCAATCCAGTATGGAATGCTGCTGCAAAGGATAAGTACAGCAAGTCGTTCGCCAGTGTCATAGCCGAGGGTTGTGAGAAGGTGTGTAGCATTGATGGGAGAAGATTCTGATGCAGCTGCTTTGTGGCTCACAGCAACCCCCCCTAGTTTGGAGATCATCCCTTTCTCGTCAATGGCTTCACTGGCCAAGTCTTGGTTCTCCCTCCACGATATATTGAGGAATATAAATCGACGTGGGACCTAGATATGTCAGCGACCACAACAGTGGCATGTCCTATGTTCTCCAGCGGTCTCAGCAAATCAGGCTAAGATATGAATACAGGACTTTTTCCCCCAATTCCCTGGTTTCGAAATGTTCAAGTCCTCCATTGCCCCACATGACAAAGTGTTGATCGACTCCGTAAAGCTCCACCTGAATCCAATGATAGGTAACTACCCAATCTTCCCCGTGTCCCGGAAGAAGGTATGCGGCTGATACAGAGGTCTCAATCAACAGGAAAGGCGGTCCATCAAATGGTGCAAGAGACGCCGAGGGCGGTGAAGAAAGTGTTTGGCACATCTGCCGGTATGGCATGTCGTCGTCTTCTTCTTCATGATGGTGAATCGAAAATCCACTAACAGCTGTGTCGTACAGAATGGACAGAAGCTGCCATCAGCCCCAGAGTTCTGCAGTGTGTCTCACAACTCAGTGGTGTCGTATTTCTCGGTGATGCCAAAATCGATTACCTGGCCTGGTACAACCTCACGAGCGAGTTCGTCATCAATGCATCCCGTACAGTGGTGCTCTTACGGGAGAAACACCCTCTACTGCGCCCCTTTGTGCATTGGTTTCTCCCAGAGTGCCGCGAAATTCGACGTCAGTCTCGCGAAGCCCGGCGGATGATTGAGCCTGCTGTACAGGAACGGTTGAAACAGCTGGAACAGCCCTGTTCTACTTCTAACTTGACACATAGTACAGGGACGTCGAGCATGATCTCGATTGACTGGTTCGCAGCTGCTGGGAAATCCAGGAGACTACGGAACTTCGATTTTGTCAGCGCTGAGTTCACCCTGGCCATCGCGAGCATTCGTACCGTGAGCGGCCACGCATTTGGCGGGTTGGTCCGCTTAGCCATGCACCCGGAATACGTACAGCCCATACGGGACGAGATCATCGAAGTGTGAGTGTGTGAATTATCATGAATGACGGCTCCGCGATGATCATACTGACCAGCCTTGGCAGTCTCCAGAATGCATCACAGCTGGACAAGAGCTGCTTGTTTCGAATGCGTTTGCTCGATTCCTTTTTAAAGGAGAGCGCACGAATGGATTGCTTTCCCACCACGCTGAGGAGGATCGCGCTCAGGGATGTACGCTTTCGCGACGGTACATTGCTCCCCCAGGGTGCATATTGCATGATCGCGCCAGCCCCCATGAAAGACTCTTCTTTCTACACGCCGGACGCTCTGGTATTCGATGGCTTCCGGTATGTCAAATTGCGGCAGGCGGCCTTGGAGAGAGGGTCGACTGGGGAGCAATATCAGTACTGTAGCGTCAGTAACCAAGACACCGTCTTTGGCCTTGGAGTTCACGCTTGCCCAGCTCGCTTCTTCGCCACCTTTCAAGTCAAATTACTGGTGGCATACATGTTGTTGCATTACGATATGCGGCTTCCTGACGGAGACGTGGGAGAACCTCTCATCAAGACACTTGGCTACGAGCGCAGCATGAACCACGCTAGGAGCCTCCAATTCACTACGAGACTTCCAGAGGTCGACTGGCAGAAACTGGCAGAGCATAATAAGAAGTTCTGAGAAATGTATATGTGCAGGAGTACTCATTGATCTTGTAGATAGTCTGTCTTTACGCAGCTCGAACATGACTACGCTAGTTTTCCGATTTTCGCCATGTGAATTCAAGCAGTGAGAGCTGAGACCCCGGAGGCTTGATGACCTGCTGAAGTGCAAAACCTGGGTCTGTCTTGGAGAAGAGCAACTCGAATTCGGCTGCAGTCCTTTCCGCAGCGTTGAACAAGATGGCAGCAGTGATATCAGCCGTCCTGAAGACACACACGCCGTGTTAGCACATACCATTCCATATTCTCGCTATACACATCCCCATTTGACTGACCTTGCTTTTCTCTCCTTCCAGAGGGGCTTGCTTCCGTAGTCTGGCATCAAGTTGTCTTCCACAATCACTTTGCATCCATCTTTGAGCGCTGGCAACAGAGATGAGAGAATCCGCAGACAGTACGTGTCCGACCAGTTGTGCAAGATCAATCGCAAGAAATAGACATCGGCGCCCGCCACGGGCTGGGGCGTGAAGAAGTCATGTGGCATAAAACTGACCCGTTCGCTCAGTTCTGGTGGCACTGATGCACTCGCGACAACGCTCTCCAGATCCTGTACGATCACACGGAGCTGGGGAAATCGTTGGGCTAGTTGGAATCCAACGTGGCCGTGGGAGCCTCCAACGTCCACGACGAGTCCGTCTTCTAGCGACATCCACGGATAGTGATCCAGAGTGTGGCTGATGTTGAACTGTGGAAGCTTGGAGAATGCTGTCATGCCTCGTGCGAGCCAAGCAGCCTGCTTGGTGTCTTTGTTATATATCTCGTAGAGTGTCTCGTTGGTATTCTTGGCAAGCGAGTATGCCTGTACATGGTGTCAACTACATGGTACATTACTTGTACTCTTTTCATGTATCATTAGTCTTACCGTCTCCCTGGGCTCCTCTGATCCAGGCCACTTTTGAAGCGCATCGACGAACTGGCAGTGGTACCTATAGTCAGTACAATCAACGCGACTTGCACGATGACACCTCGACGGAGACTTGCCTTTGTTGCAGCTGGCCACCTCTCCCTCGTGACAGATAGAAGATAATCGTTCATCGCTGGGTTTGCGAGTAGTTTGGATGCGGCAGTGTGCGCTACAAAGCCCACCTGTGGCTCGCAGAATATACGCATAGTAATCGCATGGCGAATCAGACGTGTCGCCATGCTTTCCGTCAGGGGAGTGTTCTCGGCCATTTCCTTGAAGGATGTGAGACCTTGGACTTTCGCAGCAAGCTGGAATTCAGCCATTGCTCGTAGACAGGCGGCGTTGTTATACTGCTGGCATCGTCAGGGGGCTATATCAACTCTCCGGTGGCTTTGCAGGACGACGACGACACTTACACCGCAATGTCTGTGGACCAGATCGCGTGGGCCAGAGAAGAGATCGTGAAGCTCGGCAGTAGCATCGAGAACGATGTCGACCTCTTGTGACACCTTTTCCGAGACGTGGTAAACGGCATCTTCGTCGAATGAAGGCACTGGAAGGTCATTTTCGGCGGATATTGATTCGATCTTGACGACGGCGTCCTTGATGGCACTCGCAAGCTGCAGTAGATGTTTTCGCCGTTCGGCTTCAGAAGATCCAGGGTTGGTTGCCATGATAATTACTCTACCTAGATGCTTGATCAATGCAAATCAGTCCGATGATATTCACTCCCACAACTCCACAGGTATCACCAACCCATCATGACTACTTTCTGTCTACCTACCCGTCACACAATCGGCTAGAGCATCTGATTATGGCACGGCAATTGTGACAAGCAGATGGGATGGGACTCTGGAACCAATCCATCCGAATTGCAGGCAGGTAACAAGGGACGATACATGCGACCCTATAGGCTCCTGTTGCCGCTCCTTACAGAGTCTTTATCTATGTTGTTCTGTTGTTTGTACCTCCTAGGTCCTGCTTGTTTGTTCACAAAGAGCGAGCAGGGCAAGGTCAGCTCATGTTGGTCTCTATTGGCAACTCCTGTACATTTTCTGGACTCGGCATATAGGGGTAAAGGGGCTTTGTCAATAATCTGATCAAATACAGGTAGGCCTATCTGCGCCCTGATGCTATGTGTTGGAGTGTGGTGAAAACTAGAATCCTCCGGGGTATTCTCCGCTCGTATGTCGTCTGAAAACGCCAAGATAATCGTCAATATGATCAAACTTTAAAGTTCTTTTCACCTCAAGGCTCACGCTTTAGAATTATCTGTACATTACGGTCGGCTAAAGCGGCTAACCGCTATCCGTTACCCCCGGCTTTGACTTCAACTTTATACTACTTCTACCCTTCTACCTACTATATACTACTATATACACTCGCTATACACTCGCCGCCTACCTCGCCGTTACCGCTATATCCGTTACTACCTTACCTCTCTCTTTGTCGCCGGATCCGTCGTCTTAATAATAAGTTACCTATATAACAAAGCCGTCGCTATAGCAACTCGAAGAAAGAATCTACTACTATAATATATCTACTCTCTCTCCTCTACTGCCGTAGACGTAGATAACTATATTATTCGAACCTTAGTACGTTATTATGCGGCGCGTAAACTCGTATATTACTAATATACTATAGATTCCTCGTATCTGCTACTTTAGTAGCGCTCGGTAGGAATATATCTACGATAAATAATAGCGACGCTATAGACAAGGATACCGATACCGAGGATACCTCGGAGGATAAGAAGGAGGATAAGGAGGACGATACTAGGTAGGCTTACCTTACTCGCTACTAAATCTCTACTAACTCGCTGTATATAGGGCCGTATATACCCCTAATCTATACCTACGCTAGCCTACTACTATAGACTCTAGCAACTTCTAGTTCTACTTAGTCGAAAGATAGTAGGGCTAGTTAGACGAGGCTACGGGCGACGACGCGACGAAGAAGAAGGTCGCGAAAAATAACCTATAGAAGTTCGACTAAGCTAGCCGAATTATAGAGACTATAGAGGGTATTAATACGCTAGATCCGTATTACTAGTATACTCGCGGTCCGCGCGACGTACTATATAAGGTAAACGTAAAGAATAGTATTATCTACGCCTACTACAAGCGATATACTAAGTTAGGCTATTAGGCCGGGATACCCGTTAACGATTCCCCTAGCGATTCGTAGCGAATCGCCTAGCTAGAGGCTACTATTAAAGCGCTATAGGCTATAGTCGATAGCCTATAGGCTATAGTAGGGACTGTTTAAGATAGGACGGGCAAATTGGAGGATTAGATAGAGTAGCTTATACTATACGTCGACGAGCTCTAGCGTATAGTCTACAATATAGCTATAGCGGTATAGCCGTAGGGTAGAGTATCGATACCGGAATCGACTACGATTCTGCGTACGTATAATTAGTAGATAGGTATATATATACCTACCTATTTATATATATAGCAGCGATATACCGTAGCGAGTATAGCGAGTTAGGTAGGCTACGCGCGATCTATAGCGTTTCTATAGCGAGTTAGCGAATATAAGCTAGCGCCGGGTATACCCGACTAATCGGATCGTCCGCCGACCCTACGCAAACTCTACAATATAGGTATACTATCGTAGATATAAGTCGATAGTAGCAGATAGCTATAAAAATCAGTCTTTTCTACTTGTATCTATACTCTATATAAGTAATACCGGGCAGCGCCGGCGGTAGTAATAGTAACCGCCGTAGCGTTAGGCCCCGGGGGCCCTACGGGCTTATATCTATCGATACTAATAGCGAGCGCGGCGATTTATTTCTTGCTTAGCGCTCTAGTTATTGCCCTCTCTCCGATTAGAACCGCTAGCTTGTATCGCTTAGCCGTAGGCGTAGCGGTAGGCGTAGCGGCAGGCGTAGCGGTAGGCGTAGCGGCAGTACTACTTGTCGCGCTCGCTACTAGTGTCGCTTCTAAGTCGACGAACTTAGGTAGCTTGCGGGCGTTAGTTACGCTCTCTATCTATAATGCCTTCTCTTTCTTGATATAAGCGTTGTCTATATCGGTATTACCGTCGATTTCGACAAACTTAGGTAGCTTGTAGGGGTTAACTACGCTTTCTATCTATAATACCTTCTCTTTTTTAATAAATAGCTCGCTAAGCTCGTCGGCGGCGTCGCTAAGCTCGTCGTCGTCGTCGTCGTCGTTATACTTATCGCCGTAGAGCTATTCGATACTCTAGAGGACTTCGGATACTATACGCGTTATACGGCTACTCGCTACGCTCGCTATTAGTATCGCGCGTAAGGCTGTAATACCCTCCCTATCCTTACGCTTTTGCCTTAGTTACTTGTATTGCTAAACGACGATACTAGCTTCGTACGTACGTACGGCGGATCGGCTAGGTAGTAGTACCTTAAATACCTCTATAGACTCGAGGACGTCTACGCTTGCGATACTAGCAGATAATACTCGGTTCGGTTTATTAGTCTCGGTATAGAATAATCGTACAAAGAACATATCGTAGAAGTCTTTAATAGCTATAATAGGCTACGTAGGTAATTTATTCGGCTCGAATCGCGCGAGTATAAAGTCTATTAATAACTTCTTAGCGCTATTAGCTACTCGATCGCGATCCGTCCAATAGTTATATAGGTCGGTATAGGCAACCGGATCGTAGTACTTCTACTTATTATTGCTATTCTTAAGTACTCGCGTAGTAACTCGCTACGTATATACTATAATACTAATATTAAACGAGATAGCTAGAGGCAGCGGAGTTAACTATAACGACGGTAGGGCCGGCGTAGACTAATACTGCTACTAACGTATAGTAGGAGGTAGCGTACCTACGTTTAGCGCGACGGCTATAGCGGCCTTAGCCCTAAACGCGATATTAGCCTTATTACGCGCGGTATTCGCGTACTACGGGATTCTCGCGAATATCTAGAAGCCCTATTAACCGTCGCTAAATACTTGCTATATAGATCGCTTCAAGGCGACTAACCTTTACTTAGTACGCGGGCACTAGCTACTACGATCGCGACGGCCCCGGCTACGGCTACGGCGGCGGCGGTAGCGGCAGCGGTAGCTATCTAGTAGTAGCTAGAAGGCTACCTTCTAGTACGCGTAATACTTTACGTACGAACGTAGTACCTAGAGGGTTTGGATTAAGCTAATAGTACTAAGAGCAGAAATTGAACTTATAGAATATAACGCTATATCGAATCGACGGTACGACTAGATAGTATTTGGCCTAGAGGCTAGGTAGGTTATCGGCTATAGTAAGAGGGTGTATATATATAGAAAAGAATTTAGATAATAGTACGTACTATAATATATACCCTAGAGGGCTTAGCTCGCTTAGCTCGTAGTTATACTCGTAGAGGAGAATTTTCCTACGCTAGCCCTACAGCCTACGGATTATTATAGAATTCGATAATACCTATATCCTCGTTCGCGATTAGCGTATTACTAGTATCTCTAAATACCTCGGCCGTCTACTGCGTAGGAATCTAATCTCTTACTACTAATAGCTTTAAAAGCATACCGAGTATTAGCTATTGTTCTAAGCTAATATAGTTATTAACTAGGCTACGTAGGGTAATATAGGCTATACGGTACGTACGGTCGCTAGTCGCTACGTTATACGACGTACTACTAATAGGCAGCGCGATGCTATAGGGGAGGAGGGTCGCTTTGTACTATTCGTAGGTATCGGCGGGAAGAAAGGCCTCGAGGTCTGTTATTAAGTTAGCGAGTAGGCTACGAGGAGAGCGAGTATATATACCAAACCCTTCTAGCGTCCCTTCGAGTGTCTATAGAACCTCCTCGGGTATACGTATACCTTAGTACGCGGCGCTATAGAGCTCTAGATAATGCCGTAATATATAAGGTATACCTAGAATAGAGAAGGGCCGGTTGTTCTGCTTCCGAATCTTGTAATAGTTCTATACGTTTACGAACCCTATAACTGTCTTACGGAGGATCGTAGTATAGATCGCAAGGAAGGCAATACGATTACCTAATAACTTAGGGTCAAATTCGTTCGTAGTATTTATACTATAGAAATATACGCGCTATCCGTTTAGCGCCTTAGCCTACTAATTCTACTATACCTCGATACGCTGATTTATCTTACTTATACTATATCGGAAGTATTTACCGAATCGTAGTAGTAGTAACTCGGCCTCGCCGCGAGCCCTACGCTTAGTATTATTGACGTCGTAAGCCGTATAACGTACTATATAGTACGCGTCGGCGGCTAGAATAGTCTTACCTCTACGATCCGAGCGTATAATTACCGGCGTATGTCTACTATAGCGTAGTATCGCGATATATTAAGCAAGTACTAAGATAGCTAACCTGCCGGTAATACCGACGTAAATCTACTCTATATATCGCGCGTATATATCGATTCTACCGTATATCTAAATACTCTAGTACTCAAACTTGTAGTATACGTCTATCGAGATAGCGGCTAGCGGTCTAGGTATAATTACAGCGCTATAGTGCTCTCTCGCTCTCTCGTATCGCCGCTAAACAGCGTCTAGATTAAGCAATTTAACAATACGGTAGATACGATCCCTAAGGCGAGTTAGTATACGAGTATATAGCGAGTATATAACGGCATCCCTACGTACCTCCTAATTATATTTATCTCTAAGCGTAGATACGTATATAGGTTGCCTTTACTATATACCTCTACCTCTAACTTTACGAGCTCCCCTACGAGCGCTATAGCGATTAGCTTATCGGTATATACTTGCTCTACCGCAGGTATCTGTTTCCTAAACCCTAGCTCCTTATATATACGCCGATACGTTCTCGTACTAAGATTCTAGCTATTAATCGTAAGTATAGCTACTACCTTATTATCCGTAAGTCGTAGCTTATTATAAGTATACGCTATACGTATCCGTAGGCTGTCGACCTCGTCGGATATATCGTACTATCGTCGATTTAAAGGCGCGCGTAGTATAGTAAGGCTCTAGATTACTAGTCGTCGCTCGAATGTATGCTATATAATAGTAATACCGAATTAGCGGTATAAGTTAGCGATTATCTATATATATAAGATACCCTCCGCAAGCTACGTAGCGATGTAGACCTAATAGTTATTATAATCTATAACATTTGAGCCTCTAGGTACGTACGTCCGAGGCATATTGCAAGCTGTCTACGAGTAGACTATAGGTAACAGTATAGTAAAGTAGTATAAAGATGAAGTTGAAGACGGAAGCCGGGGGTAACGGATGGCGGTTGGCCGCTTTGGCCGACCGTCGTACATCCCCCCTTGAAGGTTCGGTAGCGGTTGTTAATGTTGGCGTTTTTAAACTTTCGGTTTCACTTGCAACGGATACAGCGCAGCGATATGATTGGTTGACTTCACTTCACGTGTATCAGCTAGCTCGCTACAGCCGCCAAGTATCTCACGCTCTGAGAAGCATGTACAACAGTACCTACCTACTGCTTGCTATATTGACAAAAGAGTCAATCGAGCAAGCCGAGGGTTGCCAGGATCGACTGTCCAGAATTGAATAATGGATATCCCGGTCTTGCTCCAGTCAACCTCGCCACGATCATGGACATGAGATGCCTAGTCCGCGAATGCAGGGTGTCTGTCGCCTCACCTAGATGCCAAGGATATCATTCCAACCTCACGCTACAAGAACAGGGTATATACTACACCAATACCATGTTGACCCCTAAACAACTCCATGCGCAATATCACGCTATCGGCTCCGAGTCCTTTGACAACAACTTTGGCGAGCTCAGGAGCAGGGGGAGAAGCATTCGGCAGTGGAGAGAGAAGAGCAGCTGACATGCGGTACTCGATCGCGCGAGCCACTGCTGTAAGGAAGGACAAAGGTACATTGATTGCCTCGCCGAACGAGCTGAAGGTGAGTGAGCCGAAAGCAGTGTAGTGCAGTGTTTTGATCCTCAATCCGACTGCCACGGGAAACAATAGTCGAGCCGTCGTCGACTTCACCCTGAGACCCAGATCTCTGCTATGGCTCATTGCTCGGAGGACACCTCGGCCGAGAAGTGCTCACGGAGCGACTCACTATGCGGAGATGCTGTCTTGTTTGAAGATGAGGTCAAGTGCGCCAGTCCGACAGGAATCAATGTCTTAATCGTCGGCGGAGGGCTTGCTGGATTGTCAGCTGCACTAGAATGCCACCGCAAGGGGCATTCGGTGCGTCTGTTGGACCGATCGTCTCAATCAAGTGCTCAAGGCAAGACACCACAAGATCTTCCTTTTGGATTTTCGATTCACGTGCTGACTGACTGTGCAAGGTGATATGGTCACGATCGGGCCCAGTGCTCGCACGTTGCTGAAGCACTACCCGGAAATGCAACGAGAGTGCGACATGGCCACTCCACATGGCCTGTGGATGAGACATTGCTTGTGGACCGGAGAAGTGATTTCGGAGCCTCACTCAGTGGAGGGTGCTGCTGCCCCTGGCTCAGCATCCTTGAAAAGTGAAACTACACGACTTTTGCCGCAAGCTCATCAGCGTCCGAAGTTCCACGCCATGCTCTGTCGCCAACTTCAGCGCTTCGGTATTCCGATAGAGTCTGATCTGCGAGTCGTAGAGTATTACGAAGATGCCGAGCGTGGCATCGGCGGAGTCGTTACCGAAGGCGGAGAGCGGTTCGAGGCCGATATTGTCATTGCTGCCGATGGTACCAATTCCTCTTCGGAAGCGATCATTGCTGATCCAGCGCCAATTCCTCAACCCACTAATCGCACCGTCTTTCGTGCGGCATTTCCTCTCGCAGTTGCAGCGGCTGATCCGCTGGTCAACGAAACCTTTGGGCTTTGGGAAGGTCGACATCCATTCCTACAAATATGGATGGGCCCGGGCACGTACACGGTCTTCCAGAGCTATGTGGACAAGTACGGTCACGACGGGAGGTTCTGCTTTGCCATGGTTCTTCCAGACCCGGACGGGAAAACCAGGAGAGGATCATGGAATGAACCCGTCTCGAAGGAAGAGACTCTGAGAGTCATTGACTGCCTGCCTGGTTGGTCAGAAGCGTTGAAAGCTCTCATCAGGATCACGCCCCCTGACACAATCTTCGCTTGGCCACTGAGCCCGCGTAGTCCCAAGTGGTGCTGGCACTCTCCTGGTATGCGTGTTCTTCAACTCGGTGATGCGGCACACCCCATGACGCCGACAGCTGGCAACGGCGCGACTCAGGCGATCGAGGATGCGATTACTGTTGCCGCGTGCCTCGCACATGCAGGCAAAGATCAAGTCACTACCGCAGTCCGAGTACACAATCTTCTGCGAGCAGAACGAGTGTCCTGTTGTCAGCTGATGGCCTTCATCAACGATGAGCGCCTGGACAAGTTCGATTTTGGCAGTTCCTCGAGCAACAAATCCAGTAAAATGACCTGGAAGTCCAACAAATGGCTCACGTCTTTCGATCCAGAAGAGTACGCGGATGCGAACTACGCAAAAGCTGCTGCTAGTCTTTGCCCTGGAGGTCCCGAGTTTCGAAATACCAATTATCCTCCAGGACACAAGGTTAAGCCGTGGACAGTCGAAGAGATGAATGACCTGCGGGAGAGGGGATGTGATCTCGATTTGACCGGAGATTGGAGCTGAACGATCTTTGATGCCATCCTAGCGGTTGTGACATGAGGAGACGTCTTTGTAGAAGCCAAGTTTGTCTTTGATCTTCAAAAGACAACTAGTACATATACAGAACAAACGGCAAATCATTCTCCATCCCTCCATGGGACGTTCAAAATTCTACCACGAAATTTTCCATCAAATCACGCAGTTTGTCAAATTACTAGCAAGAGTGAGGGAGAGAGGGTGAGAAAGGGGGCGAGCCTAGGACAGTTTCACGCCCCGTGCTCGTTTTCCTTTCGCAAGTGCTTCACATTGTCCTGTAGCCAAAGGGTCAAAATACGGCCGCTCACCAATACTGGTCGCGCGAACGCCCACTCTGCTGTCCAGGCCCTGACCAACGTGATCGGGAGTTGCTGCATGCACGGAGCAACGGTTATCCCAGATGACCATGTCATTCTTGTTCAGCCAGCGGTGTCGTCCATGGATGTCGTGGTTGAAGACCAACATGTCGTTCATCCAGTCATTCAATCGTGAGCTACAACGAAACTCAATCAAAGACTGTAGGTCGAGGAGCAACGCGCAGCAGTAGCTAACAAGGTTCGATAGTAGGATCCAGGGGCTCAGGGGTAGTAGAGCAAAACTAACCCAGTCGCCGGATGTTCTCCGCCACTACACAAGGTTGGTCTTCCAATATCTCAAACCTTCAATGCCTACGACGTCCCATGAGAAGACCAGACTAGGAATGGCTCTTGGCATTGCAATCATCTCTTCACCGCTCTAGTTAAGGTATACTTCGGAGAGTCTACTGATCATTTTCGTGTGCGATGCCTATCGTTAGGGGGGTCAATATCAATTACCAATGCCAGGTGATTAAACTCATCCTCCACGAGTCGCTATTGACATTTTACGTTTAACATAACACGCCAAAACGACCATGGCACTAAAGGTGCTATCCAAGTCTTCAATCCCATCTATTTTCCGAAAGCATTGCCCTTCTATCAATCATCTCCCCTATCTGGCAGCTGCCCAGGTATTTCCCATGCGAGTCAATAGCCATGTGGTGAACAATTTGATTGATTGGTACATTGAACGTCATCATACACAAGATGAACAGCCCATTTGACTAACACGAGTATGCATGTGTGTGTGCATGAGTGTAATGTTGATTCAGGTCCAAGGTGCCTCATGATCCCATCTTTCGGATGACTTTTCCACATCCAGATATGTTGCAAGACGGAGACCGAGAGAAGATCTGCTCCATGTTGCTGCAACATGCATCGCGGCTGGAGATTCGACGGGTCGCAGAGCACATTCGAAAGCGTCTGAATCCGCATCCTGCAGGACAACAGCAAGAGAATATTCCTCGATTCAGGGGCAAGCCAGTTTTTGGAATGCAGCATAAATACAGGGAGACGGTGCTCTTCTTCCCTTTGGAGGTGCGTTAGACCCCTGAGCAGAGTAGAAGAGACGATTGATTTCTCATTTTCCTTTTTCCTTTGTTGCCTTCTCTCTCAGGGACAATATTGTCACGCCTATTGCAGCTACTGCTTCCGCTGGGCTCAATTCACTTCCGTCGGCTCCCCTCAAACTTTCCAATCCAACAGCAGAACCACATTACCAGAATACATCCGCGCACACCCATCCGTCACAGACGTCCTATTCACCGGCGGAGACCCTCTTATCATGAGTACGAAATTGTTACAAACATACATCCTGCCTCTCCTACCGCAGAATCACGGACCACGAAATTTGAAAACGATCCGTATCGGCACTAAAGCACTGACATGGTGGCCTAGGAGGTTTTTGGACGACGGGGACGGCGAAAATGATGCCAAACAACTCTTGCGTCTGTTGGAAGATATTGTGGCTTCGGGGATACATGTCTCTATTCAAGCTCATGTCTCTCACGCGCGCGAACTCCTGGATCCGGATACTCAAGCTGCCATTCGCGCCTTGCGCTCTACGGGCGCTGTCATTCGATGTCAAGCGCCATTAATGTCCGTCTCGGCTATTTTTCTTTTTTTTTTTTTTTTTTTTTTGGAAACTGATGAGCTGACCCAAGTTGAATAGGCGACACGTCAACGACAGCGCTTCCGCATGGGCGGACATGTGGCGTCTTCAAACCAGCTTGGGCACGATACCATACTACATGTTCGTCGAGCGTGACACGGGTGCAGCAGATTACTTTGCCGTGCCATTGACGTCCGCTTTCGAAATCTACAGCACCGCCTCAAGTATGGTCTCGGGGCTATCACGAACCGCTCGGGGTCCCAGCATGAGCACCAGTCCAGGCAAGATATGCGTCCGCGGCATCGAGACGATATCGCAACAGAAGGTGTTTGTGCTCCAGTTTGTGCAAAGCAGGAATCCTCAGTGGTGTCACCGCACGTTTTTCGCAGAGTATGACTCCAGTGCGGTGTGGTTTGATCAGTTGAAACCTGCGTTTGGAGAAGAAGGATTCTTTTTCGAGAGTGAGTATGAAGAAATCAGAGCTCGGGCGGCGCAAGAATCTTCGGGGCAAATCTTTCAGGGGTAGGTATGATATTATCGTCAAAAGTGAGATATATTTCTGTCACACAACGGACACCTCTAGACATTATCGTACCGACTGTTGATCTGCTTCTTCTTCTCCTTCTTCCACCCAAAAGCACAAGAATCGAGCCTCAATACTCTCCCTGAAAGACTTCTCATTCGAATCCGGCACAGTAATGGCCGTGTGTGCCCCAGCATAGCCAGTGAAACCTGGCTGACCTTGCCTACTATCACACCCCTTGAACAAGAACATCTGTTCGGGTGTCATACCATGTACATAGTACCAACGATGCATTTCCGGGCCATCAGGGTGCGTGAGAACCGAGTATCCCGTACTGGGTGAGGGCGTCAGACGCAGTCGCCAGTCGGAGTCTTGATAGGACAACACATCGCAAATGGCCAAGGGATCGCACTCGACGGTGTTTAAAGGTTTCCAAATTTGTATCATCGCCCAGCGTGAAGCTGCTTTGTCCACGGTTTTGGCATGGTCGTTTTTGATGACAGCGGGACTTTGCATGGCAAGTTCTTTGAGTTGTTGCAGCCGTTCTGGAACTGCTACAGGACCATCGCAGTGAGGGAAAATGGCTCCATATCGGTTGTACCGTTCCGTGTCCTTTTTCTCTTGGAAGATTTCGTTGGTAGGTCGACGTAATACGTGGCCTAGGGGAAAGACAGACGAGGCTCCAGTGCTATAGATGTGAGCAAAAGAAAAAGAGAAAAAAAGGGACATTATTTGTGGATTGGAATGTTCTTTTGGTGGCATACTGAGGCTCACATACTGGCTCTTGATGACTGACTCCAGCTCGGGGTAGAAACGACTTTCAATCAGCGCATCCGTCGTCATATCTCTCAGCATGGGCGGCAAGGCGACAATTTCGAAGCCGTTGCGGTCGATTTGAAAATCACTTTCTCGGCCAGAAATATTCGTGACGGTCATCATCCTTCCAGAGTGTAACCGTCCATCAGCCCTTTTCGGCGGCGGAACTGCGGACGCGCTGATCATTCCACCAATATCCCGAGGGAAGTAGTTGATGTGAGTCCAGACGTCGTGGTTGGTACCGATCCATTGCGGCTCGGTTGGTGGAAGTGGCTCGACCATGTTGATTCAATAATCATCTACTTCTGTCGTGATCGACACAAGTCGGTATAAGCTTCAGTGATGAGCTTATGGATTGGATTGTGTCTCGCCTGACCGGAGGAGGAAGCAGAAGTGAAGGTCAAAGTTCAAGAGACGTGCAATGCCTACATTCGGATTGATTGATAACGCTCTAGCGGCAGAGGGTTGTATCGTGTTTGCCGAATTGTCGCCTTGTCGCGGATGAATAATTGTATACGGGCTTCTTCTAGTGAGTTAATGCAGACTACGGTAACGAGATAACGAAAGAAGAGAAATAGACAGTTATATCAGGCGGCTCACTTGTTGGTACCCGCCTACGACCACTCGATACAGGATATCAACTCTGTTACTTCTTTAATGTGTTTTGCGTCAATATAATCAGCCCAATAGCAGAAAAGAGTGATGTTGTTCTAAGCTTTCCGCTTTAGACAGGTTGGTGTTATAAAGCAGGACTAACACTTTACCCCGAGAACTCAGGGGTGCTCTCAGGGGTCAGATGCTTTTTACAGGGAAAGTCTACTTGCAGCCCTTACGCATAACACAACGCCAAGTCTCGGCTAACAAGTACTTAATAACATTCTATAAGCTTTTGCTGGGTCCTGAATCCTAGTATCCAATAACCAACACTACTAGGCTGCTCATATCAGGAAGTGAATAAAAGGTGATATACCAAGCGGTTTGATCCGCTAGCTTCATGAATTAATCGATGATCTATTCAGCTCACGGTCCAGAATTGGAATACTGTATACTGTCTCCTATACCATGCGAATGGGGAGGGGGGGCTCCATATGACATTGACAGATTTTTCGCTGTACAAAACTACAAATCAACTGCCGATCGGGCTCAGCTAATCCGCTGTCCAAGTCCCTTCCCCCACCCCTTTTCGGAGGAAACTTCTCAGCTACCGTGGGGTGAGATTCAGTAGATGACTCTGAGAATGGCGTAGCCTGATTTCGTAATGGAGAGAGAGAGAGAGAGAGAGAGAGAGAGAGTCAAATATTGATGGAGATTTGACGACACCCTTCTCGCTCTTGGAACATTTTGTTCTTCTGTTGTTCAACACACACCACCCTGAATTGAACATAAGCAACATGTCAACACTGTCTATTCAACAGAAATATGGTAATCGAGTACCATCCTTCCATCACAATCAACGACAATGGCCCAACGTGGTTCTGAAAAAGTCTCCGATTCTCTTTTCCACAGATCTTCGAGATGGAAATCAAGCCTTGCGGAACCCCATGGTAAGGATACAATAACAACAGAGTTAAATTCCGCCCGCCAATTAACTGAAATATATATTTCTTGTGTCCAAATTAGACATTCGATCAAAAACTTCGACTTTTCCAATTCCTCGTCTCCATGGGTTTCAAAGAAATCGAAGTCGGTCACCCTTCTGCAAACCAGGGCGAATTTGATTTCATCCGCCATCTCGTCGATACTCCGGGTTTAATACCAAAAGACGTCTTGATTCAAGTCATCGCTCCCTGCAGAGAAGAAGCCGTCAAGCGAGCGGTGCAAAGCGTCCAGGGTGCCGCTCAAGCCATCATTTTTACGTATCTCCCGAGCAGTGACAATTATCGGACGACGGTGCTGGGGATTTCGGAAGAGGAGTGGGTAGATTGCGCGGCTCGAGTGGCAAAATTCGCGCGAGAAATTACTACTGCGACGTCGACGACGAGGAGGAGGAAATCTGGTGGCAACGACGAAGGTAGCGATAGTAGCAGCAGTACCACTAAGTGGACGTGGAATTTCGGTTTCGAGGACTTTGCCAATGCACGTTTAGAAGCAGTGGTTAGATGTGCAGAGGCCGTCAAGGCGAGTTGGGGCCCGAGTGTAGATGCACGGATGATTTTTTCTCTGGCGTCTAGTGTCGAGAGCTCGATGCCAAATGTCTTTGCCGATCAAGTAGAAAGGTTCTGCCAGAGTGTTTCGGACCGGTCGTGCTGGCGCGTTTCTGTTCATACCCACAATGATCGAGGGGGTGCAATATCAACTGCGGAACTCGCCAGTCTCGCTGGAGCAGATCGTGTTGAGGGATGTCTCTTTGGAAATGGAGAGCGCGCTGGCAATATGGATCTGATCACGTATGCGCTGAACCGGGTCAGCGAGGGCATAGACTGTGGGCTGGATTTGAGCAAACTCCGAGATGCTCGTCAGATATATCAAGACATTGTGGGAATACCCATTCATCCGAGGACGCCCTATTCGGGAGCATATTACCTGAGAGCATTCAGTGGTGGACATCAGGACGCCATTGTCAAGGGTCTCGAGCGTCGCGCTTTGGCGGAAGCTGATGTGACAACGCAGTCGAGCAGCACATGCTGGCCACAGTGGAGCGTCCCCTATCTTCCCATCGACCCGGTGGATATCGGCTTTGGCCAGGAGGACATCATCGAGATCAACAGCCAGAGCGGTAAGAGTGGTGTCAAGTGGGTGCTCCAGTCACGTCTCGGTCATGAAATTTCCAGAGAGGATGCCGAGGAGACGGTGCGTGTGGTGAAGATGCGCTCTGCTGGTATTGATCAAGCAACGGACGCCGACGAGCTGTGTGAGATATATCAACAAGTCATCTCCAAGCACAGTACCTGCAAAATGTTTTGGGATCGACTGTCTGAGATCTTCCAGAGTGTCCTGAGTGTTTCACGCCCAGAGTTGGACTTCACCCGTGCTGGGGATACCCACCCGAGTCCTCAAGCAGTACTCACAGCATGCTCCCACGAACTACACAACCGTAATCACTTGCAAGAGGAGCAAATCATCCTTCACGTGGTGGATCTGTGCAACGCCGATGTCGAAGTAGGAGGTCTGGGTTTCCGCGATCGTCGCTGGCGAGATTTTATTCCAGAGAACTTGAGACGGGTTCTTGGCCTGACAGAGTCATGGTTGTTGACCATCAACTCGCTGAAAACTCGAATTCCAAAGTTGTCTCTACCGCAGAAGCCCGTTAACAGAAAACCCATGACTTTGACGTCCAAAATCCTCGCTCATCATGCCATCTCCTGTGCGCAGAACAGCCATGTCACTGTCGGAGAGGTCCTTCGCGTGAACATTGACTGGGTGATTGCCAGCGAACTGTCCTGGGTGGGCATGAAACGAAGTATTGCAAATTCTGGATTAAGTCCCAAAGCGTGGCGAAATGATCGCTTCTGGCTCGCTGGAGATCATGCCGTCGATCCGCGGATTTACGGAGAACATCATGTCCGCGAACTGATTGATGGCCTGGAGGAGGCACGAAAGGGGTTGAGGATGACGGAGAACCAAGGTTCCAATGTATGTATGCTTCACGCAAGAAAATGTGCTTCGCTTCATGGATGAATTGCTGCTGACGAGATTGCCCAGTATACAATCCTTCATACTGAATTTGCGAGAGAAAGGGCACAGCCCGGTATGCTCATTCTGGGATCAGATTCCCATACTTGTTCAGCGGGTGCAACGAGCGCACTCGCTATCGGTCTTGGAGCAGCGGATGTGATGGCTGCTCTCATGACGGGACAAACATGGCTGCGAGTCCCAGAGTCGATCCGGGTTGAGTTCATCGGTCGACCGTTATGGCATATGTGAGGACTTGCATTTTCCACGGCACCATCTGATCCCAGCTAATTCGAGTGAAATAGTGGTGGTAAAGACATTATCCTGCATATCCTGGGCCAGCTCAAGCGCAACACGCTGGCAGCAGATCGGGTCGTAGAGTTTGGCGGGCCAGGAGCATCGATGTTATCTTGTGATGCTCGATTTGCCATTTGCAACATGTGTACTGTACGTGTGTTTTCTGCTCTCTCTCTCTTGTCGACCGATATTGACCGCAAGCAGGAGCTAGGCGCAATCACTGGCATCTTCGAGCCCGACACCGTCGTCGAAACTTTTATCAAGGGGCGTCGGAAGCGAATGTACAAATCGGAGTCTGTCTATTTCGCTGCCGACGACGATGCACCATACTACAGCCGTGTCACTGTAGATTTGAGTGAAGTCCAGCCGTACATTGCCCTGTACCCCAGTCCGGACGATGTTCAACCCATTTCGAAGCACCTTGGTCTGGAGTTCGATGGCATCTTCATTGGAGCGTGTACGACGACGGAAGAGGACCTGGTTCTTGCAGGATTGATATTGCGGGCGGGTTTGGCCAGAGGCTACCGACTCGTCAAGGGAAGACGTATCGTAGTCCCTGGTAGCTTGCCCATTGTACGAAATCTTCGCGGGCTCGGGCTTCATGATGTATTCACTCAGTGTGGATACGAACAGCCCGCCCCGAGCTGCAGCCTATGTCTTGGTATTGGTGCAGATGTTGCGCCGTCTGGCACCAAATGGCTCTCGACACAGAATCGAAATTTCGAGAATAGGATGGGAAAAGGTAGTACCGGTCCTTCACGATGACACGAGTGCGTGAGACTAATCTGCACGATACTTATAGGGGCCATCGGGTACTTGTGTTCTGCTGCGGTGGCGGCAGCTTCGACTTTCTCCATGGCTGTGACGGATCCGGCGGAACTCCTGAACGATGTTTCTCCCGATGAATACCAGGCTTGTCTGATGCGTTTATCATCTTCGAAGCGCCAGCCGGCCGCTTTCGCCGAGGAACTGCAGTATAGCGAGCCACGTCTCGACGGCGCCATCGAGACTTCATCGCCGACAACACAAGGGAACATGAACAACAGCCCTCTGATGGAGCAAGCATATTCTGTTATACAGTCTCGCATATATCGCCTTGGAGATTTCGTGGACACGGATGCTGTAAGCTTCACCTCCTTAGCTGTAGACGTGCCAGTCACTGATTTCCGGGAGTAGATTATTCCAGCAAAGGCTTGCCTGGGAAATCCGAGTGACGAGATGCTTGGCGATCAGTGCCTGGAGATCAGCAAGCCTGATTTCCGTGAAAGTGTGCGAAATGGACTGGCAGTGGTGGTGGCCGGGACAGCATTTGGGTGTGGATCGTCACGGGAAGAGGCCGCAAGGGCACTGAAAGGTATGTACCCTTACCCGCGCTCGACTGGTGATATAGTCTTGGTGATTCGATGCTGACAACAATCTCTCCAGGACTTGGTGTCAAGTGCGTGATTGCGAAGTCATTCTCGTACATCTTCTCGCGGAACATGCCCAATATCGGCATGCTTGCCATCAGCATTGATGCAGAAGACTTTTCCACTGCAGCAGTACATGGACAGCAGATCATCGTTGACATGGAGCGCTGCGTGGTTGAAGTAGGTCACCAATCGTGGGACTTCGCGCTGGGTGATATCGAGCGAGATCTCGTCCGCGCAGGCGGTCTTGGAATGGCTCTATGGGCAGGCCATGGCGAGGAGCCAGGTCTAACGCTCAGGAGTAGCCAGGTGGTGAAGGATGACGGAGACAAACCATCGAGACCAGACTCCAGGCGAGATAGTAGCCTTGTTGTGGACAGCGAATCATGCTTTGCATGTAGTCTGGATGACCTATCGTGGTAGTACCTTACCAGGAACGAAGAGGAGCGAGATTTCGTGACACTGCACTTGGTCATGAACTGCGGGTATCATTCACTTACACAGTTTCCTCTGGCTCGCTCGCTTCCGGTCCCCTCGGAGGCAAGCATTCCACGTTATTTGCACCAGCATTCGCGTGAGCTACGTGCAGTCTCGCAAGTACAGCGTCGCCTACATCAGAAGTCGAGTAACATCCTCCCAGATCCGGCGTGATGATTCCAGCCTGCAACACGCTTTCGACACTGTCCTCGATCGCTTGGGCTGCACGTTCCAGTCCTAACGAGTATCTGCACATCATCGCCACCGACAAAATAGCACCGATGGGGTTGACCGTGGCTGAACCGCAAAGATCAGGGGCAGAGCCTGATCCAGAATACGATTAGCTCAATAACAGGAACATACAGTTATTGGAGGCTCTCCACGGGACTACGCACCATGTACTGGCTCGTATAGGCCTTGAACCGTTGGATTTGTTGCGGTGGGAAGATCCGACAGGCTCGCGCTGGGAAGTAGTCCAATACTGCCGACGATAGCACCAGCCTCGTCACTTAAGATGTCGCCAAACATATTGCTAGTGAGCAGAATGCCGTTGAGCTTTCTGGGACTGCTGATCAGATCCATTGCTGCGCTATTCACCAAAACGTGCTGCAATGACACGTTGGGAAACTCCATGGCTATAGTCTGGTCGACTACACTTCGCCATAGTCGTCCGCAAGCTGCTAAGACGGCTGCTTTGTCGACACTTGTTATGCGTTGTGGAGGATCGCTTCGACTAGCGAGTATTCCTGCAAGTCTCGTTGCTCTCTGTATTTCAGCTCGTGTATAGACGTCGGTGTCAGTAGCATACTGGTCGGACTCGTGCCGAGCCCCAAAGTAGATTCCTCCGGTGAGTTCGCGTAGTATTGTGATATCGGTGCCGGTGCAAATCTCTGCATTGAGCGCAGAATGGTCAAGCAATGAAGGAGTAGTCCGGACGGGTCGGATATTGCCAAATGCACCAAGTCTCTTGCGAAGGCGTCCCAGACCCCATTCTACTCCAGGCACAACATCACGCCACTCCTGCGACGGCCGATAATTAGAATACTTTCTGTATGTATTCTAGCAGTTCTCCTTACTGGGCCTCCAACTGCTCCAACGAGCACGGCCGATGCCGAAGCACACTCTTCGAGTGCCGCTTCAGAAATATTCTCGCCGTGCTCGTTCCACGCTGCCTAGGAACTCAATCAGCCGTGGTATCCGCTCAGACTCCGACTGCCACAGCAACGCACTCCGCCAATCGGGTGGTGAACAAGATTGAGGATAATCTGCGGAGACTGTCGTTCGACTTCCAGGAGGACCTGGATTGGGAAGATTCAGTTGACTATCCATCCTTGTTCAGTTGAGAGGTGACTCGGCTTGGCTGGAGGTACCTTGATTGCTTCAGCAACCACCTGTTATATAGAGAAGATTCGTGATGTTAGCATCTCATCAGCGCGGCAATAACAGTCGTGTCCTCACCTCAGGTCCACAGTAGTCCCCGGCGCATACTACAATCTTGTGCCGCGTAGGCGCTGTGCTACTACTCATCGCGAGACATGGACTGAGTTACCTCCTATAGGCATGTTTGCTTGGGCTGGTGGAGGTATCATCGAATAATCGAGTGTCACTTGGAAGTAAAGTTCAGCACTTGAAATACTAGGTGCTGTTAGCTTAGGTAATAATAATGAGCCTTCGAGTGCCCCCTGTATCTACTGTAAATCAGCTAAACTCAATGATACCAGGTACAGGTATTAAAGATACCCCCCAGTTCCTTGAGATGGGAGGCTTGGAGTAGATATCTTACCACTTAACGCATAGTACTCGGCTCTCTACAGTACAGATGAATCTGATATCGCATATTCTCCAATTCCAGGCGATATTCCAGTTTCTCAGGCAAGCGAAACCATCTCGACTCATCCGAAACCACTTTCTTCCACTTCGCCGCCGTCTCCTCTTCCCCGCGCTTCTGCTGCGTGCCCAGCAACGTGTGGTCAAGGAGCCACTGCATGGGATACTTCTTCTCCGCACCATTAATGGACACGGTCGAATAGCTCCCCGGACTGTCCACCACCAACAAGTGTGTTCCGGGCCGTGCTGCTTCCGTGATCCGAGTGAGCATTCTTTGTGTGCTGGGTACGGATGTGGAGTAGAGTTCATTCAGCGTGAACATGAGAGTGATGAAATCCACGCCTTGGTATAATGCTCTGCTTGCCTGGTCGTCGAGCTGGAGGATGTCTTGTTGCTGAAATTGTGCTTGGAGTGCGTTTTCGGATGGCAGCATGGCGACGTTCGCCGCTTGAGCTGCTGCAGAGGCATATTTCGAGAGGACTGAGGGCTTTTTCACGGCCTCGTCTAGGCTCACGAACGTCTCGTCCCATGCTGCGACATCCAGAAAAATGGCCTGCACCTTGACCTCGGTGTCTGCGCTGAGCTGCTCGTGCAACCAAGCCGCGAGTGCGATGAGCTCTGCTCCTGCGCCGCCGCCTAGACACACCGTCCGAAGTGTCCTGCTCTCGTCTAGACCGGCGAGCAACTCATCTGAAAGGTCTTGGAGGATCTGAGTGTAGCCGAGAGCTCGACTGGGACTCCATCTTGCTGCATAGATTCGGAGGTACTCGGGCTTTCCAAAGGCCGCTGCAAAGTCTCGCTTGTAGAGGTGACCTTTAACTTCCTGGAGGAGGGTGGCATCGTCGTCCCCGGACGGTAATGCATCTCGGAATTTGTTCAAACACTGTTGTTGAAGTGCCAACGCCACCGTCGATACGGCGTGTTCGACCTCATCTCGTCTCGTCAGCGGCTTGTTGTTCTTGCCTTTATTTTGTGGTAAGCGCTTGTGGTTGGCGGCCTTCCAGCTTTCTGTTCCTCGCGCCATCTGTTCACATTGTTTCCAGAGGCAGAAGTTTGAAATGCTGCCGTCCGAAAGTGGTTATGAAACTTTGTAGAGAAAATGCTTAAAAATTCTCCGATACCGCAGAAGATGAACACATCTACATATAACAAATTTCCTTCGGTTGCCCTTCGGCAACGAGGAGACACGAGCACTATCTCAAGAAACGTGGTATTTCACATAGAAGATGTATACATGTTGAAGCACAGTACCCTAAGTAAGGGAGCTCGCAGTGTCAGGAGTGGCAGGATTGTAATCACGCTTGGTGCAGCTGAATGTCCACCTTGAGATCTTTACAAGCGAGCATTGCTACTCAGAAGCAGGTGTGTTCAATGAGCGAGAAGAATCGTGGAGTTGATGGCAGCATTGGCTGCATGTGTAATACTCTATCACGCGCTGAACGGCGCTGGAAATACGGCGTCAACATTCAGCTAGGCCAGCTCGCGGTATTGATACCACCTACCTACGCTTGAATGAGCGCATAGAAGGAAGTTCCCGTTACTTTTCTCCTCGCTTCCCGGTGTGTTATAATGACCACTTCAGCCAGTCTTTCCCATCTGTCGTCCTGTCTTGCATCTACTACCTTGCTCCGCTCCTCAAGCCTTCTCGTTCAAGGCAGCCAGGATATCTTTCTGAATCTTCTCCGGGGCAGAGGTGCTCGCCCATCGCTGCTTGACGTGTCCATCTCTTCCGATCAAGAACTTCTCAAAGTTCCACTTGATCCGCTTCAGACCCAAAAGGCCCGGCTTCTCCGCCTTCATCCACTCCCATACGGGCTCGGCGTTGTCTCCGTTGACATTGGTCTTGCCCAGGACGGGGAAGGTGACGCCGTAGTTGAGCTGACAGAAGCTCTGAATCTCGTCGTCACTGCCAGGGTCCTGACCACCGAACTGGTTGCAGGGGAAACCGATGATCTCGAAGTCGTCGTGCTTTGGCTTCAGTTCTGTGGCGGATGCGTGCGTCAGCGGGTGGCGGACGGGCCAGTCGGGTGGGGGATGCACGAGAGTTCAATCTGATGATCCTCCTACCTCCTACCTCTCAAGTATACAACGTTTGGGTACCTTACTCACCTTTGTAGAGTTTTTCAAGACCCTCAAACTGGGGCGTGAAGCCGCACTTGGATGCGGTATTGACGACCAGCACAACCTTGCCCCGCAGGTCGGACAGTGGGAACTGCTGACCCCGCTTGTCCTTGGGCGTGAAGTCGTAGAAGGTGGTTGCGGACGACATGGTGGCGGATGTGAAAAGTGCACGGCGGTAAGAGAGGCGGTGAGGGAGGCGGTGGTGGAAGCTGGTGGTCGACGATGCGAACAAGCAGGGCGTAAATGGTAGAAGAACTAAGGGAGAGGTGGAAGTGGGGCGGAGGCAGGACTTGATGAAGACAGAAGGAATACTACGAGTACGAGGCATGGCATGTTACTAAGAAGGTGGTACCTATTGTACCTACAATACATGTTCCCAGGCTCCAGCAGGGAGAAAGTCGGAGGTAAGAGTTGACGAGACCACCTACCACCGAGGAGGTAGTCTCCTACCTGTGAGTGACCAGGACAACGACAGAGAGAGCTCCGAGACAGAGTCCCCTCCCACTCCCACTTCCACTCCCCTCCACACCCGTTCCATCCTCCACTCTCACTCCAGAGCCAGTTAGTTCCATTGTTCACTACTGTACCTTATCCTCCTCCTCCTCCTCCTCCTCCTCCTCCTCCTCCTCCTCCTCCTCATCCACTCCACTCCGAGGTCTCGACCATCATAGGAGGTAGCTACCTCCTAATGTAACCTGTATTCACATGCAATTTTTCATATCCCGGCGATGACGCCGCCCACCGCTTACGTGATGAGATGATTCTCCAGTCATGAGCGAGCAAATGGCGTAGTGCTTCCGGGCAGCGAACGACGAGACATGTAACCCACGACTCATGATAAATTCATTGCTGTTGAACTAGAAAATACTGCGTGAAGTTGTTAGAAACTCAGAGGACGCAGATACCTGACAATTAAATTGTGCACCAGTGCTGGGATCGCTGATGGCAGTACACTACAGTACAGCACAATACACCTCAGCCGACTCCAACCGCTCATCTACCTTATCTGTGGTGCAGCCACAAGTGCAGGACAGCCAGCTTAAATTTCCATTCGATCCGCAACTGCATGGACATATTGTATGTGTAGCGACGATCGCATTTCTGAACTCAGTATACTTACCTAAGGAGGTACTGGTGGAGAACATCAGCATAAGCCGGACGGTAAGCTTGCAGAAAACGGGCGAAGGGCGCAGCTAGCTCCTAGCGCACAGCCCGGGAGGCTGAGAGGTCGAGATGGTCGCGCAAGAACTGGCTGGAATCCTTCTGACAGAGCCTCCAGATTAGGAGGTAGGAGGTATTCTTATTAGTTGCCATACTGCAGTTGGTAGACCCTGTGTAGGCAACGAGGCCTTCACCATATGGGACTTCAGCTCATCGTCCACGGGTCCATCGCCCAGCTTGGATACAAGTGCCGTAAAGTACCTGTAGTCAGTGATATCTCCTAGGTAGGACGTACGGAGGTACTAGTAGATGGGCAGAGCCGAAAACAGGAACGGTCACCGGCCGTTGATAGCTTCCTTCCCTACCTGGAGGTATGTCATTGACACTCCATGGCGACAATGGATGTCTGTTCTGTCTCGCTCGAGGACAGATCTCTGGGTCGCTTGTACGCTATGCAAATCACCCTGCCGGTAGGCTGATCACCGCTCCTCACTAAAATGCTCTCCTGGCGGTGTCGTACATACTTGGGATGTAGTAGGAGGTATGACCACCTACCTTACCCACCCTCATGATCACCCTCCCTCCATCCTCATTGTAAGCGGGTCAGCATGATCGAGATCTCAACCGCGGGCACCTTTGCGATTTGAGGCGGCCATTACGAGCATAACGCGAGAAGGGCTTGTAGCATGGGGCTAAACATGGGCTCTCTGAATACATCATTCTGCAGCTCGACGACTGTATCTGAAGATACCTCTATATGATTATTGCATCCTCCATTGAAGGCAGTTATTCTAGTCGCGAGCACGCTTTGTCCTGCCACTAATAACCAACAGTCGAAGCCGCCACCAACCTACGACCGGGTGTTTGTATGGATGCGGCACGTCGGATCTCGGCGAGACGAACCCCGAAAGTGCCCGTGCAGCTCTGCTTCGATCATCCTCACCTAGGAGGTACCACTACATACCTGATGTCCTGGGCGCATTGCCTCAATACAGCGTGCACATGAGTGGGAGGAATTCTTCAGCTTTGCCAGTGTCCTTCGCACTCCTTGACGTTTTGCTTTTATAATCATTTCTACAGGAATAAACCGCCGGCAGTTTGGGCGTAGGTTCCCTTGACGAAACAGGGCATGGGGGGGTTTCTGAAACCCTGGAACAATACCCTCGTTCGAACAGGCCGACGGCCCTTGCATAGCTTACCCGTCTTCCCGTGGCTGTAGCGAGGCGTGTGACGCGAGTTGGCTGTGCTTCTACCAGGCATCTTCTCTCAGTGCCATGGTCACGCTCCGCACTGTGACTGTATGTGTGTGTGTGTGTGTCTATCTGAGTGGCGAAGTGTCTGTCGTGGACACGCATATCACCAGGAGCGTCCCTCGATATATAACATGTACATGGCCATGGTCTTCCACGTACTGGCTCGCTGTGGTGCCTGTCCAAAGAGCGAAGATGACGCCGGACGGTCGGTCCCTGCAGGGATCATCTTCTGGCGTCTTTATGTGAGACGGCGTCTGGTGTGCTGGCTGGTCTGGTCTGGTCTGGTCTGCTCGAGGACTGTCCAGTGCATCTTCCCGTCGCTATAGATGGTACATCTATCACTATAGAGACATCATTCGTATAATCACCATCGTCACCGCCATGATCAAAGTGCTTGACCTAAGCTTTGATTGAGATCGGGGCACTGTAGGTGGTAGTCCTGATTGCCTTCACGTCTGGAGGTCGTCCCATCAAAGAGAACTGGGATCATCGTTTAGCTCCAAAGACTAGCGCCCAACCCTACCACAACCTTGTTGAGCCGCCGACCTCTGTCGCGCTCTCTCTTCTGGCGGCAGCAGCAGACCTTGACGGTCGCTGGTCGTTGGTGCTCGTTTCTCTTTATCTCTACCAAACGTAGAATTGCGGCACGCTTTTTTCCTTCTTTGTGTGAGCCCCGAAAATCCCGGACAACAGACTGACACACAGCGAGAGAGAGAGAGAGAGAGAGAGAGAGACAGAGAGAGAGGGAGAGAGCGAGGGGAAGAGAGAGCGAGAGACAGATAGCGAGAGTGTGAACTTGGGTGTGGGGGTTGTGTATGAGCAAGAGAGTGCACGTGTGTGTGTGGGAGAGAGTGAGAGAGAGCGCGCGCCAGTACGACAGAACGGCAGCAAGAGGACAGAGGGAGTCGAGAACAACCTGTGCTCACAATAGGTACCTCCACCTCCTACCAACGCCAGTGCCTAACACCACGACGTCTGGCCCGGACGAACCACCACCACTGTCAAGCACTCTCCAGTTGAAATCTACCTACGCACTGTACGCAGCGGGGGATAATTGCAAGCCGTTCCCGCACCAGCTGACACGACCAGCGTCCCGTTGGCGGTACCACCACCTTCGCACCTGACGCCCGCCTTCTTCCGCTCCACCTCGACCGCACTGACAATACAATCCATTCACCACCACTACCAACATCGCCACCGACACCGACCTCGACTCTAGCATCGGCTCCACCTCGACTGCCCGCCCCCTCTGCCACTTGCGACACCTCGCCCGCCGAATGTCGATACGCAAACGAGCTGAACAACAGGCCCCGCCCACCGAAGACTGATAGTGGCAGCAACAGAGGCATCCCTGGCGCGACGTGCACCTTCGAGTGCAGGCTGTTGTCGCCATGGAGCAGCAGAATAACAACGGCAACAACATGATGCTGCCGAACGGCATGAACCCCATGGGTATGGGCATGGGCGGCGGCGGCGGCATGCAGCGCCCGCAGCCTGGCAATCAGTCGCAGCAAATGTACGCGAACATTGCACAGGAACTCAAGAAGAATATGCACAAGTTCGTGGGCGGCTGGCAACAGTCGCATCCTATCGGTGACCGCGCAACTCGCATCATGCAGCTGTAAGTTCCTACCTACCTTACCTACCTGACCTAACCTACATGTACTCTCCTCCATCCACCTCTCGAAATTCACCGCACTTGGCGCTACAGTTCAGCCTGAGGAGGCCATCTGCCCCACTTCGTGACAACCTGACCTGCAATCATCATTTCTCTCGGCACACTCAACACACCGCCCCCTATCCACACGTATGGCCTTGCGCTAACTTTACCTCTCTCTTCCAGAGTCAGCCACCTCCGCCTAATTAACCCGGATATCAATATCTGCATGGGAATTGCACAGAAATGGGAAGTGCGCACATTTGAAGAATCTCAAAACAAGGAGCAGTACGTCGAGCGCATGGAGCAGAAGCTGAACGAGATCCGCCAGCGCCGTAGTCAGCACGCGGGTAACATTCCTCTGGGCGTGGCTGGTGCGATGCCAAACGGTCAGATGCCCAACAACGGTATGATGCGCCAAGGGAATATGATGGCTGGATTGCCAAATATGGGCAACATGTCGAACATGCAGAATATGGGCAACAACATGAACGGCATGAATGGTATGAGCGGCCTGGGCTTCTCGAACAATCCGATGAATGGGCAGAACGGACTATTTCCGGCACAGCTGGCGCGCCAGATGCAGCCATCGCCCGTGAATATGCCAGGCCAGGCGGGAACACTGGACCCCTCGGCGCTCCAGATATCACGACAGCAATCGCAGCAGCAGCAACAGCAACAACAACAGCAGGTCCAGCAGCAACAGCAAAACGCGATCAACCAGGCAGGCCCGCAGCAGCAGGCGTCAAACATGGCACAAGGTGGCCAAGCGCAATCAGGGCCGAATATGCAGGCTATGATCACAGGGCGGGCACGACAAATGTACGACCAGATCTCGGAGGACCAAAAAAGAAACATGCGCCAAAAGTTGGTTTCACAGATGTCTGAACAGCAACTCCAGATGATGCAACAGAGCCGTCGCGATCCTGTGATGCAATTTTGCATCAAAAGGGCCCAGGAACAATTTGCGAAAATTCAGGGCCAGCGCATTCAACAGAATCCTGGCGTCCCAGCGAATGGCAATATGAATACGCAAATGGGCAATAACGCTCCGCAGCAGCGACCGCCATCTCAAGCTGGCGGACAGAACTTTGATGTGTCTGGTATACTCGGCCAGCAGGCCAATGCACTCAAGTTACAGGATGCCGGCGAGCAGGTCGTTCCGGCCAGTAATAACAACTCCAACAGCTTCAACATGGGGCTTGGCAATAATCAGAGCATAAATCCACAAATGCTGAACAACCAAGGCTCCGCCGGCGGACAGAGTAACAATAACTCTATCGGCCAGCAGCAAGCCACGTTTTACAATCAGCAAAGGAACCCGCAGCAGCAAGATCGACTGCAAAAACAGATGTTGGCACAGCAGCATGCCATGCAAGCAGCTCGAATGCAACAGGGTCCACTTACGGGACAGCCAGGCGGTTTACATGCGCAAAATGCTTTTAACGGTGGCGCCGCGCCTAGCCCGGCCATGTCGATGCTGAATAGACCAATGGTGCCACCAGGACAGATCACTCCGGGCACCCCACAACCGAATCGACAGCAACCCATGCCTCAGACTCCAATGAATGGCGCCAACCAGCTCATGCAGCATCATCAAAACATGGTGAACCAGAACAACCAGTTGCACAATCATCAGACACAGCAGATGATACCGCAGAACGCAATCCACAGTTTGCTGCAACGGGTACCGCCTGAATATCGTGCACGGCTCACGTCGATGCCCCCTGAGCAGATGCAAGCGATGCTGGCAAGGCTCGCCAATGCCAACAAGTTACCGAGTGGCCTAGGCCAGCCAGGTCCGATGAATCCACCTGGCATGCCGATGCAAGGTGGGCAGCAACAGTCGAACATGCTGCAGCAGCAGATGGGTAATGCTATGCCAGGCTTCAATTCCCAGCTACCGCCGGACCACCCGAACATGCAGATGAACCAACCCAACACGATGCAACGCCAGCAACCGACGCAGCAGACGCAACAAATGGCACACATGAGGCAACAGATTCTGGATTCGAAACCATTTCCGAGGTCTGTGCTTTCCGCCCTATCCATTTCCGTACCGCCACAAGTGCAGAAATGGATTGATCTGAAGCAGCACATTGCACAAAACGCATCCGTGGTACCTCCACAGACGCAGGAAAAGCTTCGGCACCTGCAGCAACAATGGTATCAGTCTCATCCGCAAGAGGTCAACACTGCCATGCACTCGCTGCTCTACCAGAAGCGGGCTCAGGAACAGGGCCAGAACAACCAACAATCAATGCTCGTAAACAATATGCAGCAACCGGGGATGACTGGTGGTTCGCAAGCTCCGCCCGCGCAGATGGTGCCTCCCGCACCAATGATGCAAGCTCCCCAGCCAAATGCTACGCCCGGCAGTAATCCCACCCAGCAGCAGGCCTTGCATGCTAACATACTACGATCCATCTCACCAGAGGACATGCAGAAATGGCGAATGCAGGCCGGCCAGCGCGCTCAAGGACTCACAGACGACCAAGTCAGACAAGTCATGGCGAGCTACAGGCTAGAACGGCTGCGGCAGGCGCAAATGCAGCAGGGACAGAGGCCACCAGGTCAAAATCCGCAGATTCCGCGACCCCCGCAGGCAAACATGCCCAATGGCGCTCAGCCCCAACAGCGTATGCCCCAGCCGGGACAGCATCAAGCTACCGTGGGCCAAAAGCCATCTCAACAGGCGAACGACGATGTGATCGAAATCTCCAACCCAGCGATGCAGCAGCAGGCCCCGCAAGCCCCTCCAATGCAAGCTTCGCACTCGCAGCAGCGGATGCCGACACAGGAGCAGATCGCGCAATTAACACCAGAGCAGAAGGCCGCCTGGACGCAGAAGCGGCAGCAAATCGAGGCTCTGCGGAGAGCACAGGGTGGTGTGAACGCGACAGGCAACCCGAGCACTGGTATGCCAGCGAATGGCTCCGAGGCGCAGCAGAATCTCGGCCAGAAATTAGGCGCTATCATGCGCGAGATTCAGAGCTCCACGCGCAAAGGACCCCCTGTCAATTTGGATGCAGAAGGACGCGAGAGAGTTCGGTCATCACTGGCACGACTTTGGAAGCCAGTGATGACGATGCAACAAACTTTTCTTGCGGCCATGACCTGGGGAATGGAACAACAAATCAAGGACATTGCTCGCACCAAGATGATTGTCGCACAGAATTGCAAAGATGAGCATGGTACGGTGAACGAGTTTTACTCGGTAACACTGCAGCAGCTGCAGGAGATGGAGCGGACCGTGGCAACGTACATGAACGATTTTAAGAGCATGCAAATGCGTATGCAAGCTCAGAAGGGGGCTGCAATCAAAGACCAGCAGCCTGCGGCCCCTGCCATGGCACCGGCCGCTTCACAACAAGGGCATAGTCGGAAGGCATCAAATATTAAAGCTCCACCGGCGCCGACGGATGAGAAGAAGTTCGATTGGGCCGCTCAGAGTCCTGGTGTGCCAATGTACGCACATGAGCAGCCTGGTCTCACCCAAGACAAGCTCAAGTTCCCGCCTCAAAAGAAGCGCAAGCCCAACCAGCCTGGTAGCCAAGTTTCGACACCTGCTGCGCAGACTGGCACTCCCGCAACTGCTGGTGCGAGCCCCGCTATCGCCAGTGGCAAGGCACAACAAAGTCCCGAGCAGACGAGAAAGACTCAGCAGCAGCTCAAGGCTGAGGCGGATCGCGAAGCAGAGGCGAAGAGATTTCGATGCAAAGACCTTGCCTGTGAATATTCCTTGCATGGCTTCGATACTGAAGCTCAGCTTGAGGACCACGACAAGGCTGAGCACCAGCCGATTGAGGACCCTCTGGCCTTCTTCCTCGCAAATGCCACAATGGCACTGGACGTCGATGATCAGGGCAACGCCGGCCTCAAAGCGACTGTGTCTGACGCCAAAGGCACTTCTGTTGCCATTCCTCCGACAAAGCCACGTTTCAGTGTCAAGGCTGCGTCGCCGAAGGAAGCCACCAAAGCAGGCGAAGATGCACGCAACAAGACCACCGTGCCTACACCGAGTCAACAGAAGCCCGGCAAGAAGCAGACTGAGGCTGACGTGCATAGCGATAAGGTCAAAGAGATTGAGGAGGAGGAGACGATGCAAGCGACAATGACAAAGAAGCTGAACCTTCCCGTCCTTCCGGTCGAGCCAAGTGTGCCTGGCGCAGAGATGCACGAAGACGACGACGTCGACATGTTCGACTTCGGTCTCTCCGGCGACGGTCCCGATGGCATGGATCTCTTTGGCATGGACTCGAACCAGATGTCGTTTGAAAGCATCGAAGAAATGGCGCGGATGGGCGCAGCGTGGGAGCCGGTGGAAGGCGACCTGAGCTCATGGCGACTGTCGGACGCGCCGGAGTTGACGGACTCGTCACCTGAGCGTACGCCCAGTGATGGGTCGCAGAGCAGCCATGCCAGCGATGTGAGCCAGAGTGATACAATGCGGTTCATCATCAGCTGCGAGAACGACGCGTGGGATGCGTTTGGCACGGGAGAATGCGGGATTGCAGCGAGCATGATGCCCATGTACACTCAGATCAAGGACATGATGGGGTCGCAGGAGGGCGATGTGAAGGATGCGAGCAGTCCGAGAAAGAGAAAGGCAGTGGAAGAGGCATGGGACGCGCCGGTGAGGGATTTCCTCGAGAACGACTTTTTTGGGTCGCATAACCAGGCGGGAAGCAACTAGTGTTGTGTTCAGTTGTTACAAAGAACGGCGACAGACGTAGGGACGAGGGTATGCGTATGTGGGAATGGTGTTTGCGACAAGGGTCATTGTTTGAGGGCAACAGCGAGAAGTGAGGACAAGATTTGCGCACAGAGGTCGGCGGGATGATGCCGAGGTTAGAGTAAGCTTTGACTCTGCGAAGATTGCGAGCAGAAGAGCGATGGCGTTGAGGCGTGTGTGTCTCTTTTGATGATACCCTTTTTTACTTGGTTGGACCCACCCATGTCATGGGGGGGTTGTGTGAGTGAGTAGTATATAACAGATAGAAGGACAGAAACACTGGCGGAGCTCCCTGTTTCTCGCAGCTCTTGCTCCCCATTTTGAGGATTTTGTGAGAGGTATAGATTGTGTGCGACACATGCGATGTGAGGTCAGGTAAATTGCCAGGGTGGACTTAGTAGTTACATGTACAAACGACCCACATTCCCATCGCCCACACATCCCTTGTGCACGCATTGAACCTAAGGCACCTACCCTTACCTACCTACCTTACCTTTTGTTCCTCTTACCTCCTACCTACACCCTACCTCCTCCTCCTCCACCTCCTCCTCCTCCTCCTCCCCGAAACTGACAAATAATGCCCGAGACACCAATGACGAAGCGACAATAACATCGGAATTAGTATGCTTTCGCTGCTATTGCGCTACCAGCACGATGTCGCTTTGCTCTTGGCCTCGATTCTCTCCTACTTCCTCACGTCGATCAAGCATTCCCTGCTGACCAGTGCCGTGGCATGGCTGGGCATCTGCACGTACACCACGCTAAAGACAGGGCCGCGATCACTGCTGCATGGGCATGGGTCGTCCTCGCGGTATACAGCATGGACTGCGGGAGCATTACTGGCTCTGGCGCGAGTGTGCGAAAGAGCAGTGGATGGAAGTAGTGGGATTTGGTGGGCAAAGGTCAACAGACAATGATGACAACACGGGCAGAGCTCTGACTGAGACGTGCGACTAGGTCTTGCTCCCGGCTCTGATCTACGTGACCGCCAGAGGACACATACTGGAAGAGTGGCCCAAAGCTCGACACCACCACAGTCCTTCTTCCGCGAGTCCCACGAAAGCAGGCTTCGATCGATCACCAAGCAGTGGCTGCAAGACTACTCTGCTTGCTCTGACGTTGTCAGGCTTGGTATCCGTCCACGCTCATGCTGGGTCGACGACGGAGATCGCTCTGGGCTTGTCGCACGCGGTGTGCGAAGCCCTGGCATTTCAATTGATTGAGCGAGCTCAAGACGTGTCGCGGCACCATAAGCAGCAGTACGGTGGTACCGTGGGCTACTTGACTGCCAGCGGGACGGGGGCAGACGACGAGCGAGGGCTATTCGTCCTTCGAGATGTGTCTGTAGCCGGTGCCATCACGACCGCGTTGGCCGTTACTCTGGAGGGAGTACACTTTGGCGGGCTGATCAATTACGGCTTGATCAGCCATGTGCTCAGCCAGGGAGTGTTGTCGACGATGTATGCATTGGGTACGGTGCTTCTGCATATGATTGTGTTTGCCGCCACAGTTCTCATGGTAAGTGAGTGTGTGTGTGTGTGAGTGAGAGTTTCGATCTTTATACATGTAGTCGGAGAGCAGCAGGATTCATGGATGCATGGATGATGGATGCATGCATGAGAACGAGCATGGGCATGGGCTGCTGGTCGGCGACATCGGCGGGGGCTCCGTGTCCGTGGCAGAAGTGGAAAACACGAGAACCTGCTTTCTGTGCACCACCACCATCACCACCACCACTACCACCGCATTCACATGGACGCCCGGGACTGAATTGATCAAACTGACCCCTTTTGCAGATCCAACGACAGGGCGCCTTTCTCACCACCTTCATTCCCGTTGCCGCCGTCGTCGCCTCTCGCTTGCTGCTCGGCTTTTCCGCGACGCGCCTGTGGTTTGGCGCGCTGTGTACCCTCTCATGCATCTCTTTTCTCCATGAACAATATCGCGCGCCCTCCTCAGGATCCAGGATGAGGATGGGCCTGGGCCTGGGCATGGGTATGAGGGTGCGCCCGACGAGACTCGTTGCCCTCGCCGTCGTCCTGTCCTGCCTCTGCTTGGCCGTCGTCTACCTTCGACCGCCGCTCCGCGCCGCTACTGCTCTGCACGCCCACTCTCACGCCGCGAGTGCTGTCCCCCCGATCCCTCTTCCCCAGCAGCCGCTGAGCTCCGCGCCCCCCTCGAGACCGCTCGCGCCGCTGCCTCACACCGATGCACAAACGCACCCCGTCAAGCACCTCATCGCACACGCTCAGACGGAATGGGATGCCAAACTGAAAGCGCAGTCCCAGACACTGGCGCAGGCCGTGACCGAATACCAGCGCCGATACGGTGTTCCTCCGCCCCCACACTTTGATAAATGGTACGACTTCGCCAAGAGAAAGGGCGTGCAGCTCATCGATGAGTACGACACCATCTACCACTCGCTGCTGCCCTTCTGGGGTTTAAAACCGGCCACGATCCGGGCAAGGGCGAGGGAGGCGCTGGGCTTTGTGGACAACAATCTCATGGGTCTGTTAATTCGCGAGGGCAGTGCCGTGCACGTGGAAGGCGGTCAGGAGTGGCTACAACAGGCGGCAGTGGGCATGATGGAGCAGTTTGTCGAATACCTACCCGACATGGACTTGGCGTTCAATGTGCATGACGAGCCCCGCGTGGTCGTGCCGCACGACGAACTGTCGCGCCTAATAGAGATTGCGCTCACGCAGAATATTCCGGCTGCGCAAGCGCAAACGCTGCCCCGAGATGCCTTCTCAGCACGTCCAAAAGACGTGAAGAGCGGACGGCGCATCGCTGAAGTAAAGACCACGCGCTTCAATGTCTTCGCCCATCAGCCCACATGGATCCCCTCTCGTCTCTCGTGCTCAGTGGACAGCCCTGCGCGTGGTGTTGAAGAGTCTCTGCTCGCCGACAATATGACGGCCTACGCCCTCTCCGATCTCGCTTTCATCTACAACCAGACTGCCTTCTCCGATATCTGCAACTCCCCCTCTTTTGGCCAATCGCACGGTTTCTTTGATCGCCCCAACGCGTTCAATGTCGTCCATGACCTCTTTCCCATCTTCAGCCAGAGCAAAATGTCCAGCTTCCAGGACATCACCTACCCCAGTCCGTGGTACTGGTATGGCAAGGTTGCATACAATGAGCTCAAGGACATGGATTGGTCGAAGAAAGCCAACAAGCTCTGGTGGCGGGGGAGCACCACAGGCGGCTTTTCAAGATCTGGGGGGTGGAGAAGACAACATCGACAAAAGTTTGTCGCCAAGGTCAATGCTTTGGACAATGCCAAGATTTTGTCGAGCAGCAATGCCGGCGCTACGGACGAGAACCCTGGTCTGAAGAAGTGGCTGACGAAAGAAGTTCCCCGGCCAGAATTCAAGGATGTCATGGATGTTCATTTCTCGCACGTGGGACAATGCGACCCTGGGGATTGTGACGCTCAGCGAGAATTCTTCACCATTGTGGAACCTGCTGACCAGCAAGACGCGTGGAACTTCAAGTACTTACTGGATCTCGACGGAAACGCGTTTAGCGGGAGGTTTTACGCATTTTTGATGTCGCATAGCCTGACTTTCAAAATGGCTGTGTTCCGGGAATGGCACGAAGAGTGGATCAAACCATGGGTGCATTTTATTCCACTGAGCTTGAAGGGAGACGAAGTGCTCGAAACGATTCGATACTTTGACGCAGAAGAGGAAGGTAAAGAGCTTGCCATGTCGGTTGCTGAGGATGGCAGGAGTTGGGCGCAGAAAGCTCTGAGAAATGAAGACTTTGAAGCGTGGTTCTTCAGACTCTTGCTAGAGTATGGGCGGGTGATTGATGATAACCGGAGCGAGATAGGATACAAGGGAGCATGATACACCACCCAGATTCACATCTTGTATACAGACAGGAGCTCTTACGAGCAGCCAGGCCCGCGGCCATGATGAGTGCGGTATTCATACACAAAACGAGCATCAGTCGACCAGGCCGAGATAACATATTGCCCACACCAATCCCATTGCCTCCCAGCCAGTGCGATAAAAAGTGGCCATTTCTCAATTTCATAAAATTCGTTGGGCTACGGCATTCTCCAACCTGGTTACTACCAGAGTACATACATGTAACCCTCACTTCCTCGCTCCACCCTTGGGACCTCTGGCGATCAACTTTTCTCGCATGAGCCGCACGCCTTCGTCCCAATTTTCATGCCCGTCAATAGACTGCTTCAGGTACTGCGTCATATTATGCTCATTGTACTGCTCCCCATATACCACATACACCCGGGGTGTGATGGCAGTGCTCAGGCCAAGCTTGCCAGGGCCGTCAATCTCCTCTGTCTTGGCGTCCAACGCAAAGGCAACGCGGACCTTGGTTCGCACTTGAGGTAGCAAGACTTCGGCAGCAATTTCGAGACACTCATCACCCATGATACGTGAAGTCGTCAGGGTTTCAATGCTCAGGCGCCGTTCTGTCTCTGATACCTGCAAAGCCGTGTCCCAGCCGGAACTGACTAGTTCCAGGAGATTCGTGACCCTTGTTGTTGCCTGTGGAAGACCTTGTAGGCTTGCTCTCAATAGTTGAAGAAAGAATCGAAGCGTGGTGGACAACGGCTTCCTATCGTTGGCGATATAGGTTAAGCTGATGGGCGCATTGGGTATCCGGGCCTCAATGTTCGAGGTCAAAGTCTTGAAAGCTTTGGGGTTGAAGAAGAGCTGTATGTCGGACTTATAGGTCATGGTCAAGGCTTCGGGTTCCACAGACGCCGACGAGATGGACCACGAATACCTTTTCTCGAGCTTGCGAACGGACTCTGTTGTAATCATTGTTAGTAAGGAGACATTGCCAGCCATCTTGCAAAACGAACTTACCTTGGAGCGCAGTAATCTCGTCGATTGATATACCTCTACAGGTTTCGCGGACGCGATTCGCCTCCTCGATAGCCGCCGCGAACTCGACCTTACTCTCCTGTAGGTGCTCTATGGTAGACTCTTGCTCCTCAACTTCTTTCCGCAAGCGCTCGAGCAGAACTCGCTTTTCAGCTAGTTCAGCGTTGACAATGGTCAAGCTTTCACGCGTATTACTGAGCTGTTCCTTCTCTCCTTCAGGGACAGCATTAGCGGTCCGCTCGAGCTGAGCAGCATCCTGTCGTAGCGACGCGTGCTGCGTCAACAAGGGAGGTAGCGCTTGATCGAGCACTTCCTCGGCATGCGCTAACGTTTCATCGTCTCGAATGAGCCCTTCGCCAATCTTTGATAAGCCGCCCATGAGCTCCTCGAGCAGTTGACTGCGCCAAGCGTACCACATCTCTTTGCTCCGGAGCCGAGCATTGGTCTTCATATCTCGCATTTGCGCATCGAGTGTCAGCTTTCTGTCCGGCGGGGCATGCGCATAGGATTGAACAAGAGGCGGTTGCGCCCGTAACGTCTGGTCTTCGAGCTCAGTAATGACTTGTTTACCCTCTTTGGTGAAGCGCTTGAGTTCAAGGCATGCATGCTGATATAATTCGAGTTCAGGTACGGTGCACGCTGCAGCAACAACACCATCCTCCAGACTGACTACTTCCGTCTCGCTTTGAGTATGGCCTTTGGTCTTTGATGGAGGAGCAACAGTCAGCCTCCTTTTGGTGGTCGTGAGGTCCATGAAGCGAATGCCGGCTTTGGCAAGAAACTCTTGAAGGCCGATTTTCTGCTGTGGCCCTCCAGTCACTCTAATACGTTCCAAATCCTCGCGCAAATGTCTAACAGGAGATGGCAAGATTGTAACGCTCCCTCGTGGAGTAGGCCTGCCGCGAGGCGTGTTAGGCTTCGCAGGAGACAACGGTCTGGCAGGTGTCTTCTTCGGTGTGGCATGCTTGAGGGTCTCCTTTCTCGGTGTAGTCATGAGCTTCAGCGAATCATGGAGAGTTCGAGTGTCATCTTGCGATTCATTCAACTTTTCTGGGGTGCTTATAAATTCCTTGCTCGACGGCCCGCGCTGCTTCGGTTTCGTCGGGGACTGATTTGGTGCTTCAACATGTATGTTAGACTGGCGCTCCTCGCTCACAATATTACTGCGACCTTGTCGTTGTTGCGGAGTGGATGAAGGTGTCCGCACAGGTGACGAATTCTGCGTCAAGGGGGGCAACTCTGGGTAGGTAACCTCGTCGCGTCCCGGAGAGCGCGATTTGGACTGTGTGGAGCTCCCGAGGTGCTGTCGGGGCGGCGCTGGGCTGCCAAACTGCCTCGGTGACCTTGACAGCCTCATTGGCGACATTGCTTCACGAACTGGAGCGGGTGGTGAAGCTTGCTTCGCGGACTCCATCATAGGTTCCAGGGGCTGTTTCGCGACTAGATCTGGCGTGTTCATGAAAGGTTCCTGACCGTTTAATGTAGTGTTAACAGTACCTAGAGGTTGCGAGCTTTGCGTGCTCTGCGGCGTGCCTAGCCGAGAGCCATCCTTGGACATCGGTCTGGACAGTTCTCTGATGCCACCGATGACCGTGGTGAGCTCCATGGATAGCTCCTCGTCTCCAGCAAAGCTATTCTCAGTAATGTCGGTCAGAACGGGCACGATACTTCCAACGGCGTGAGTGATATCCATCGTCGCATCAGAAGTATCAGATCCCATTCCCGACGATCGCCGTCCTCGTAGACTGCGCCTACGATCTGGTATTGCCGTACTCTGTATGCCACCAACGGCCATGGTCAGATCCATAGTGTCGTCACCCATCGAAGTGCGGGTTGCGGACGGTCGCTTTCTTTTTGACAGCACTGGAGCAACGACAACACCAGGCGAGCCATGTTCTGTGGTTGAACGTCTCCGCTTCTGGCCCGCGATCCGGCCCACTGCCTGCGTGAGATCCATTGTTTCATCTCCTTCGCTCCTGGGAGAACTCTGTGGCCCAGCGAATCGAGACGCATTCATGATGCCTCCAACAGCTCGCGTTACATCCATGCTCATATCTTGCGTTTCCTCGCCTGTCACTGTGCCCTGCTGAGCAGTCACTACCTCGCTGAAAGCCGGAGAAAACGGATTGACATTTTCCTGGTCTAAACTGGCTGATCCGATCTTCTCCAGTCCATTGCGAAGTGCCCAAGGTTGCATTGCATTCGTGACTTCCTCATCCGCGACTTCCATGGACATGTCGCCGAATTCGTCGTATTCGATCCCACGCGTGCCAGCCAATCGAGCCGCTGCCTTGAGTGAGGCTTCCAAACGTTCACTGGAGCCAGTGCTACCTTCGCTATCTGCATGAGATTCAAGGGTAGGGTCATCCACGCTCAGACTCATGGCAGTCCCTTCGTCGTCCGATGCGTCGTCTTCCCCGTTGTCGCTGCCAGACCCATCTTCACTTCCGCTCGTGCCGCTGGAGTAGGTATCCTCTGGATTGTTGAAATTCATGGGTGGTATACCAGAGCTTCGTCTGGATCTCTTGCTGTTCATGTCGTCCTCGGATTCGAGCAGTTCTCTGTCCTCTTCCTCCTGTGCATATATAGCGGCATCTGAGTCCGAGGCTGAGCTGAAGTGAGAGGCACGTCGCGTAGTACTGTCCGAGTCCGTAGATGTGGTGTGCTCATGCTGATCCATCACAATATCCCATGTGTGCAGAGTCGCCTCGGGCGCAAACGAGACGCGTCTGTTGGCCATTGACTTGCGGCGCGCGGCCCTCGCCGACTCTTCATCCTTAGACAGTATGCTCTTGGCCGCGGGGACGAATGCTGATTTCCGTCGGTCCCTCGCGCTGAGCTTCGGTGCTTCTGGCTCGTCCAACGCACCTGGTCCAATGCTCTTACTTCGACCTTTCCTGGTGGCCTTTTTCAGCGATGGTGAAAGTGCGCTCAGACGTTGCAGCGGATCACTACTGGTGACCGGCGCCACATTTTCCTTGTCGGCCATGCTGGTGGCGGCAATATGGACCACGATCGGCTTGTATGATGTGGTATGGGGTGAAGTAAAGTGCAGTCGGCGGGAAAGACGTCGCGTAAACAAACACAGGCGGGAGCGCGGGTGGGGAAGAACCTTGACATCAACACAAAACGTCGACCGGGGAGCGGCGCCTAGATACGGACTAAGGTTTGCCAAGCACACACTCTCCAATCGAGCTCTAGGAAATTCCGAACCTTCGATATTCCCACAGACCTCTCCAACAACACCTCTCTGTCCACCCATTACCCTCGAAGCCCTACAACACAACAGCACAATGGCAGACCGAGGTGGCGCAGCTCCTGCTGCTGGTGCCCGTGGTGGCGGATTCGGGTCCCGTGGCGACCGTGGTGGAGGTGACCGTGGCGGACGCGGCCGTGGTCGTGGCAGAGGACGTCGAGGCGGCGCAAAGAGCGACGAGAAGGAGTGGCAGCCTGTCACCAAGCTCGGTCGTCTCGTCAAGGCCGGCAAGATCAAGAGCATGGAGGAGATCTACCTGCACTCGTTGCCTATCAAGGAGTACCAGATCGTCGACTTCTTTTTGCCAAAGCTCAAGGACGAGGTCATGAAGGTCAGACACACCACAGCAACCACACTGGCACGCACAGCATACTAATGTTCTCTCCAAACAACAGATCAAGCCAGTCCAGAAGCAGACTCGTGCTGGTCAGCGCACCCGTTTCAAGGCAATTGTCGTCATTGGAGACAGCGAGGGCCACATTGGTCTCGGCATCAAGACCTCCAAGGAAGTTGCAACTGCCATCCGCGCTGCGATCATCATCGCGAAGCTCTCGGTGGTGCCAATTCGTCGTGGCTACTGGGGCACCAACCTCGGTGACCCACACTCCATCCCAGTCAAGGAGTCTGGCAAGTGCGGTTCCGTCACCGTTCGTGTGAGTACTCTCCCAGCACAAACCCACGATACAATTGGTGCAATTGACTGACTTGATCTTTGTTAGCTCATTCCTGCTCCACGTGGTACCGGCCTTGTCGCCTCTCCAGCCGTGAAGCGTCTCTTGCAGTTGGCAGGTGTTAACGACATCTACACTGCCTCTTCTGGATCGACCAAGACGCTCGAGAACACCCTCAAGGCTACCTTTGTTGCCATCACCAACACGTACGGTTTCCTCACGCCTAACCTCTGGAAGGAGACCAAGCTCACCCGCTCTCCGCTTGAGGAGTACTCTGACGTTCTCCGTGACGGCAAGCGCTACTAGGTGCACCAACTCTTTTGATTTGCACGTTATGATGAGCTGTCTCGGTAGGCAGGGTACAAAAAGGTCTGCACGACCATGGTAGAATAGTAGTACAGATGCGCAAATTGTGTGTCGGTCTGAATTAGGCGATCGCTAGGCTTCATCCGCCACTGATGAAAAGATGGTGGACCCAATGTCGTCTGACTTGAGCCAAGAACGAAAATCACAAAGTGCATCTCTACTCAAACAGAATTCATCGTCTTAACGTGCTTCAGAACATGCCAAAAAGTTCTTCTGTAATGATGTACAATCCTCTTCCCGTGGCGCCAGGCGGACTGTCGCCTCTCGTTCATGACGGACTGGGAGGAATAACCGCTTGGTCGCCTTTTTCGACTGTTCATAAAATTCCATCCCCCGCACGATGTGATAGGCTTTCGACACTTTGAGATGGCTAGTGTCGACGCCCTGATCTCTCAAATTGGCGATGAAGCGGCGAAAAGACTTGGTCGTAGGACGATAGTGACCAGACAGGGGCGATAGATAGGTCAGTCTGCCCTGGTCTATGCCGATAGTTCCCGCACTGGATATGCGGGAGCCACTGAGGAAACTAGCTACAGAACCGCTGATGGTAAGCAAGAAAATATTGTTGCGTTCGTTTGTACTGCGAGAACTTACCATGTTGGAAGGACCCTGATGCTTTGATCCCCACGTAGAGTCGGCCTACAGTATCTGAAACATAGATCCAGGTACCTGGCCGGACAGAAGCTCGGAGCAGACGATTGAGAATCGTCGCTGGGCTGACTCGTAATCGACCACGTGCCCTCCTCCTCCTCCTCTCCTTCTTTGGCATGGAGTCCGACGTAGCGGTTTGGTGCACAGCAGATTCATCTGCCAGATTTGCCACCGAGATACATGGAGAGTCCCACGACGATGAAGCAGAAGTGGCTTTTGCGTATTTAAAATCCGGCTCGGGCTTGAGAGCGTTCCTAAAGATGCCACCGACTGCTGCAAGCTTACTGGACAGGGAAGCATCTGCTGCAATTTGCCGTTTGACATCCTCATCATCGAATGTGGGTGCGCTGGCACCCAGGGACACAATGCCATACATACTGTCCTGGTACTGGTCGATGGAAGTGGTGATGAGCTCGTCATCTTTCTGCCATCGCAGTAGGCCATCCGAATCCACGCGAACGAGATACTGTTGTCGTTCTTCTCTGCTCAAGTAACGGATTCTCTCGGCCTCGAGTTTCCTACGATCACAGCCGACCTAAGATCGGACGTTTCCAAGTCAGCGAACGTGAACGAGCGATCGGCGTCGGACTCCGTACTAGGTCCAAATCTCTTCCTTCTCCGTGATCCAGCCAGTAAAAGAAGTTCTCGTCCGTGTTGGTGTGCTGCCACTCCTCGTGATAGACTTGCAGGTTGGCGCCGTAGCGATGCTTGTGATCAACCTAAAGCCCCAGCGAGGCGCGGGTCAGTGAGTCGGGGCTACAGCTGACAACAGGAAGGCACGACTGTACCATTTCGAGAAAGTACCTCAGGTCAAGCAGCATAGACTCTGGTTCCACGGACGACGACTTCCATGCATTCCGCCAGGGTCTGACACTGCTTTGAGGCCTTAAAGAGGACTTGAGCGAAGTGTGTTGGGTGGCAAGACTATTGTGGTCTTCGCCGGCTCCAGCATGGTCGGCGATGTCTCTGACACGGCGCCAGTTCACCATGGCTCTATAAGATGGATTGGTAGTCAAGCCCGGATGGGCATCGGAACTTCCGACAGAAGAGCGATGCGGAGCAGTGGCACTGCGATATCGCCATTCTTTCACCAGCTCTACCCATCTGGAAGTCGGGTCGAGGGTCAAACCGCTGAGTTGGCGTCGTGCTCGATGACCTCGATACGTGCGCTGGATAAGCTTGGCGGCATCTTGTTCCTCGATGGAGTGCTTGTAGTATCTACGGAGAATCTCTTGTTCCTTTTGCACCTGGATGTCCGATATTCGAGCTAGTTCGGCAGCCGAGGGCAGGACCAAGCTGTCCAGATACTCTTGATGCGACCGAGCACGTGGACGCGTTTGCGTACGAGCACTGTCATCGTCGTCGTCGGTGCTCATAATGGCGAGCTGGTGAGTGTATGTAGGGTGGTGCATACATGATATACATGTAGGTAGGTAGGTAGGTGGGTGGGTAATTAGGGAGTCTAGGTCACAGGCGACAACGCGAAGAGCAGCAGCATTACATGTATTACTGCCAACGCGCGTCACAGCACATCAGGTATGGTATAGTGCAGGTGGTGTCTCAGTAGGATCCCTGCCGCGGCGAGTGAGAGCTAAGGCAATGTAAGTTTAGTTGGGTGAGAAGTGGAAATAGGTAAAATGGTTGCCTGCTGACTCCTGAGTGTGGACAGCGCAGAAATTGGGTAGAATGCGTAGGTACAGTACTGTAGGTACATGTACATCAGGACCGGGCAGTGTGCTTGGTCAGCGTTGTGGTGCTTGAGCGTGGCTTTGCGCTTTGGCACAATTCTTGATTGTGATAGAGGCACCTGAACGCTGCATAAACGCGCATAAACGTGGCGCCTCCCGTCTGGGCAGAGTAGCCGCCGCATAAGGTACCTTAACAGTTCACTTTACTACTCATCATGCGCTAGTACTATAGCGGAAAGACTGCAATAAAAACGTCAATACAATACACGCATACAGGTATGGGTGGTGCGCGTGACCGTGATTCGCTCAACGCGCCACGAGATAAAGTTCAACACATATTTCTCACATCTCCGTCGCGACATTCCACACACGTACACGCACACACACACACACACATTGGCGCAGCAGAACGTCAACAACGGCATCATCTTCTTCATGCCGCCCATGACATTCGCCGTCGACGTTGACGCCGACGCAATGGTGAACTCTCCAGCAGCAGAGTCCACGCGCGCACCTGTTCAAGATGCGCCTGGGCCAGTCGCGACCAAGAAAAGCAAACAAACAGAGACCACTGCTGCTACAAGTCGTTCAAACCGCGTCGCTGCACAGACCGACTTGAGTTTTCCGGATACCGCACCAGAACAACGCGCCAAGAACACGACTGCCCCTGGTAAGCACAATTTTCTTTCTCCGTGTCGTTCAAAAGAGGGAGGAGGAGGGGTAACGTGACGGGGGCTCCGCTATCCCACTCGTCTCCCATCTGGAGCGCAAGAAAACAGACTGTGAATATCGAGTCTAATCGAATGGCAGCAGATGTCAAGTCCAATGGCACCAAGTCTGCTGTTTCCATCGCTCCAGTCGCACCTCCGAAGAAGAGAGGACGCCCACCCAAGTCCGCCGCCCCGACTGCGGCGCCTGGACCTGATCAACCGGGTGAAGGCACTCCTGTCCCTGCCAAGCGGGGACGGGGACGTCCACGAAAAGACGCCAACGCCACGCCTACCGCGACCAAAGTGGCTCCTGTTACTGCACCAGCCTCTGCTGGGGTTGTCAAGCGGGGCCGAGGACGTCCACGCAAAGATGCGAATGCCTCGCCTGCCGCTGCCAAAGTGGCTCCTGTTGCTGGGGCTGTCAAGCGGGGCCGCGGACGTCCACGAAAAGACGCCACCGCCACGCCTGCCGCTACCAAAGTGGCTCCTGTTACTGCACCAGCCCCATCTGCTGTCACTGCCAAGCGGGGCCGGGGACGTCCACGAAAAGATGCGAATGCCGTACCTGCCCCTGTGAAGGTGGCACCCAAGGTTACTGCCACAGGCAAAAAGCGCGGTCGCCCAGCCAAGGAGCCTCCCCGCGAAGATCAACCTCCCAAGAAGCGTGGCCGACCATCACGCGCCAGTGCCCTCGCTGATGCCGTGCCACCCGAGGGCGAGCAGCCACCGAGGAAGCGCGGTCTGCCTCCGTATGGCGGTGAAACTACGAAGAATGACGCCGAAGACGAAATCGCTGCGGAGCAGCTTGAAGAAGAACTGATGGACGAAGCTAACGACGTGGCTGTACCTGCGACTGAGCCCGCCAAGCGTGGTCGAGGTCGTCCGCCAGGCAAAGGAAAGCAAGCTGGTGCCGCTGTTGTCGCCGACGCCACGTCTACCTCGGACCAACAATTCTGGCTCATGAAAGCTGAGCAGGAAGGACACGATGAGATTCTTGCAAATGGAGACGTCTACAACACCAAGTTCACGATCGATGACTTGCGAGCCAAGACATCTCCGGAGCCATGGGATGGCGTGCGGAATCCCACAGCGGCGAAAAACATGCGCGCAATGCGGACTAACGATCTGGCCTTCTTTTACGCGAGCGGTGGAAAACCAGGTATTGTTGGCATCATGGAGATTGTGGGTGAAGCTCAGCCGGATCCCACTGCTTCGGACAAGAATTCTTACGGCTACGTCGCGAACGAAGCACAACGCAGCAAGTGGTGTGTGGTGCATGTCGAGTTCCGAATGAAATTCAAGAAGCCCATCACACGAACTCAACTCGTTGCAGCCCGAGATGCCGGACCTTTAGCCAACCTTCAGGAATTCACGGCAGCGCGCTTGAGTGTCTCGAAGGTGTCCAAGGACGAGTGGGATTACATCAATAGCCTCGTCGAAGGCTCCGATGACGATGAAGCTGAGAACGGTGAGAAAGGACAGGATGAGCAGATGAAGACCAGAACCAACGGCAGTAGCGAGGCGGTGGGCGAGGAGCCCAAGACAGAATCACCAAGTCTGTCAGTAGGGCTCCTGGCAGAAGATGGCACACCCACCACGGATGCCATCGTTTCGACGGTCGATGATCTTCCGACATCGGTATGAGCTGCTATGTCGTCGAGACCGACCTCTGGCGGACGTGGGACTGGCTCGGTTTCTTGAGGTCTTGCCCCCTAGGCCTCTCCCGGTGATGGTATTCGTAGCAAGATACCACAGCCAGCAATCGGAAGTGCGCAGGTAGCTACTCAACCATCATCCGGCGGCCTATATAGTCGACAGGGCATGTCGCAGAAGGATCGACATACCTCCTACTTTGCTGTCTGACTGTCCAGTTTTAGTTTTTTCTTTTCGTCCTTTTACGAATCCATGGGAGGGGAGCATGGACACGATCAGCGACCAACGAGATGGATGGTTCTATTATACCCTGGTAGCTAGCTAGCTAGCTAACTACATATCCCTACCTGAGCTTGGGGGGTTTCTGCTCTGCTTTGCTCTGCTCTGCTCGTCTGCAGGCAAAGAAATCTTTTCCTGCACAACAACCCTCCTACATACCTTAGGAAGCCTCGAACCTAGGCAATTCGCGCGGCAGCATTTAATTCAGACTACCTAGTGGAAGTTGTCCAGCGAAATGACCCTTGCTTCAATGTTACGACAACTAACAACTATTGTGTGACAAGAAAAAACAAAAAAGGAAGAGAAAAACAGAAGAGAAATATCGGTACTGTAACGATGCCCCTTTTCCAAAGGCCAATAGAACTATTGTCACATGCAGGCTGCAGAAGCGTCTATACCTACCTACCTTCCTAACCTAAACAATGAAATACTCTTTACAGGCTCATCACAATGGAATATATCCATGTGAAACTTCAAGTGCTCTTTTTTTCTCTAATCCAGTCTGATCGCAACTTTTTATTACCTACTGTACACAGAATCACAGATGCTCGGTCCGCTGTAACGTGATGCAATGCTCTCTCTATGCAACTTGTTGATGCGACGTGCTATGCAAAGCATCATCCAAGTCTCGTCTGTCCCCTGTCTCCTGTCCTAGCCGTGATGTGCTGTGCTTTTCTCCCCTCTTCATCAATCAATCCCGTCCCTTCCAACTTCATTATTACGCCAATCCGCTGCTATTCATCGCTAAATCGACTCATCTTCCTCTATTCCAATGCCCGAATCCAAAACACGCTTCTTCTTCGACCGAGTCTTCTTCAACGACTGCACGCCCTGCGCCGAATGCGAATGTGATTGCGAAGATGAGTGTTCTTCGGCATGAGCGTTGCTCACTTTCGTCTGCGTCGTGGTTGAAATCGTCGCCGAGATCTTTTCCATTTCTTCGAGAGCCAGCAGCTCCGCCTCACCAGCAATCAATATCGCCTCACCCTCCTGGTCGATGATTGCTTTGGCCCGATCGTTCTCTGCTCGCAGGATTCTGATCTTGGTGGATGTTCGCCTCACATATTCAGAGAATTTGCGCCGAAGCATCTCGTTCTGGGTCATGAGTGATGTGACCGTCTCCTCGGTGCTGACTGCGCTCTCTTGCAGGCTGCGAATGTCCTCTTCGCGCGCAGCAAGGACGTCTTGCCAGCGCTCATCCGCTTCCACGGCCTTTTGTTCAACCACAGCGATCTTAGCCTGCTTGTCAGCCACGACCTCCTTCAGAGCCTCGATCTCGTCACCCAGCTCGGCCTGCAGCTGCAACATTTGCTCGGCCTCTTGCTCGACTCGTCGCTCCAAGCTACCTTTCTCCGTCTGGAGCTCATGGACTTGTTCGGTGAATTCAGCCACTTCGTGGTTCAAATGCGCAATTCTCGCATTGCGATCTTCGATTTCCGAGGCGTGGAGGGCGGACTCGTCGACGGTTTCCTGCTGTAGGGTGGCGATGAGAGTCTCATTCTCCGTGATGGTCAGCTGCAGTGTGGCGATGCTGTTTTCAAATTCTTCGCGGTCCTTTTTGCTCTGCGCGACTTGCAGCTCATAAGAGGCTTGCGTATTCTGCAGATCGGTGCTCAACTCCTCAATCTTGCTTTCCTTGTCAGCGAGCTCTTGTGTCAAAGACAGAATGCGCTCATCGCGTTGGGCAAGAGTATCTGCCATTTCCTTTTCCAAATCTGCAAGCTGGGCCTTCAGATCTTCGATGAGGACCTCTCGGTCATTCAGATCAGCCTCCACAGCTTCACGCCGATCGACTTCTTCCTTGATGGCCTCTTGGTATTGCTGATCATGTTTGGAAGCGGTCTGTTCGAGCTCCTGGACTCTCTGGTCGTTGGTCTGCTGTACCTGCCACAGCTTCTGCCGAAGTTCGTTCGCTTGTGCTCCTGCGCTATGCAGCTTGGTGTTCAATTCGTCAATTTCTCCTTGGGCGGTGTCAAGATCCGCTTCAGCGGCCTCACGTTGAGTACGCTCGGTCTCGTTCAGCTGGCGGAGCTCGTCGATTTGCGCATTCAACTCAGCCAGCTGCTCCTCTAGACGATCAACACGATCCTCGAGGTTTTCCACCTCGTTTGTTCTCTCGCGCAGGTCCATCTCTGCGTCCTCGCGGGCATCGTGCTCTGCATCTCGCTGCGTAGTCATTTGCTCAAGTTCGACTTGTAACGCGTCCCGCTCCTGCTCGACAACGTTCTTCTGCTCTTCCAGCTTCGTAATCGTGACTTGACGATCCTCCGCAAGAGATTCCGCTCCCTCGCGTGAACGAGATTGCTCATCGATGCGAGCCTCGAGGTCGCGAACCGTTTCTTCGCGCTCTTTGTTCATATTTCCCACATCGGCGATGTGCTCCTGCTCCATTCGAGTGATGAGCGCTGTCAGTCTTGACTCCTCCGTTCGATAATGAGTGAGCGAGGCAGTCAGCTTCTCAATGGTCGAGGTCAATTCGACAACCGTCAGCTCGAAGTCTCGAATGCGCTTCTGTGCTGCCTCGAGATCATCTTCTCGCATATCACGCTCATCAGCAATCTGGTTCAACTCCAGATCCAGGTCCTGCATAACCACCTCATTCCTATCTTTTTCATCTTGGAGTTCTTCTTGCACTCTCAGTAAGCGTGCATTCTCAATCTTGGCTTCGGCGAGATGATTCAAGAGACCGTCCACCTGAGCACCAAGGCTGACGACCAAGTTGCTCTTCTCGTACAGCTCTAGATCCTGGGTGCGAAGCCTAGTGGCAAACTCCTTAACGTTGGCCAATAGGATCTCGATGAGGTCGCTATTGGATGCATCGTCCGGAATGCTACCAGGCAGAGCGTCCTCGAGGACTTCCCGGATCGTGAGGAAGCTTTCCCGAATGCTTGCAAGTACGGAGCGTGCATCGACCCCGTCTCCCATACCCAGAGAGCGTAGTTCAATTTCCAGGATTTGAAGCTTCGTCTTGGCATCGTTGGCTTGGTCGCTCAGCGTCACAATCACGCTTCGAAACTGCTCGCGCTCTGTCTCCCACTCCTGCTCCTTTGATCGTTGCGATCCAGATTGCGAGAATGAGTGGCGAACTTTGCTCTCGCCCACCTCGATCTGCGTTGAGTCCTGTGGTAGGTCAGGGTAGGCAAACTCCTGTTGGCTCTCCAGCACCAGCATCTCTGGGTCGAGCTTGTCCTGTCCGTCAACTGCAGTCAGAGCGTCGAAGGTATGCTTCTGTCGGTCACGCAGGACGAGAAGCTCTTGTTCGACACTTTCGAGCTCTGCGTCATCAAGCAACGGCCTCTGCGCTTCCAATTCTTTGATTTGGGCATCCCTCTTCGCATGGATCTCCAGACGAACACGGATGCGCTCGGACAACACCTCACGGAGCGGCGCCATGTTGTGCTCGTCCACCGTGTAGTAGAGCTCTCCATTCTGGGTTATAGTCGGCGGGAGAGAGTGGCGGCTTGATGTAATTTTCTGGCGCTTCTGTCCGTCTGCGACAATGCCTGGTGCAATACCTGGTGAGGCAGTGATGCGTCGCTTGATGCTCATCTTGCGTGGATGCGGCGTAATATGGGTCGCGGTGGTACGTTCCAGCTCATCGTCGTCATTGAGTGCTATCGTTTGTGATTGTCGACCGCCTGGAAAATGGACGTGCTTGGTGTAGGAAGAAGTCTCCTGGTGCATCTCTGCTCCCTCCATGGTATCCACGTCACATACTGGCGCCGGCTTGGTCGTCTCTTCGACGGACTCCTGCTCTTCTTCCTCAATGATCACATCAGGCTCGACAGAAGTTGTTGTAGTAGTCTTGACTCGCTTTCGACGCGTTGCTGGTGTCGAGGGCGCGTTCACGCTATGAGAGCTCGAGGGCCGATCAGAGGCATGATCGGAGGCATCGCTCAGTTGTCTCTTGCGACCGGCACGTGTCTGTCGCTGCGGTTCGGTCGGCTGGCTAGGCCGCGCTGACTTCTTGGGTGGCATATTGAATTCAGCAAAAACCGAGTCCGTTGGACGCGGACGCGGACGCGGACGCGGACGAGGGCGAGGAATCGAAGATGGCAACGTCGGTGAACTCTCAGCGGAGAGATGGATGGATGCGACGAGGAGGGGGCGGTGGAAGGGGGAAGCGGTGGTGGTGGTGGTGGTGGTGGTGGTGGTTGGTGAGGTGAAGTGATACAGTGCAAAGTCGTGTCTGAGGAAGAAAGCTGCCCTGTCGCTGGTTCAGCCACTGACGCGCGTGAGATGTACAACCTGCCCTTCCAGGTTGTCCAGTGCTACAGGTACTTCTTAATGATGCCACATTGACGTCCAGTGCACAGAGCAGCCACTGCTAGGTACATACCCAATACATGTACCTATAGCAGTCTTCTTCAGGTTTTAATCAAGGTGTCTAACCTACGCTGCTATAACCTACTTGGACCTGTACATACCACATATCGAATTATACATGGACTCTCTCCGTTTAATAGCCACGCCAAGAGTTGTGTCTTCGACGCCACTCATGAGCCCAGGAATCAGCCACGCGCGTGTCCTCCATGGTCGCCAGCGCGACGCCAATTCACGTGGTCACCGGCGTTGAATCTGATTCATCGTCCTCACACCGCGAGACTGGATGTCAATAATCCTCCTCAGGGGAATGCGTTGAGCTGCTACGGATGGATGGTCAGATCTCGACGTCGTCGCGGTATTAAAAGACACCAACGGTCGACCACTCGTTCAAGTCGTCTCCGCCCTGGACGTCTACGCTCTTCTTTCATACCTCCTAGTCCTGAAGTCCATACTGCTAGGAGGTCCCTTTACAGCGTTAGATCTGCTGCCTGGCCCACATCAGTGTTGTACGATCACGAGGCCAAAGATGAAACGTGCTACACTTCGCCCAAACGATCGAAGTGTCCCTCTTCTCGATGGCGTCCTGCCGATTGAGTTTTGTCACGGATGGTCTCCAGCACCGTGAAGAATGACAAGATCATCAAGCCGAGCCAAGCATTTGGCTACCGGGGTGCCCTCCACCGCCTGGAGGGCTCCGGGCTTGCTTGACGTACAATAGAAAAGCAGGGTCAACAGACGAGCCGCACAAGTACAAGGAACGATCGAGGGAGACGGTCTCAGACAGGCTCGCTACGACGCCTCCGTGACTCCGTCCTGTTCCCTCGCTGCAAAGTTTGGTAAACGAAATGAGCATTGAGCAGTTAGATTTGGCACACGGCACGATCTCCGCAACATTGATGAATCCAAACAACGTAGGAGCCTATGAGGTACCCAATCAATGCCATGTGGGAGGTGGGATGTAGGGTCCAATTCAGGCTATAGGCAAACATCCATTATTGATCTAGGTTGGAGTTTGGCAATTGGGAAATGTGCAGTTGCGGCACGATGCTGGCCTCAGGTGCTGATCCTTTATTTGCAGACATCTTCTCAATCGGGACAAAAGAGGGATGAGTTGACTCATCAGCTTCTCCTTCCACCTCTTGCTTTGAGCTTCGTTCTGCTCGTCTTGTTGGCAATATGTCTACCTCCTAAAGCTGACCGGCTTCCTAGCAGCTGCATCTACCTCCTAGCACAGCTTTGGAAGTCTTCTGTTGGCTCTGATCGGCTCTCTTCGAGGTGTTCGAGGTGTTCGAGGACTCTATTGCACGATGGGCACTATTGTCCAGGTGTCTCTAGAGTGTGGAAGGTGGTGATGGTTTTGGTGGCCTGACGGCGAGAAGCTTCTTCGACAGAAGCCAATCTGAAGCATACCTTGTCGAGTATACTTTCCCACGCCGACACGGTATCGCTGTATTGCACGTGGCACTCCATGCCTTCAGCTCATGCAAGGACATACTACCTAGCCCGTCCATTAGCCGAAATACCCTGGACTCTCTCTCTGGGCGGAAGAATTTTCCGTTCTCTTGGCGGCATCCGGCGGGATATGGAAGCCTGAAAGGACACGGAGGCCTGTGGTTTTGGAGCAAAGTAAGATTTATTGACACGTGCCAACAGCTGTAATCAGTAATTACACCTCAGTCATCCCGTCCATCCGTCCATCCGTGGGTAGTAGGGCCAGCCGAATTGCGAGCCTGCCTGTCAGTGCCTGACAACGAGCAGGCAGGCAGGCAAGCAGCCCTGCTGACCGCGTGCACACTTGCACCAAAGCCAAAATGCTCCCCCCAGATGGCCATCCGAAGTAACCGAGAGCTTCTCGAAGGTCGTCGTCGTCGTCGTCTGGGCTCTCTGGGTACGGGGGGGGGGGGGGGG